TGAGTAAAACTAAGATGGCGTGAACACACACACACAAAAATTTTAACTAACTGGGCCATGGTGGGAAGTCACATCTGGAGCTTCCTCATTAAATTAATCTGTGCCTTTTCAGTGGGCCTGTTCTTTGTCTTTTTGTTCCTAAAATAACATCTTTAATCCTTCCCCCCCCACCACCAGAGCTAAAATCCCTCATTATCAAGCTTGTCTCCGGATTACAATCTCTGTGTACTGCAAAGAGAGAAGAACTGTTAGCTCTCCTGCACCCACCTGTGTGGGAGGAGTACCTGTCTCTCCAATGTGCTTTTATCCAATCCCAAAGATTTCCCCGCCTTGCTTTCTCCCACCCGCTTAATCTATCACCAATGGACTTTGTGTAACCTTCCTCCTTTGATTTTATGTGTAAAATAAACTGCAATCTGCCCTTTTGCGGAGCATTTTCTCATTCCGTTGAGATTTTGCTTCCCGGCAATTGTCAACAGTTTGGCTCAAATAAACTTATAAACGTTTTATCTTAGGCTGGATGTTTTTCATCAACGCTGGTGAGCTCAGCAAGAGCTGGTGTGGAAAAGAGAGGAGGTGAAGCTAGGCTGCGGTGGGCGGCGGGGATGAGAGGTGAGGGACTGGGGACTGAGCATTGTTAGCGGGTTTCTGCTGTAAGGCAGGAAGCAGTTCGGGCGTTGAAGGTGAGGAGACAGCAGTGCAGGCTTCACATGGTGGTGGGTGAGCAGTGGAGAGGCACGAAGGCTTGCTGGGCCCATCCATGTCCTAAAGCCAGAGATCACCAGAAATACAGCTGCCGGTGAATGAGGTGGAGTTATGACTGGTCGCAGCAAGGGAGACCACCCCCATGGCAAGCCTCAGAAAGGGGGCGCTGGGAGGGACTGGTGAGATTTGGGTTTGTTGGGTGATTTGAGGAAACATTTAAGGAAGCGTGGCTTTTCTGAATTGGATACTGTCCGAAAGAGGAGGTAATGCCTTGACCGGGTGTCTTGATAAATCTTATCTAGATGGCAGGAACGCTGGACCAACGCTAACCTTGTCCGTGATGAGGAAGCGGCCGTCACTCTTATTAGCCAAGACAGAGAGACGTTTGGCTATGTTTTTACGACTTGGACTGTGTTCATGTGTTGTCTGTGTTCTGCCGTCATCAGAGTGGCCTCGTTTTTGTCTTTGCCTGTCATAGCCTGATACCGATGTTCTACGAAATTGTGTCTATTCCACAGAACAGCAAGGCCCGGCTGTGCGTCCCTGGCTGCTTTTCTGGGACATCACGGGTTAAGCCTCTCTCCCGCTCCCCCACGCGCCCGGATGGGTGCAGACCCCCGGAGGGGTGCCTCCTCTACATCCTGCATCTCATGGGGTTTCAGTCCTAAGGCTCAGGGCCCGTGGATCAAGCCTTGGTTTCGCCATCTCTAAAACGGGCCAGGATTGGAGGCCGGCTGTGGACGCACCGCGTGTGAAAAGCCTCATGACACCGGGGCACTACAGCTGCCCTTGAGCTCAGGCATTTCTCTCTGCACCCGCCTTCTTGAAATCAGCCGTGGGAGAGCCGGAAGGGTCCATGCCAGGACACCACGAGAAACAGGCAACCGCGGCCTCAACTCCGCCGGCCCAGGGACGTGCGGCCTACGCTCGTGCGCACCTCGCCGCCCCGCCCCCTCACCGCCCCGCCTCGCCCGCGCGCAGAACTCTGGGGCGGCCGGGCCACGCCGCGCGCCGATTGGTGGCGTTCTGGGCCCGCCTTCGGTTGATTGACGGCGCCGGGGCCCCGCCATCCCGTCGCTGACGCCACCGCCCGGTGTGGAGCCCGCCGCCGCCGGGTGTGGGGCCCGCCGCTGCTCGCGGGCTGCGCGTCTGCCAATCCCGCCGCCGCCATGGACCTGTTTGGGGACCTGCCGGAGCCCGAGCGCTCGCCGCGCCCGGCTGCAGGTAAGCGGGTGGCCTCCGGGCGGGCGAGGGGAAGGGGGCGGGCGGGCTGACGGCGGCCTGAGGCCCGCGGCGCCTGAGGCGGGCGGCGGGGAGGAGCGAGAGGGCGAGCGCGGCCTGCACCGGGCCGGACCCCGGCGTGGGCACCGGGAGCTCCGGAGCGCCTCCGCCATTTTCGCTGCGTAGGAAGAAAGGGCTCTCGCTCGGGGCAGAGGGCAGCGCCCGGCCGCCGCGTCCTTTGTGTGCGGCCCACACGTGCGGGTTCCGCGGAGCGCCGGTCCCGGTCGCCCTCGGATCCCGCGCCCGGAGCCCTGCCGCCTTCGCAGGTGGGCCGGCATCCGCAGCCGGAGCCGTCCCGCGCGGGGCCGTTGCCCCGCAGCTTTCCGGCCTGCGTGTAAGCCACTTTCCTCTTGAACGCCGTTTTTCCACGCGTGGACAAGTTCAGGGTTTTGTTGTGCTTTGTTTTCACCCCAGAGATTGAAGTCATCGGCAACTGACTGTTTCACGTTTTTGAAGCCCAGAGAAGAGGTTCATCCTCTGTGCTCCGGGTTTTTCGGCTAATGGTGGTTTTCTGTTCTTAACCGGGCCCCAGGAAGCTCCCCCTCTCCCCAGAGGCGAGAGCGCTAGCGCGGGTCCGCACGCCTGCTGCGGCCCGGGCCCCGGCGTGTGAGTTCCCGTCGGCGGGGGCTCGCGCTCCGTAGCAGCCTGAGACCAGCGCCCGTTTCAGCCCTGTGCCGGGTGGGTGATAGTCACTCCAGGTTTAATGGGACAAGCCCTCTTGATGTTTTCACGTACAAGACGTTGGGCTACATGCTGTAGTTTAGGGCCCATGTTCAGTCCTAACGTGGAAAACTAGACCCAGATTTCCAGGGGCACCCCACCAAATCTGAACGTCTGGGGTAGGGCCTGGAATCAGTGTCATTAAAGTCCCCCGGGATTTCGAGGCCTGCTCAGCAGGGGCCTGGACCCCGTGGTTTGAGAACTGCTGCTGCAGGGAATACGGGGGTGACTAAGACCCAGCCTTTGCTTCCGAAGAGCTTAACTCAGTGCAAGTGACTGTAATTGAAACTGGTCAACGTTAAGGGCTGTGGGAACTGCAGAGCGCTGGGAGGAGGGGTGTTTGCAGTCCGTCCAGGGCGTGGGGACGGAGGAAGGCGGCGGCGGCGGCGGCATCGGGCCCCTGGAGATGGGCAGGCTTGTGATTTGCAGATTCCGGGCAAGAGAGCGAGGTGCTCCAAGGGAGAGTGCGCAGTGCTCCAGTTTGCCCCAGCAAACCGTGTGGAGTGCGACTGGGGTCCCTAAAGAAGGCGTGGGCCTGCCCCCCCCAGGGCCTGGATGCTGACCTGTCGTGTGAGTGGCCTGGCCAGTCCTTATCGGCCATCATTCCCGCAGGTGGTACCGTGCACTTCCCCACTGACCTTTTCCGTGTTCGGAAGCAGCTAAACAACTGGCCCTTGAGCCAGTACTCAACTCGGCCATTCGTTTTCTAGATTGTTCTAGTTGTGGGTAGCCACTCTGGTTTTGCGTATGCAGTCTTTGTTGATGGAGCGTAATTTTTATCTGAATATGTTTGGGGAAGAGTCTGCATTCGCAGCTGTGCCTGGAAGCCTATCGTTTTTTTTAAAAAAAAACCCATAACTTTTTACCTGCAATCAGCATGGGTCTGCTCAGAGGAAGGCATCTTTAAGATGATAAAAAAGAAACCTGACAACTCTTTTTCCCAAAAAGGCTTTTTTTAAATTTTTCAATTACAGTTGACATACAATATTATAATAGTTTCAGGTGTACAACATAGTGATTAGACATTTATATAGCTGAAGAAGTGATCCCCCCGATAAGTCTAGTGCCCACCTGACACCATACATAGTTATTACAATATTATTGACTATATACATCCCTGAGCAAAACCTGACGACTCTTAGGTCTTACAAGTGGGCAGTTGGCAGCCTGTTCCCAGATAGAGGGTGGCAGGGGGGCTGCATGGTGTTTAAACCCCCTTCCCTAGAGAGTGGATTAATGGAGTGCTCCCTGCCAGCAGGAAGGGCACTGCCACTGTCACAGTCCCTGCTTGACTGAGTATATTTTTAAAAATAATTTTAAAAACAAGGCATGTGTGTTTGTAGATGACAGGAAGCTGAGAGGAATAACTACTTAAGTGAGTGACAGAATTCGGATCAGAAGTTCTCTTGACAGGCAGTTAAAATCAACAAGATGAGATTTAACAGGTTAAACAGTCACGAACAAGAACAGAATCCGATTTTACAGTCTTGTGAAAAGACTGACTTTTGAAAAATTAAATGCCTTAGTTTTTCAGAAAATTGATGGTATTGCCTGATAAAATTAAAAATACAGTAAATAAAGGGAAAATAAGGTTTGCTTCCTAAAGTGGATGGAAAGATGAGGCTAAACTGCACCATCTGAGCCTCCCACCTGACAAGCAGGTGTCACAAATTTCTGACTAATGCAGGGAGCGATAAAAGACCTGGTCATTTTCTCAGCCCCCAAGACAGCGGCTCTCAACCTTCCTAATGCGGCAACCCCTTAATACAGTTCGTCATGTTGTGGTGACCCCAACCATAAAATTATTTCCGTTGCTACTCTATAACTGTAATTTTGCTACTGTTATGAGTCGTAATGTAAATACCTTTTTGTTTTCCGATGGTCTTAGGCGACCCCTGTGAAAGGGTCGTTCGACCCCCAGAGGGGTCGCAACCCACAGGTTGAAAACCGCTGCCCCAAGAAGAGTGCGGGGCGTGTAATCAGAGTGGTTTCAAATTTGAACTCTGTTCTTAACTAACTGCCTTCTGTGGTTGTTCCTGCATCTGTGAAGTGGGGTGTCCCTCCTGTTAGCGTGGATTAGAGAGAACGCTGTAGAGCTTAGCGCAGGGGGGAGCACATGGTCAGTGCCTTGTAGATGTTAGCACATAGCTGTTAAATTTACCAGCTGTTTAAGTGGGAATGCCCTCTTTGATGGATTTTGTGGGAAGCACTAAGTGTCCAAAGGGAAGACAGATCACCCGGCTCAGATCACCAAGTGTATTTTGTTTAGTTCTTTGAATTTTGTTTCAAACATCACATCTAATGTTCCTACCTCCAAGCCTTTTGATTTCTTATGCTCTAAAGAAAAATGTAGAAAGAGCACATTACAAACATACATCGGAGATATTGTGGATTTGGGTTCACACTAATGTAATAAAGCAGGAATCCGATAAATTAAGTCATAATCTTTTTGCTGGTGGAGGGTCTTGCCTTCAATTGGTTAAAAAAAAAAAAAAGAAAACTCAACATCTGTGAAGTGCAATAAAGGGGAGCACAATAAAGTGAGGTGTGCCTGTAAATGTTTTCAGATTTTGTGCAAAATTAGGTTTTTTCATCCCAGCACTTATAGATTTGATTGCTGAATCAAGTTTACACACGTGCATGTGCGCGCACACACAGTTGACCCTTGGACAATGCAGAGGTTAGGGGCGCTGACTTCCCACATGTGTAACTGCAGTGGTGTTCTGCATGCGTGGGTTCCCAACTGCAGCGGTGACCTTGAAAATCGCAGGTTTGACCTGCTCGGATGAATTGAAAAACTATCTGCATATAAGTGGACCTGCATGGTTCAAACCCGTGTTGTGTGTGTGTGTGTGTGTGTGTGTGTGTGTGTGTGTGTGTGTAGTTTACCTAAAAGAGAAAGTAATGTTTGTTCACATCAGACAGACATGGGACTTCTCAGCTGTATCATACTCATAAAAGTGCTGACTTGGTGTCTTGAAGATTGACAGCTCATATTTGGTTATCCAAACAAGTTAAAGGTGTCCTTGCTTACGGCTGCTTCGCCAGTCACTTGGTTTCTGTTTCATAGCGTAGTTATTTCACTTACTAGGTTGCTACATCAGTACACTTTAAAACTGATGGTCAGCTGTCAAGGACTAAATAAATATTTGCTTGGCAGGCCATCTTCAAACTATTTCTAAGAAAAATTGGAGATCTAAATATAAAATAAAGGTTAAGATGTTAGAAAAACTTAGACTAATTGTAAAACTTCATAATTAAGCAAAAAAAACCACTCAAGTCATAAAAAATTAAAATGGATTTAACTACGTAAAAATTAAAAATTTCTGCAGGAAAAATACCACAAAGGCAAAAGACAGATTGAAGAAAATATTTGCAATATATAGCACTAAAGGTTACTGTCTCTAATAAGTGAAAGGCTCATACAGATTAATAAGAAAAAAACAGATAACCCATTAGAAAAGTGGTCCAAGGATGTATCCTGACAGGTTATGGAAGAAGACATGCGAGTGACCTATCAACAGGAAGCAGTCCCTGAGGAGAGGAGCAGCACATCCCTGGTATCCCACACTTTTCACCCGTCAGAGCTCAGAATTGGCAGTGTGGTGAGGATGTAGAGAAATGGACATTCTCGTGACTTGTGTTGGGAGTGGAAGTTATCACAGCGTTTTTTGGAACAGCTTTTGGTACCTATTGGATTTAAATTACTCATACCTCTGACCAGCAGTCTAGCAGATTAAGAATGTGTGTGTAAGGTGGTTTATTGTGGCATTGTTTGCAATGTAAAAAACTGGAATCAGCCTGCCCGCCATCACTAAGGGAAATGGACAGTTGATGGCTCTGCTTCCCATGTGGAATATGTGCGACTGTTGGAAAGAATAATTAGGCCCCGCAGTGCTGGCCGGGGACGTGCCCTGATGGCCTGCATGAACAGCGAGACGTGTAGAGGCTCGTGCACAGCAAGCTTCCACCTTTAAAAACCGGAAATGCACGTACACAAAGTGTGCGTGTTGTGTGTTACGTGCCATTGAGTAGGCTCTGACTTCTGAGTGATGTCCACAGTGTCCTGTGCTCAACATACAAGTACATGAGCATAAAGGAAAGTGGGACGCGTACAGGCCTCTGTTACTGTGGTTGGGAAGTGTGGTGGGAGGTGGGGCGTTTTTCTAATACCTCTGTGGTGTTTGGGACACATGTATGGCATTTGTAGTTGAAAAGAAAATTCGAGTATAAAAAACAATTGAGGCAAAATATTTGATCTTTGTATTGTACATAGCAACCTTTAGCTAAACTAAATGTGATTAACCCAAGAGTATTTTTCTCAGCATAGTATATAACTTTCAGTAGACTTAGCTTCAGAATGTAGATAACTAAAAAATATCCTGGGTGAGATTAACTATAATGAAAAATTGCCTTCAGTCTTGTTTCATTATTAGGGTTCTTATATTTCAAATTTGGGGGGCCTCTTCCAAAGTTTTGGGTCAAGTTCATACTTTGTGCAATGATTGCAGCCCCAGTACTTTGAATTACTGTTTAAAATAGCATGTAAGGTTCTGGATAATCAGAAGTTCCCTGTATAGCATCTATGACCTGTGGATTAAAAACAAACAAACAAACCCAGAGGCGAGCTAGCACTAAGTTTGATCCTTTTATTGATGCAGAAGGTACTCCAGAGGTGTTCCAGAGGCTCGGGGTTATCTTTGTTGGGTTGTGGTGGGCTTAATGAGATGGTCCTTGTGCACCCTCAAGCGTTGCCTGTTGCTGGGGGGTGGGGAGATGGGGGATGGGGGGAGGTAGGCTGGGGACCAGGAAGCCAGGGTGTTTGAATCCCTGCTCCTTATGGGCTCTCTCGGGCGGCTGTTGAACTTAAGTGTCTCAGTTTCCTCCTCAGTGAGTAACAGTAATAATCATCTACCTCCCAAGGTCAGTGTAAGGGTTAAATGCATTAGAGGGAGAGTCCGGGAAGAGTGCCTGGCAGGCAGGCAATGTCAGTGGTCATTTTTATTAGCAATTTTCCGTTGTGGACAACAAAAATGTGAGGTGATCCCATGTGTTTTAATTGAAATACCACTCACAGTATTCCAGAGTGAGACAGAAGAGGGGGACATTCCATTCAGCTGGAGGCGGTAGGCCGTTCTCAGGGCGATGCTCAGTTTGGGGCAGTATCTTAAACTGAGTTGTAACCAAAGGAGAGGGGCCAGCTAGCGCCAAAGCTGGGCCCTCTCTTGTGAGGCATGTGCGCTGCCTGGGTCAAGAGACCGCCCCTCCCCCATTGGACACTGGTTTAGGGATGAGTTCAATTCAAAAATTAAAATCTGAGGAGGCACAGTGGAAGGGTTGTTTGTTGGTTCTCCAGCTTGGCCTCCTCTCTGGAATGTCCCCTGTCCCACGCTGCCTGGCTCTCTGGCCTTCTGAAATCCCATGTAGTTTTGAGTGTCAGGAGAATGGGCTTTTTTGTTGGTTACACCCAGTCCAGTTTGGGTTCTCCTTGGAAGTGGCCTGCTAGAATATTTGGGGTTCTTTGTAGGAGGATTAGCACAGTGAGGAAATGGGCCTCCTAAACGCCGTGTAATTTACTCCTAACGCCACTTCTTGAATACTTGCCATAGAGTCCTTATGTCACTTGTGAGAAAAATGAAAGGACTTGGCAACTGCTTAATTTGTTTAGGGTAACCCTGAGGGACAAGAAGATGATTTAGTGGATAAACATTTCCCATTTGCATTAGGGGTATGAAGCAGAAGAGTTACTTTGTGTTAAATCAGGAATTTATCAGGTATTAAGGTACTTCTAACCTAAAGACTCCCGAAGAAGTTTCCTTCCTTGGAGTTTATAAGTTTGAATAAATTTTTTGTTATTAAAAGAGTACAATAGATACCCAGTTCATTCCTACATAGAGGCAAAAAGCTGCAGTGGGGCCGCCGAGTGGCACAGTTGGTTAAGAGTTGGCTTAAGAGCGCGAGCTCTGAGCAACAGGGCCACCGGTTCAATTCCCACCTGGGCCAGTGATGCTGTGCCCGAACTGAGCTGTCGCTGAGCTGCCAACCGGTGGCAGGATGGCTCAGCTGGTGTAACAACAAAGCTGCCTGTTCGATGGTGGGCTACGCCCACCCGCAACTAACACTGAACTCGGCTCCTTGAGCTGAGCTGCCGCCGCCCAGATGACTTCAGTGGCTAGAGCATGCGATCTTTTTGTTGTTGTTGTTTTTTGGGGGGGAATTGGGGGAGGAGAACAGCGCTGGGGAATTGGGGGAAGGGGAACAGACAAGTTGCTGTTGTTTTGTTCTTCAGTCTAGTTGTGGAGGACGTTGCTTCACTGGCCCAAGCTGGCACCATCATTGCACTCTTCCCGGGTGAGGCCGATCAGTCGCCGGCCTCTGGATGGCCGCTCACGGTGGCTGCTGGCCATTCACGCTGGCTGTCGTCTACACACGGTAGCCCATGGCAACCCACTGCAGCAGGGGACTGCAGCCTATGCCGTCACCGGTGACCCACAGCAGCCCAGCTCCAGGTCGAGCTGTTGTTCAGCATCTTAGCTGTAGAGGGCAGTGTCACTGGCCCTCATATGTGGGATCCGAACCGGGGCCCTCTGGCGTCCCAAGCCAGATCTTAACCAACACCCCACTCGGCCGGCCCGAGCATGCGCTCTTAACAAGGCTGCCGGTTCGACTCCCGCATGGGATGGTGGCTATGCCCACCCGCAACTAAGACTGAACTTGGCACCTTGAGCTGAGCTGCTGCCTGGATGGCTCAGTGGATAGAGCGTGTGCTTTTTAACAATAAGGCTGCTGGTTCAACTCCCGCATGGGGTGGTGGCTACACCCGCTCTCAACTAAGATTGTAACACAGCACCTTCAGCTTATAGGGCACAAGCTGCAGACAGGCAGCCAGATGGCAACTGGCACCCTCCACAACTAAGATTGAAGAACAACAACTTGTCTGTTCCCCTTCCCCAATTCCCCAACACTATCCCCCTCCCCCAATTCCCCAATAAAATCTTTTAAAACAAAATGCTATGGAGGAATTGGTTTTCATTTATTTATTTATTTTTTAAGATTTTATTGGGGAATTGGGGCAGGGGAACAGAGTTGCGGAATCAGGAAAGGGGGACAGACAAGTTGCTGCCCTTCTGTTCTTCAGTCTAGTTGTGGAGGACGTCCCTTCACTGGCCCATGTTGGTATTATCATTGTGCTCTTCCAGGCTGAGGCATTCGCTTGCTGGCCATTGGACGGCCGCTCAGGGTGGCTCATGGCAGCTCAGGCCCGCTGCTGGCCAGCCCCACTGCAGCCTACGCTGTTGCCGGCCACTCACAGCAGCCTAGCTCCAGGTCGAGCTGTTCACCATCTTAGCTGTAGAGGGCGCAGTGTCGCTGGCCCTCATGTGGGATCCGAACCGGGACCCTGATGCTCAGAGCTGATGCCCCAAGCCAACTCCTAACCAACGCGCCACTCAGCCGGCCCTGAATTGGTTTTTAAATGAGTGCCTTTCTGTACTTGAACTCTGAGGAACAAGCAGGGGAACAGTGTGTTGGGCTTACAGAATGTGACTGCGCATGCCTTCAGCATCTTCGGCCCTTTGTTGTTGTTGTGTGCCCGCTAGGATGTTTAATAGCTTAAATAGAAATTTGGGAGAAAGCTGGGATTGTGGTTAAATTTTACGTGGAAAGGGATAATTGAGTATAAAACATTTAAGACAAGTACTTTGTTGTGTAAACCTTCAGGTTTTTAGATAAAAAATATCTCTGGCTTTCTCCTGAGTTTATTATCTTGGAGTATCTGAAATTCCTCTCCATAGATTCTGCATAGACACTTAGTGAATCTGTGACCGTGCTGGGGGCGCCACGTGAGACAGATTGGCATTCTTCAGCCTCTCACCTCTGCTTGTTTGTTTCCCATTCTATTTAGTGGTTAATTCAGACTGTTACTGAAACGGGATTTTGTTTTCTTGCTCTAGAATCAGCTTTTTTCTTCTCAGGATTCACTTTTTAAAGAAAGATTTTTGAATGTTTGTTGCTTTCAATACTAAAATTATCAAGAAAAACACTTGTTCTTCTCAAATTACCCAGTGTCCTTTAAGATGCCTGTTAGGTCATCTTTCATTGCTTTTATGTTTACTGTAACTGTTGGGAACAAACGTCCATATCAAATAACTGTCAAGAAGATATTTTTTAAAGTAAATTTTGACCAACAGGGAGGAGAAAATATGAATTCAATAGCAACAATCTCAAAAGTCTCGTCCTTTGAAAGCCCCTGGTGGTCGATGAGCAAACTCTAAGCAGGTGTCCATGTCCTAGGGAAAGACGCCGAGAGAGGACCTGCGCTCTTTGACGACCTCCCTCCAGCCAGCAGTACTGACTCAGGTACAGTCTCCAGGCTCTCCCAGGTGTGTGTCAACATGTCATCCTGGGGTTGTAGTTGTCTCAATCTTTTTCCCTTTCCCCCATTTTCAACACACAGATGTTTTAGGTGTTGGACTGTCTTAAGTTTTGAATCCATGGCATCAGGTAAGGCAGAAAAATCCACTAGTCGCTAGCCCTGAGAAACTGCGTACAAATGCTGAGCAGTTTTCTCTGGTTCGTTTGAGTGTTTATTTTACTAGCTGGTAAGATTTAACTTTGTAAGGTAGGGTTTTGTTTTCCTTTCAACGATAGGACTTTAAAGTAGGTTCCAGACCTATTTACTGCAGTCTGAATTGCCATTGGATTGACACAAGAGTTTTGAGTTGATTTCAATGACCTGCATAGGTGTCCTGGTGGGATGGATTCTGAAACTTAGGCCTCATCCAGGTTTTGTGGATTCACCAAGTGTTCTGCTGTGTTTCAGGATCAGGGGGACCTTTGCTTTTTGACGATCTCCCACCAGCCAGCAGTGGCGATTCAGGTAAGTGGAAGGGGAAGAAAACCCACTGTGCTAATGGGAATAATACGTATTTTACTCTTCTGTAAAATTGACCTAAAGCTTTTAGCAGGGTTTAGGGTGACATTAAATCAGTACAGCAGAAGGTTTATTAGAACTAAATAGGCACCGTTGGGTGGAAGTAGAAAGATTAGATACCTAAATACCACGTCATTTTTTGGTGACTTTTTTTTTCTTAACTTCTTGGGGTTCACCCCTTACAACTGACTGAAAATAAGAGTTCCGTAATTTTATTTGAACTTTGTTATTAACTTTTTTTTTTAATATCAGTATCTGTCATTCTGGTCTCTGTTATGTTCCTGACATACCCAAATATATCCAGCAGGTGTCTGAATATATGAAACACAGTTAAAATATTTTCAGTTCCCTGAACCCATAAACACAGATAAATAGGTCTTCTGTTTTATGCTACTTACATTAAAAATAATTTTGATTTAAGAAAATGAATTCTGAATGACATTGGTTTAGTGACTGGTACAGACTGTGTATAGGAATTTTCCAGACCGTAGTTAATTATTTTCCAGTCAGTTCATACATTCTCAAGATTCTGTTTATTGATGTAATTTTATTGTTGTCATGCCTATTAACATTGGCTACCAGTTCTGTAAATGTTTAACTGCTTTTTAGGTCCCAGTTAAGTAGGAGGGAAGAATAGAGCAGACTCCTCTGGGGTGTCATAGCGATGGCTTGTCTCACTGACAGCTTCTCACGGAATTCCCCTCGGGGAGGGGAAGGTGCTGCTGGGGGGGTCAGTGGGGTTGCAGGCTACCTTTTTCACAGGCAGTTGTCACATAGAACACTTGCTGCTTTTCAAATAACTTTTTTGTATTATTAATTGATTACCATAAAATCATTGGAATTACTCCTGACAGTATGGATTGAATTAGTATAGTTCCTGTATTTAGAAAAAGTATTACAATCATCTTACATACCCATACCAAAAAATTACAGCATTCTCATGCTCACAATGTAGCCTAAAACCTTCCCAATAAAGATAATGTGTTTAGTTATAATGAAAGTTAACGTTTGCTCTTAACAGATTTAATAAAAGTAAGAACGATTCAGCATAGCTGTGTCTTAGTTCTCCAAAGGGCAAAAGACAGTGAACTGGTAACAACTTAGATTTCAGCACCACAATTAACGAGTTTGAGGTTTTTGGACCTAGAACCCAGACTTGTATCCACTATTTTGGATTTCTTGAGAAGGCATGTTCTTCTCAAGCAGGCAGGAACCGTTTACAAGAATTGACTGCACTCTAGGACATATAGTGAGTCCCAGAAAGAATCAATTTCATTTACAGACCACACCCTCTGACTAGTGTGATTCAATTAGAAGTCAGTAACAAAGCTTTAAAAATGTCTCTGTTTTACAACTTAAAAGAAAGGAAGATTCTTGTACATACACATTGGGAAAATAGAAGAGAAACAGTGACAGGAGACTAATGGAGAGACCATTGGGAGAGTCTATTGGAAACACCCACGACATTTTCTCAGTTAATTTGCCTTGTTATGCGGGGCGGGATGTGTGTGTTACGTTATACTGTTGAGTAAATTAAGAGTCAATTACTTGCAAAAGGACTGATTATAAAATGCAGGACATTTTCCTCCTTTTTCCTTAGTGCTCAGAAATGCCTGGCAAAGAGCAGTTGACTAAATGGCCGCATGCTTTTATACTTCAGTGCAGAGAACAGGGCCACTTAGGACAGCAGCTGCCGTTGGTTGGATACTTGATGGCGCTGGGATTAATGCTTTATGTACCTTGTGCCCACTGATTTTGAAACAACCCTCTGAGGTGACCGTACTCTCCCTGAGTTGGAGGTGAACAAACTGGGGCTGGAAGGTTAAGTGACTTGCCTTAGAGCACACCCCTTCCTTGTGAGTGGCAGGACTGGCTCTTGACACTAGACCTTTCTAAATGCGTCCACAGTGCAGGTGCTCTGAGCACTTCCACCCCTTTCAACCGGGAATGGCCGCAGCAGCCCTGTTGTGCCTCCTGGGGTACATACAGTTCTTAAAGCTCGACATTTACTGCATTTTAAGCCTTCTGTGGCACTTGTGATTTTTAGAACTTGTTCAGGATGTGTCACTTGGTGGGCTTTGGAAACTTCCCTATTTAAGGATGTAAAGCAGCATGTGTGTGCGGCAGCCCCGAACACAGGTGTGTCTTTTGACCCCTGAGAAGCCTCTTTTGCAAAGCCTCTCACGGTTGATCTGAGCAGGGCCTGGGTCCTGACTTGTGGCCGCCCCTGGGGGTGCCCAAGGCACCCTGCCGTGGCCCTCGGAGTCACTGCCATGACTGCTGTGCCTGCCTCTGCCAGGCCTCCCTCGGAATGTCGTTTTGTCTCCAAGGGCTGGGGCGGCCCCAGTCTGCCAAGTGGGTCTTTGTGTAACAGCCTACAGCTGTGTTTCTGTCTGCCTTTCACTTTATTTCCAGGTTCTCTTGACACCTCCATCTCCCCGATGGTAAAGAATGAAGGGAAAGGAGCAAAGAGAAAAACCTCTGAAGAAGAGAAGAACGGCAGCGAAGAGCTTGTGGAAAAGAAAGTTTGTAAAGGTTTTAGACAGTTTGAAAACAAATGTATTAGACTTGGTATTTTAAAATCACCCAGAGCAAAACCAAGCTCAGCTTTCTGGCACGACTTCTCTTTTGTGTCTGTGTTTGCAAGCGGGTCGGGCTCCCTTTCTGCCGACAGGCTTCCAAGGTTTAGCTGTGCTTCCTCTCTGCTTTGTGTGGACATCTCTGGCCCTGACCGCCCCCCTTTGGTCACATGGGAAGCCTGCGTTTGTTCCTAGGGCTCAGCAGCACAGTCGTCTTACTGAGGCCGCCTGCTGACTGCCTACTTACTCTGAGCCCCTGTCTTGTCACAGCCTGGTGGTCAGCACTTAGGATTCTGTGGGGAGCTCAGTAGGCAGCTTCCCGGGAGAGCCCGAGGCTGGGACAGCATTCAGAGTTGGTAGGCAGTTTTGTAACTTGTCATAGTGGGGCAGAAGTGAACAGCAGTGAGGAGAAATGGCTGGGGGTTTTCAGTCGCTGCACCCGACCCCTTCGTCCTTTACCACAAACTGTCTCGAAACTGAAGGGCCCCCAGGGAAGTGCGCGAAGGCCCTCCTCCGCTCTGCTGACTGCAGCTGAGCGCCTCGCCCCAGCCTGCACTGCTCTGTGCCCGCCAGCAGCAGCCCTGGAGAAAGTGCCCCTTTGTTCCTGACATGGCCCTTGGGGTCCGAAAGTGACTAGGAGCTGGCCCGGCCTGGCCCTTAAGTCTAAGTAGGTTTCTGTGCCCACGGGACTCCTCCTTTTCTTCCTCAGTTCAAATTCTTCACCAGCCTCAAGCATGGAAATGCATATTTTCTGATGCCCAACAGGGCCTTTGGGATAAACTCCTTACTCGCATTTCTCTGAAGTAGGAATTTTCCTGTCTCATGACATTACTGACGAGATGAGATTTGCATGTGTTTCCGTCCCCATCCCAATCCCACTTCTGGGGGTGACAGCGCACCCTGCCCTGGTGCTCTCGTCGGCTGCTCTCTTCAACGAGCTGTCCTTCCTGTACGAACTGCTGCCCACGGCTCAGCCTTGCCCAGGCGGGCCCCACTCCGCAGTCGGCTGCTCTGAGTTACAGACCTGCAGCGGGGAGCTGCCCTGCGGCGTGGAGCTGCGTGTTTGCTCCTTGAGGACACTGCTGAGTTCAGCAGCCCGAGGCTGCTCTCCTTTGCTCTGGGACTAGGGCTTCCGAGGGGAGGGCACAGTTTTGTATGGGCTCTTTGTTCCCTTTCCCTTAGGCTCTTCAGTGATCTTTGGGCTGAAAGGCTATGTGGCTGAGCGGAAGGGCGAGCGGGAGGAGATGCAGGACGCCCACGTGATCTTGAACGACATCACCGAGGAGTGTAGTCCCCCATCGTCCCTCATGTGAGTGTCCACTCTCCGGCCAGCCCGGTTGGCAGGAAAGTCTCGGGACCAACGTCTGACTGGAGTTTGGGGCTGTGTCCAGTTTGGATATATTAGGAGGACTGACGTGTATCACTCGAGCTGCTTGGTTCAACATTAGTAGTTCTCAGCTGAGAGTGAATCTGTCCCCTCCCCTGACATTTCTGGTTGTCACAGTGGAAGGGGTGCTACTGGCATGTGGTAGGGGAGGCTGGGGATCCCACAACGAACGCAAAGAATTGTCCAGCCGCAAATGTCGGCACTGAGTTTGAGAAGTCCTGCCCTGTAGGGACTGGCTGCCCACAGGGTGGCCCTTTGGGGTGTGTTACTCCTCATTAGTGTCTGAAGAGCTGGCAGGGACCATTCTGATCCTGTGGCCCAGAAGATAGAGGTGCAGACCACTGAGCACAGCAGTGCGTGGTGATGCGGAGAGCTAACGCAGGGAGCGAGGGCACAGAGATGGCATCAGGGAGAAGAAAAGCAGGGAGTCATTTCCTCCATCTGTGCAAACTAAAAGGAAGCCCTCGGGCTGGGCCTTAGGCGTGGGGGAGAGGCAGCCAGAAGGTAGGACGCTGAGGCTGTCATTTACCTGCATTATGTTCACACGGATGATAGTGTGTATTACATAACCTGTGCCACCTGATTGCCATCATCACATGCATTAACTGACACCGTTGGTCATCAACACAGTGCTGGAGCCATTGATGCCGGAGGCTTTTGTCCAGTAAATGAGGCCTAATGGGGAGGTGATGGCCCCTGCAGGGCACTTGGTCACATTTGGAGGTGACTGTGTCCCATGCACCCATTGGTTGCCGAGATCAGGAGGGTGCTTCGGAGATGCCCTTAAAGCCTGGAAGGGGCCCCTGGAGGACGCTGGGGGACAGGTCTTTGGGGATGGATTGAGCTGGGAGCACTGAGCCACCTAGCAGATAGCGTGCTGTCACTTAACAGTCTGACTGACACACCAGGTGACGCCGCTTTTCTTTTAGGTCATGGTGTCCCACATTGAAAAGGAATTCAAAAACTGTTAGGAAAAAGAGCAGCTCTGCAGAATAAATGTCATTTCTTCTGGGCATTTTGTTTTCTTGAAACAGCTTATTTTTGGATGCCATTGATGCCATATATGTGAGTTTTCTGGCAAAATTTAAAGGGAATAGGAGTAAGTCTGGTGAGACGGGCTTTAGGAATTCGGTATCTGTCAGAGCTGGGGCAGCGCTTCTGGAGCTACCCTGTTCTTACAGATACTCTGACTGCCTTGGCCAGTAATTGTGTACCTGTCTGTTAGTGTTTGAAACTAAATCGGTTTTATAAACAGGAAAAAGTTCTGAATTTTAGTTTCAATCTTCAGTTGAAAAATTAGAGTTAACAGATCTTGATTTTTGAAACAAGTGTGAGTGATTAACTTTTCATTTGAAAATACCCTGAAAACTACTTAAACGTTTGTCTCAGTGTTACTGCCTTTTGTTCCGTTTGTGACAGTGTGACTGGTGTCTCACCAGTGGGACGTCCTGTGTCTTTTTAATGTTCACCGTTTGAGATATGACTTAAAAGCTTTAACAGACAGGAGCAGTGTTTGCTGTGAGAATCTCATTGATTCAATTCATTCTTCTAGTACCCGGGTTTCCTATTTTGCTGTTTTTGATGGACATGGAGGAATCCGAGCCTCAAAATTTGCTGCGCAGAATTTGCATCAGAACTTAATCAGAAAATTTCCTAAAGGTGAGGCCGAGAACTGAATCGCCTCGTGTTCATTTGGTGTTTGCTGTTTGTATGAGTCAGTGAGGAAGGTCATTTGGGCTTTAGCAGAGAAGCACTGGTGACAATTAAAAGTGGGGCTCAGAGGAGGGGGCTTCGAGGCAAGCAGGTGTCACTGCTGTGCATGTGTGCCACATAGAACTTCTCCGTCTGAGTGATGGATGGGCAGCTCTCGGGAAGGGTCTGGGCCCAAGTGTGTGTCTGGCCTTTACACTTAGGAGACCACTACACCCAGTGCAAGTGGCACAGTCTCATAGGCGAGGGCATAGGTGGCCCATGGTCCTAGTGCATAAATGAAGTGAGTGGGCAGAGGGAACCTCCCCTCCTGGGCGTTTGTTTCCTGTTCCTCTATAACAGGAGATGTCATCAGTGTGGAGAAAACCGTGAAGAGATGCCTTTTGGACACTTTCAAGCACACGGATGAAGAGTTCCTTAAACAAGCTTCAAGCCAGTGAGTACAGCCACGTGAAGATGTGTGAGTGGAGTGTGTGTGGTTTCCTAAATGCGCTTCAGGTCCTCTGATTTGGTTTAATATTCATGCTCACTGTCTGAAAAGCACCAAGTAAGCTCTTATACCACTAGCTGAGTCCGAAGTGGAACCAAAGCAAGTATCAAGGAGCGATTTATTTTAAAGTATAAGACACTGCCCCATTCAGCTCTGGAAATTAGCCTCCAAGTGCCGGCATGTTGGTGGTGACTGTATCTCTGATGTCTCTCCCCCCAGGAAGCCTGCCTGGAAAGATGGGTCCACTGCCACGTGTGTTCTGGCTGTAGACAACATTCTTTATATTGCCAACCTCGGAGATAGTCGGGTATGTGGCCCGAGCCACCCACTTAGATAACAGCATGTCGTGCGGGGAAGACCGTGGCAGGCGCTTGCTGAGTGGAATTAAAATGATGGTGGCGGGTTGGAACCGTGTGGGGTGCTGCCCGGGTCTGCATAGTCTCAGCTCCAGGCAGGGGAACAGCAGCTCAGCCAGAACGCTTCGTTCTCTGGGAAGACTGGCGCCTGTAACAGACCTCTCCTGTGTTCAGACCCAACCGTGCTCCATTGTCTTTGTTTGCCGTGATTTCTTTTGTGTGTGTGCTGCCTGGTGGCACCGTGTGTGTAAGTCACTGAAATACGCTTCAACTTCATTTCTCTGACCTCGGACAGTATGAATGAAAAGTATTTCCGAATCCCTGCCGATCAAAATCGTGACTTCAGATGAACTCAGAAGCTGTAGCTAGAACAATGCTCGGGTGTGGGCTGTTCATCTGCTGAGCCCAGGCCACATGGCTGAAGGAGAAAACCCAATCGTTTCCCCCTGGTGACAGCCTGGTCCCAGTCACTGTGGTGAGAAATGACCTGGAGCTAGCAGGGGACCTCGCAAGGCTGGCTTTAGCCCTTCCCCTTCCTGTGTCAGTTCCGTGGCCAGCCAGCCACGTGTTCCTTCAACCATCATGGTGATGAAGTGACCCCTCCCTCTCTGAGGCAGCATTTTAAGCCTGGAGCAACTGTCCCCTCAGCCCCCGTGGCCTTTAGGGTGATTTATGTGTTTACAGAAAAAAACACTAGGGACACAGTGGTGGCCATCACAGGTGACAGTCCCTGCCTAGTGGAGTTTATATTCTGTGGTTCTCCAGTAGGCTGCCTCTCATACGAATGTGTTTAGACCAGATGGCTTGAAAAATAGCATGAGTAAAATTGGGCAAAACAGAAAAGGATTTGCAGTCAGGCTCAGAGTTGCATCCTGGCGCTGTGTGACATCAGGCATGACACTCACCCTCTGGGCCTCAGCTTCCGCCTCTGTAAGCGGCAGGTTTATCCAGACGTTACCACTTGGCAAACACGGGGGGAAACAGGGAGACGCACTCAGTCAGCACGTCACTCTGCCTCTTCCTGTAGGCTCATTGACTGGGAACTTGGCCCAAAGGGGCTTTGATACTTGTTACAGGCCTCCCTTTTTTGTCACCATGAGCAGACATGGCCACGGGACGGTGCGCTCCTGGCTGCGGTCATCTGCAGAGTGTGCACCAGAGCTGAGCCCACACCGGGGCCTCTCCCTGACTGCTGCCTCTGTGACACACTGTACTGCGACTTCGAACTCGCGTTGTCCACAGGAGTCTGAATCTGAAATTCATTACTACCCTTCCCCTTGCACTGTTAGCTCGGGGCGCCGGCTCCCCGGATTTCACCACGTTGTAATGTCCGTCTCCCCAGGCAATCCTGTGTCGTTACAATGAGGAGAGTCAAAAACACACGGCCTTAAGCCTCAGCAAGGAGCATAATCCAACCCAGTATGAAGAACGAATGAGAATACAGAAGGCTGGAGGGAACGTCAGGTAACCAGGAACTGCCGGGACCCCTGCGGAGGCGGGTTGTCTGTCCAAGGTCTGGCCCGGTGAAGGTGAATGGAGGTTGTAGGATTTCATGTATGTCCCAGTGGGAGTAAAAAATATGTACAAGAGACATGCATCCCTAAATCTGTAAAAGGAGAAAACCAGCCTCAAATTCCAGTTCATCATTTGCAACATTTCTGTGTGCCTGGGAACTTTCATAAATACTGTCATTTGTCCCGAGTAAGCCAGTTTTTGATGAGTTCTCCAAAGAGAACATCTAAAGTGGCTCAGACAGTAAATGCTTGTTGGGCTGACCACCCCTGGGCTCCCTGGAGAGCACTCCTCTGGCACAGGGGGCCCCTTGGGACTGGCTCTGTCTGCACCACTTCCGTTTGCCTCTCCTTAAATCTCTGAGGACCGTGCACCTGTCCTGAGTCATCGCCTGCCCTGTCTCCATGGTAGGAAAGCAGGGTCACTCTTCCACACTGTAGGGTCCCACCCCAGGGACATGGCATTGTGGGTTTGACCAGAAGTGTGTTCTGGTTACTGTACAGCGTGTTGTGGATGAGAGGGAAGTAAGGCTGCAGTCACTTGTTCTTGGATGTGTTGAGAGGCTGGGGAGGGGAGTGCCCCAGCCCCAATCCAGCCAGCGGCGCGGGGAGCCCGGAGAGGAGGCAGAGCTCTCCCAGTTTGCTCTGGGTCGGGGAAGGTGGCTTGCGTCATGCTTGGGCCGTCCGTGTGAGCATGGAGGGGCTCGTAGGCCTGGTGTCTACCTTGGCCGGTGCCGTGGGCCCGATTTTCCCACCGTGACTGCTGTGGAAGTCAGGGCCCCAGCGTGGGACCCCAGTGCTACTGTCAGCGTCACCTTTTCTGCCCGCCCTTCCAACTTGGCCTGAACTCCTGGAAAAGACTTTGACGGTAACGATCCCTTGGCTGAGTGACCGGCTGTGGTGCAGTTTCTTCCTGTTTCCCAGTACCTGCTTAGTAAGAGCCGTGTTTAGGTGCCTTAGGGAGGCCTTTTGGCATTTTGGCCCAGGGTGAACCACTCATTGTAAAGAAGAGGGCGGAGAGCTCAGAGGCCATGCCTGTGCTCCGGAGCAGCATGGCCAGGCTGTGACCCGTCTCCTGCGGAGGCCAGGACTGGCGTGCTGCTTTTCTTCCTTCCCCCTCCCCGCCACTTTTATTACTAGGGTTTTCTAACATGCAGGAAACATTTTTTTTTTTAAGGTTTTTATTGGGGAATTGGGGGAATGGGAACAGCGCTGGGGAATTGGGGGAAGGGGAACAGACAAGTTGCTGTCCTTTTGTTCTTCAGTCTAGTTGTGGAGGACGTCGCTTCACTGGCCCAAGTTGGCACCATCCTTGCGCTCTTCCCGGGTGAGGCAAATCAGTCGCCGGCTTCTGTTCGACCGCTCATGGCGGCTCCTGGCCGCTCACGCTGACTGCTGGCCACACACGGTAGCCCATGGCGACCCACTGCAGCAGGGGCTGCAGCCTACGCTGTCGCCGGCAGCTCACGGCATCCCAGCTCCAGGTTGAGCTTTTGTTCAGCATCTTAGCTGTAGAGGGCAATGTCATTGGCCCTCATGTGGGATCTGAACCGGGGCCCTCTGGCGTCCCAAGCAGCTCTTAACCAATGCGCCACTTGGCTGGCCCTAAAGGTTTCTTTAGATAGATTCAGAGAAATGTTTTTAGCAAAAATGTTTGAGGAGGGATGTTCTATACTTGATAGTCCCTCATGTGAGTAGACAGTCAGGTCACGTTAGGCAATGCTGAGTCTCTGCATGGGTCTGCGATGGTAACGCAGAGTCCCCAAGTGAAGGACAGAGTCCCTGTGTCATCAGCAGGTGGCCTGGCGAGGTACGTCGGCACCTGTAAGCTTTCTGTTTCCCAGCAGCCTTTCACCCGATGGTGTTAACACTGCTTAGTGATTCTTGCCTGAGTCAGTATTTCACAGGGATGACAAAGGTGACTTTCTGTTTCTGGGACCCTTGCTGCAGGTGTGAGCGGGCGTCGTGCAGAGAAAGGCTGGCCCTGCTCAGAGGGGTGAGCCTGGTCTCGTCCTAGGAAGCAGGGTCCTGTTAGTTCCCTCAGTACCAGTTGGCAGCCTCAGCAGCCATCTGCAGCAGTAGGGACCCGTGCCCTTCCTCAGCCCTCTGCTTCCCGCCCTCGCCCCCGCCCTTGCTCTGTAAGTCACTGTGCCAATCCGAGTCCTGGGGTCGTGGCTCTTTGGTCGCTCACGTTATGCCGTCACAGCCAGTGGAGGGAGCTCCTCCGATGACTCCGAGTCCTTCAGACACAGCTGCAGTCATCTTTGAAACTCAGCTCCAGGGACGCTGGTTTCAACTGGGGGTCACTAATTCTAAGTGTTGAGGGCAGAGCTGGGAAAGGGAGCTTCGATCGCTCGCTCTTATTCAGATGTAACAGTTCAGGACTTGCTGTTAACTTCCTGGACTCAGTAGTCGTAGCTCTTCTTTTCTGCTGAAAATCTTGATTCCTAATAATATATTTATCTGCAGTTGTATCACTGTTGGTGAAGTTTGAGTTCCTTGTGGTTCTCTTGTCCTTAAATTGGTCATCACGAAGGATGTACAGGGTGCTATGTGCAAACGGGGAACAATTGCTTTCACTGCCTATGTTACCACCTGGGTTGTTATAATCACTGGTTTCCATTTGTTTTAGATTTTAGGGCTTTCCCCCCTTATTATAAGTCATTTACATGGTGAAATTGGAACCCTTTTGCACTGTTGGTGGGAATGTAAAATGATGCAGCTGCCATGGAAAATAGTGTGGCGGTTCCTCAGAAATCAAATATAGAGTCATCACGTGCTCCAGCAATCCCACTTCTGGGTACAAAGAATTTAAGACAAGGATTGAAGAGATGTGTGCACACCCATGTTCATGGCAGCATTGTTACTGACAATGGCCAAAGCGGGAGCAGCCCGATCGATGGTCCATCCACACAGAATTCTGTTCAGCCTTAAAAAGGAAGGAGTTCCTGTCACACGCCACAATGTGCGTGAACTGTGATGCCATCTCTGAGATAAGACAGCCATGAAAGGACACACACTGTGATTCTACTCATACCAGAGCCGTAGTGTGGCCAGTGTCACCTCAGAGACAGTGGAGTGCGGGCTTTCAGGAGGAGGGTCCAGTGAGTGTTTAGTGGGTGCAGAGTGTAGTCTGGGGAGGTGGAAAGCATCCTGGGGACGGTGGTCATGGTCGCACGGTGTGACCGTGCCTAGCACTGCTGAACTGGACATTTAAAATAGTTAAAATTGGGCCGGCCGAGTGGCTCAGCTGGTTAAGAGCTCACTTAAGAGTTTGAGCTCTGAGCAACAGCGGTTCAATTCCTGGCCCGAGCTGAGCAGCCCCTGAGCTGCCAACAGGTGGCAGGATGGCTCAGCTAAAAAAAAAAAAAAAAAAGTTAAAATGGTCAACATTAGGTTATATATACTTTTACCACAGTTTGAAAAATGAAAACCCACATTTACACTGTTAAATAGCTGAATTAAATAAAAAGGCATATTTAGAGAGACCATGTTTCCATCTGTCCCCTTCGCCCTTATTTCCTGATTCTTTCCAGGGCTTCTTAAAAAAATAAGCAAGTCCGTATGCATATTCTTACTCTTCCTGCTCTCCTGCACCGAACGCAGTGTACTGTCTGCAGCAGTGCCTCATGTCTCCTGTGAGTTCCCCTGAGAAGGTGAAGACAGCTTCAGTTTTATTTTTCAAGGAAGGCAGCTGAGCAGGTGAGGCCAGCTTACACGTGTAGCGTTGAGTTTTCTGTGGGCAGTGCCATGTGCCTGGGACCTGGACAGATCCAGGCTCTGGTATCGAAAGGAAACCGTTCTGGATCGCACTGGGAGTCTTCTCTGCGGAACCCATTGTCTGGAGTCCCTGGACCGGGGCATCTGCCGGCTAACACCTCCCAGCCTTAGCTTTGTAAACAGGTCACGACAGAGCATGTTCCTGTTTTCACTCACGTGCTAGAGGAGCAGAAGTCAGAGCAGCCAGCTCGGCCAGCTTAGCGTCTCGCACTCTGATTATGAAGGAAGAACTGCAACAGAAAGTACCAGCAAAAATAGTGATCCGGGACTCTGTCGAGTGGTCTGCCCACCAATAGGAAAGGCTTCTCTGGTTGATGGACAGGTAGAGGGGAGGCGGGAACTAAAGCAGTGGGAGCCAGTCTTGCTTGTGAAGGGCAGGTGGTACCCAGGCTTGCTGGGTTGGGACTTACAGCCCCTTCTCTCTCAGCGCAGTGGTCTTGGGGGGACTTGAGGGTAGCGGAAGAGAATGAATTCTCATCAGTTTGTTGGGGGACAGCCTGCTGCAAAACCTACGGCTTCCTGTTGTGTCTGAAGTGGTGTGGCTTCAGGAGGCTGGCCGTGTGCAGAGTGCATGGTGGAGTCCCGTTAAGGAGGGGTGACGTAGGCTGCAAACCTAGAGCCCGCGCACCCGCTGCGGCTGCTTCCTGCCTGGTCTGGTCAGCAGTGGTCCCCTTGACCTTGAACTGCTCACGAAGGCAGTGGAGGGCTTTGTTCTCCGCTGATGTGCGGTCTTCCAGCAGGCGCTCTGATGGGCCTGAGCTGAGCTGGCTGGCGTTTGCACACGCACGTCCTGTGCAGGCTGTTGCACTAGGAGCAGGCCAGAGGGCCAGACCAGCTTGCTGTGTCATTTTCTGAAATCTCAGTGGCTTTGCCTGGGTCCGCGATTCTGTCCGTTGTTGTCTCCTGTCACTCTACTTGTTGAGTGAGTGCAGTATTTCCACAGTGTGGGACTTCGCTCAGTAAACAAGCGGAAAGGGCAGTTTCTGGGCTGTGGTGCACATGTGGAGTTGTTCCCTGCTTCCTGTCCTGAGTTCTGCTGCGCCCAGAGCTGCTGGTAGCAGCTGGCCTTCTGGGACCTGGCACCGCACTCAGTCCTCTTAACACAAGGTGCATTTGTTCATGACTTGGCAGAAAGGGGCCCACACTGGGCACCTGGGCAGCTGGTCAGTGAAGAAGCACTTTGTTGGCTTCTCATGGTCCTCGTGCTTTGAGCCGCTTCCTAAATGGTGCTTGTGGGGCTGAGAGCCCCCACCCACCCCCTCTGGTTTTCAGCTCTGCTCCTGTGTGTGCCTTGGCCACTCTTGCTTTTCTAACAGTTGGACTCGAGAGGAGTGCCTTGCTTTTCACAGATGCCAGCACAGGTCTTTGTCGCTGATCCCTCAGCTGTTCCCGCTGGGAGGGTGACTTTGTGGGCACAGTGGAGGGCCAGGGAGGGGCCAGGTGAATTCTGATTTCCAGACGAGGAACTTCCGCCACGGACGGGCCCCCGTGGCGCAACATCTCCAGAGCTGCTTGTTCCACCCTTTAGGAAGCCCCAAGTGACGCTAAACCTCCAGGCACAGCTCTGGTGTCACATCTTGTCCAGTGTGGCTTCTTCCGTTGTACAAATGAGGGTCTGAGGGCCTGGGAGGTGGCAGCTGCCTGAGGTCGCTTGGTGAGTAAGCCCATCTGAATAGTTCTTGGAGGTGACGAGCCAAGGTGTTTCCCCTGCTGATAGGACTGTCACACTGCGTTCCATGTACAGGTCACCTCCCCATCTCTGGACGCCACCTAAAAATAGAACGGGCCAAAGTGTAATGCTGTGTGGAATGCTACCGATAGTATTTAAGTGAAATCTTACCCATACCCCATGGAGAGAAGAGGTGCTTAGGATCTGGGAGTAGCCACTTTCCAGCGTCTTCCCAATCGAATTAGATTCAAATGCGAAATAGCCTTCCGTTCCACCTGTTCTTAACCCTGGCTGCATGCCCAAGTCACCAGAGGGGCTTCGAGCTAATCAACAAACAGAAGAACCAACCAGGCTCCCGCCCAATGCAGTGCCAGTCAAGTCCAGGTGGACGGTGGGCAAATCAACAGGTTAGGCCTGTGCTGCCTCCTAAGCGGCCGCCAGACGGGGGCGCTGTCCCACCGTGTGCCTGGGCTGAGGGGCCAAGGGCAGCAGGGGTGTTCATGGTAATGACCTGGAGCAGGGAGGCTCAGCATAGTCTGCTGTGTGTGTCGGTCAGGCGCTGTCAGCGCTGGTCAGTAATGGGAGTTCTTCGGGCTGCATCCTCACTCTGCCCCATTTTTCTGCTTTTAAGATCAGATCGTCAGTACTGTGGCCCCATGACCTGGCAGACAGTCTGACTTTTCCCCTCATTTCAGGGACGGGCGTGTCTTGGGTGTGCTGGAGGTGTCTCGCTCCATTGGGGATGGGCAGTACAAGCGCTGCGGGGTCACGTCCGTGCCAGACATCAGACGCTGCCAGCTGACCCCCAATGACAGGTAAAGGTGCCCTCCAGAGGCACGGGCACGCACACACATGACCCTGTCCCTCTTCCGGCTCCCGGCTTGTGTAGAGCCATGTCTCAGGCACCGTGCTAGGCCCTGGAGATGCTGAGAGAGAGAGAATATGGTTCTGTTCCAGTGGGCCCCACAGGCTGGCCGGGGAGCACACGTGTGAACAGCTGGTTCCGGTCCAGTGTGTCAGGTGTGGGCTCGTTGGCCACACTGCAGTGGGCCGGGGGCGTCCCAGTGCCGCAGGTGGGGAGCCCTGTCCCATGCCTCCCCGCTCAGCCTCCCCATTCTCCACACCTGCCCTCAGCGTGCCACCTCCTTGCCAACCCCAGGGTCTTGGGACGTGTTTCCCCAGCCCCGCCTCTGGTTTTCCGAATGATGCGCAGGACAGTCTTGTCTGCCCCCTGACCAGCCCCAACCCCGGTTGTACTGCGCCAGCACAGCCTCACACTGGGCTGTGGTCACAGGGTCGAGTGGTCAGTTACTCAGGGTCTGTCACCTCACTGGAGGGGACAGGAGCCGGCTCGGACTTGTCCCTGCTGGTCCCAAGCAGACGACGTGCTCGGTAAGTACTTAGTGACTGAAGGTCCCATCGAAAGGAAAGCTGGGCCCTGGGCGTCACAGTGAGAAAAGCGAGGTGGTGAAGCCGCGGGGAGGAGGCGCCTCGGCGCCAGCAGAGCTGGGGCTTGCTCGCCTGGGCAGCTCTGTTCAGAAGACTCGCCTTGGGATGTGCAGGGGACGGGGCTTTTCAGACAGTGAGGGTGGGAGGGTGGGTGTCCTCCCTGGGGCCTCGGACTCCGCGCATGTGGCCGTCATGTGGGTAGCGAGTGTTTAAGGGTGTCCCCTGTAAGTTACACCTCCAGCTTCATGTCTTTGGCAAGTGGCACGAGGCACGTGGTGACGGAAATGCAGTATATACTTACCGTAATGCCTGATGCTTTTATTCGGTGATTTCCTGTTTGAGTTTCCCTAAGAAAGCATCACCGAACATTTGAATTAATCCATTCTTATCATTGAGCAGAAGGGGTCCCAGTTTTGATGTATAACACCCACCTACAGGTGTTCTTAAGTAGTTTTAACCTTTGTCTCATAGAAGTTAAATTGGTTTTTAAAGTTCTTAGCCTTTGAGTATTTGGACAAGCGTTTATTTTACCTCTTATAAAGTTGGCTATTAAAAGCCATTTATGTCTCTTCCCTGTGTTGTAGGTTCATTTTGCTTGCCTGTGACGGCCTCTTCAAGGTCTTCAACCCAGAAGAAGCTGTGAACTTCATCTTGTCCTGCCTTGAGGTGAGACATCTCCCAAAGGAGTGCCAGTTGTTCCAGCTGCACCCTAGCTTTTAGAGAAGTTTTGAGACACCCCGTCCCTGCCCCGCGTCCCCGTTGCCGGGGGGCAGCCCTCACGTGCATTTCCAGCGTCGGCTCTGCCCAGCTCTCCCTGCCCGCCCTGATGGGCACGGGAGCAGTACTTCCTCATGGGGTACAGTCTCAGGAGGGTGATGGGGGAGGGCCCCCGTTCACCACTGCCCTTCCTGTCGGTAGGATGAGAAGATCCAGAGCCGGGAAGGGAAGTCCGCCATTGATGCCCGCTACGAAGCCGCCTGCAACCGGCTGGCCAGCAAGGCGGTGCAGCGGGGCTCGGCGGACAACGTCACGGTGATGGTGGTGCGGATCGGGCTCTGAGGGCCGCGCGGCCGGGCCTGGCATGGCGATGACTTCGAGGGTTTATTTGTGTGTGCGCATCGTGTTCCGTGTACTCCTGTGGGACTCCCATGCTTGTAAATAAAGGTTCCTTTTTTTTCTAGTCTTTTGAGTTACTACGTGTTGAGCAGCCCTTGACCCTTTGGAGGTTGTGTTTGGTTTTGAATATGCTCTGGGTCTTCGTGTTAAAACCACTATGGGCATCTTGGCGGACCAGCTCGTGATAATGACCCGCAAACTGCTTGTTGGGCACTGTTTCGTAAGGGGGGTGAATAAAAATACGGTGAATGTTTAAATTAAAAAAAAAATTACAGTAAAAAAGAGACATTGATTGCCATTAAGCCCCTCGCTTTGAACACATCCCATTGCTCTTGGCACTTTTGAAGCAGCTCTGGAAGTCCTCTTTCGTCAGTGTCTTAGTCCTTCATCATGACAATGCTCCGTGTCACACATCACTTCTAGTACAACAGTTTCTGTCAAAAACATTACCGTGTTTCCTCATCCCCCTTATTCACCGGATCTGGCACTGTGCGACTTCTGGGTCTTCCCCAAAGTCAAAATGACTCAGAACATCGAGGCAGCCAAGACAGCGCAAAATAGACACAGAAGAGGACTTCCAGAACTGCTTCAGAAAGGGGCACGAGCGATGGGATGAGTGTGTTCAAAGTGAGGGGAGTATCCTGCGGGGGGTTAGTGGCAATGTGTCTTTTTACTGTAATACATTTTTAAAATTTTTAACATTCACCGTAGTTTTTTTATCACACCTCATAGTTTTCGGGCACCTTACTTGTGCTCTGTCACCCTCATGATGGCCCTTTATAGTGAGGAAATTGAGGTGACGAAGGGCTTAGACAGGCTAGGTCCCGACCACAGTGCTGTGGGAGCCCTCTGGCTTCTCTGCTTTCCGGACAAAAGCTTGCAAAACGTTTCGTAGCTCGATCTGGGCTTAGCCGGGAGAGTAGACTGACCACGCCGTCGTGTCCTGTGGAGCAGGTGCCCCGACAGGCCCCCAGAGACAGCAAGGGGTTCAGTTTTGTTTCTGATTCCACTGGTAGCAGATGCAGCCTGGACGGCACTGGGGGGTGCGGCTTGCTGACCCCCCCCCACACACACACACACACACATCCCTGAGAGAGGAACGCACACTCTCCGTGTGGGCAGTCGGGCTGCTGTCCCTGTGGCCAGGAGCCCGCTTCCTGTTTGGGAACGTTCTCTTGGCTCTGCTGGGCTGAGGTTGGTCTCCCCACTGACACCCCAAAGGGGACTCCGTGTTAAAGATGCTAAAAGGAGGAAGGCACGTGCTCAGCCCACATGGAACGTGAGACTACTCGAGCCCATATTTCTATAAAACAAGTCAGAATTGCTGTAATCACCTGCTGGTAAAGCAGCTCTGAGGTCCTTGTGTAAATGCTTGCCTCAGGATGATGTAAGATTCCCCAAACTTGCCTTTGAAGCCGTTGCGTAATGCTCACTGGCCCTCGCCCAGCACACACACAGCCTTATCACCCTGGCAGTTCCCTCAGTGGAATTGGTGTCCCTCTGCCAGGACCTCGGGGAAGGCTGGAGCACATCCTTCTGCAGTGTCAAGAGCCAGGCTCCATTTCTGCTGAGGACTGTGACATCATAGCGTGGCACCATTGAACAAAAGAACCTCAGAATCGGGAAATAGAACAATTTATTCAGTACACATCTTCCTGTAGCAAACGAGGTGTCAATCTGTGACTCACACGTCCCAAATTCCCAGAGTGCCACTGTCCCAGAGCTGGGAGAGGCCGGGCACTGTGGCTTCCCCGGCAAGGGTGCCCCCCGCCCTCCCAGAGGCCCCTGCCATCCTTGGGCCTGGCCGGAATGATGATTCCGTATTTTCAGGCCTATGCCGTTTTTGTAACTGTATAATCACATAACACAATTCTTAAGTACTTGAATCACTCCATAAAATCAGTTATATAAATATATTTCACCTGGCAATATTATATAATAAATACTTCAATAAATTGCTGTATATCACACGTATGTGGAGAAAATGAAAGATCTGTGGCTTTTTCGAGGGTAAAAGATAACTTTTCTAAAATATCTGTGTCCACTGGATACAAAGTGAAATCCAGCAAAGGGTGGGGCTGCACCACCCCTTATCAGCGTAGGGAGGCAGGACAGGCCGGCTGGCACTTCCTGGTAGGGAGGGTGCAAGTCCTACTCAGAATTGCGTCAGACCTGCCAAGGGGCAGAGTGGTGGGTTTGTGGGTTTGTTGCGCTTGGGGGGCCTGGCTGGGAGAGATGTTTCTGTGGGAATGGACGCTTCGGGCTCCTGCGGACAGGCCTGGCCTTGGTCAGCTGCTCATTCTGAGGCCAGATAGAAGGTTAGGGTGACAGCAGCCATCGCCCCCTTCTTTCCCAGGTCTGAATGTACCCAGCTTGGTCCCCAGGACATCCTGTGGTACCAGGTCTCATGTTAGCAGGGTGTGCAGGGATGGGGGTTGGGGTAACTTTCTCCGCAGGCAGTTGGGGGTGCGGGGCTGGAGGGAACACCCGCCTGGGATGGTCCTGCACTGTGGAAGAAGTGTGCTGCAGCCCGACAACACCTGTGTCTCCTCGTGGGAATGTCTCCACACCCCCAGGTCCCATCACTGCTACAGCAGCATCGTGGACTTGGTCCCCAGCCTTCCCACGACCAGATCTTCCTCAGCACGGGCTCCTCCAGCTGGCAGAGCCCAGGGCCACATTCCCACCCAGCTAGGCCACGGGTGGGCACCGGAGCTGTGGGCGGTGGGAAGCCATGCTCCGCCTGGCCAGGTGGGTGGGCAGGGCCTGGCCGTCTAACCTGCAGAGATGTACTCGCTCCGTCATCTGGCTCCAAGCAGGGAGTCAGCCTCGCAGGCGGAAGAGGGGCCTAGTCTGAACAGGCTGGCAGACGGGGAGAGGGCAGCTCCTGTCTGCAAGGTGAACATCCCAGTTCGCTCGCACACGGGAGTGAAACCGATCTTGGAAGCTGGGCCCAGACTCGCTCCCTCCATAAGCCCTTTCCAGGCTGGCGTCTAAGACTGCTGTGCCGAGGGGGCCACGAGAGTCTTGGGTCCTGTGGTCACTGCAGGCCATGGGCAGGCCACAGGCATGGTCTGGGGAGGGGCAGGCAGGGAGTAGGGAGCCCCGGGTAGAGATGGGACTGGTGGGAAGGCTCCTGCCCACACCGGCCTCACCACGCCGCTCACATCCCCTTGGAGGCCCCTCAGCCCTGCACAGCCTGCCCCTCCACACAGGGCACCCAGGCAGGCCGACCAGCCTTTGCCCTCCATGCTGGCACTCAGGCAACCCATGAGAACCTTGAGAGAGAAGGAAACGGTGGGGCTGGGCCAGAAATAGCAGCTGAGGCTGTAGGCAAGCCGCCTAATAGGCCAGGAGGGGTCCACAGCCAGGGGCGAAGCAAGCGCCTCTGGGTGCACTGACCCCACCTAGAAACGGCTGCGGATCACAGCCCACCAGGGCCGTTCCCTGTAACGAGGGGTCCTGAAGTCAGCCCTGGCTCTGGGGCCGCACGCAGGTCTGCATGTCCCCTCCCCCGGCTGCCTGCAGTGGCCATCTCGGGGCTGGACTGTGGTGACCAATGTGGGCAGTTCCAGTGGGCTTCCTCCAGCAGGGGCCTCTGCCACTCCCACGCTGCCCAGAGAGCTCTGCCGGGCGGTGGCCCCTCGCGCCGAGCAGAAGAGGGCAGCGCCGGTCACACGCCAAGGAGGACGGCACTGAAGTGGGAGCCGCTGCGCACCGTGAGTGGGGAGCTGCTGGCGTTGTCCAGGAAGACGGAGGTGTACTGCCCCGTCTGTGGGGAAGGGCAGTCAGCCTGGACGCTGCCAGCCACACCCCATGCCCACTCGGCCGTGCCAAGGACGGGCTTGGCAGGCCTTGCCCTCAAACCCAGTGCCTGATCCCTATCTACTGCTTTTCCCCCAACTCCACTGCCCCCACCACCATCACGTTGACGGGCTCCTACAGGTCACATGTGGGGGTGAGCCTCTGCTCAGGGCCAGAGGGATAGAGTCGGGATTCTCCACTGCTCAAGGAGCCTGTTGGGTTCTAAACTGGGGTGTCAGGGAGGCCTTGCCCCCCAGGCCTGGCCCCTGACCCATCAGTACTCTGGTCTGGCTGCTCCAAGTGTGGTCCAGACTCCAGCAGGGTCCCCTCCTCCGGGAACTCCCAGAACTGCAGACTGGGGACCCCGGGTGTACCGTGTGTGCCATTTCATTTCTCCCATCAGGCTCTGCAGTGCCCGGGGACCAGATTGCTAAATGCCTTTCAGCAGCCACAGCTGCCGAGCCAGACAGCCTGACCTCTAATCCTGACTGCTGTGTGAGCTTGGGCAAGTTACTCAACCTTTCTGTGCCTTAGTTCCTATTTATAAATGGGAATATTAGTACCCACCTCAAAGTGCTGCGAGAATTAAATGAGTCGTTTATGTGAAGCGCCTAGAATGGGGCCAGGCATAGTGCTATTTAAATGTGAGCTGCTGTCCTCACATCCACCTAAATTTTTTCTTTTTTAGTGAGTCCCACCGTTACATCAATCCTTGACTACTGGGCCAAGTTCCCATAGTACCAGAGACTGTCGTTTGGGTTTTGTGTAGGAGATAACTATGTTCTGCTTCCCACAGGGGCAGTGGGCCCAGGTGTCATGGCCCAGCCTGGGCCATGGAGTGGACCCCTGTGCTCTCACACCACCCTATGGGTCCCTATGGAGGGCCTGTTGGGGCCAGGAGCGCCAGCCCTCGGGAAGTCGGAAAGCTGGACTGCGAGCAGCTGCTGAGGACCAGCGGCCCTGCAGGCACAGCAGCTTTGGGGGAAGGTCCTGGCCGTGGCCTGGCTCTGCCTGACTAGCCTGAGTGCTGTGGCGCTGCCCCGAACCTCTCCCAGACCTGGAGTCAGGGCAACGTTCCCAGAGCACCCTGCCAGGCCACCCACAGCCATGCCCAGGTGGCGCCCCCATGCCCGAGACTGCCCCGCATCTGCCCCGCACCTGCCCCGCACCTGCAGATACAGGACGCCGTTTACCGAGACGGTGAAGAGCTCGCTGCTGCTCTCCAGGCCTGTGACAGCCTCCAGGGAGCTGTGGCCAAAGCAGAAAGAGGGTCAGCCAGAGCCCACCGCTCCAGATCTCCCCAACTTCAACCACAATGTGCTCACAGCAGACTCGGGGCCCAGCAAAGTGCCTTGGGACAGCCGTCTTGGTCAGGTCTTTGGTGGCGGTGGTATCTGAACTGGTCCCCAAGAGGAGTGAGGACAGTCTCCACAGGGCCAAAGGCATGCCGCAGGTGCCAGGAGAGGCCAGCCTGGGCCCAGACCAGGGGCCGCTCTGCTGGGGAACAGGGCACTGGGGGGTGGGGGTGGGCAGCAGTGCGGCCAAAAAGCTGTTTCAGGCCAATTCGTGGAGGGTCTTTCAAAACCAGAGGTTTTAAACGTCACTCGCTCATGCCTTCTATGGCCACTGGGGGCGCCTGCGTGTGCCTGGGATACATCGGATGCAGGCTTGCCACCCCCACCCCCACCCCCGGGCCAGGTGCACCGCGAAGAGGGGCACATGAAGAAAGGTCACAGGAGAGGGGTGGGAGCCTAAACGCGGAGCAGACAGCGCCTCTGGACGAGAGGGCGGGAGGCTGGGAGGACCCGCCTCCCACGCTCTGGGAAGGGGTTGGGGGTGTGCCCAGGGAGCCGGGATGTGCATGTTAGCAGCCCCAGCTGCTGAGAAGGGTCAGCGGATGGGACCTGGAGCAGACCCGGGGAGCAGGAAGGAGGCCTCGGGGTCACCCCGGCCACAGCGGCGGCGGGGACCGAGGAAAGGGTCCTTCCAAGCGGGAGAGGGCGGGGGACGACAGTGGGCGGAGCCAGGTCTGGTGTCTGTTAAGCAGCGTGACAGCCCCAGCTCCCCCGTCCCCACGCCGCGCCCACTCACACGTTGCGCTGGCACCTGGACTGGATGCAAATCAGCAGGCGCAGGCGGTCCCGGGGGCGCGGCGGCCCCCGCCTCGGCTGCTCCGCCAGAGCTACAGGAGGGGCGGGGTGGTCATGGTTTGGGGTGGGTGGTGTGGGCCGTCCCTCCTCCCCCGGTTCCCGTTCCCACCCCTTCCCCCACCGGTCGCGGGCCTCACCCACGTGCAGCGTGGCGGCGAGCGCGTAGAAGCCAGCGACTGGCGCCGTGTACTGGCCGCTGGTCAGGTTCAGGCCCGGGCCGCGGCGGAAGGCACCCTCGGCGTCGGGCTGCGGGACGCGCGCACGGTCACCCCGGGCGCCGCCTCCCTCCCCTCCCCGCCCCGGCCGCCCCGGCCGCCCGGCCCCGACTCACCAGGTAGTAGACACCGAGCTCGTGCAGCGCGCGTCGCTCCACCGACGCGTCCCGGCGTAGGCGGCAGTGGAAGGCGGCCTCGACGCGCGGCGCCCGCGGGCCCGGGGCCAGGGGAGCAGCCAGCAGCGCCAGCACGCCCGCGCCCCCCGCCGCCTCCTCGCGGTCCTCCGGCGTGGCGGCCGGGGCGGTGGCGGGGCCGCGCGTGCAGGACTCAGGCTCCACGCGCTCACGCTGCCTCACTGCTCCTGGCACGAGGCAAGCAGCAGGCGTGTGCCGGGCCCACCCTGCCCCTCCTTCCGTGCCCCGGACCCGTTTTCCAAAACCCGGCACAGGACACCCCTATCGGCCGCAGGGTGGACGGAAGCTTTGCTTCCCGAGTCTATCGCTACTCCTGTTTCCTTTTACGCTTTGGCTACCAGGGCGCTCAGGGCAGACTCGCACCCAGTGCCCTTGCTCTTTGCCTCACCTCCCTATCCTACTCACATTTCCCCCTTGGTGCTGCTGTTTTTTCTGTTTACGCTTTTATTGGCGAATGCCATGGTCTCAGCCAGCCCTGGTATTTTTGGAAGGAAACTGGGGGTAAATAAACAATTACTGCAGCTATACTGGAAATATGGAGGTTCCTCAGCTGTTGAAGCTCGTTTATTTCAATGAGCGCTACATTGAATTGATGGGGGAAATGCTCTCTCACTAACTCTTCTTAATAAAATTAATCTAGTGAATAATGTGAGTAGCCCGTCAGCAGCTGGCCACAGACAGCCCCCAGCACAACGGCTCAGCTCTGCTGTCTCCCTCTGTGCCCTCCAGTCCTGCTGCCCAGCCTGGGCCAGGCGGTGGCCTGGGGATGCCAGGCTGTGCTGCCCCACTGCATTGTGCCCTCGGCCCCTCTTGGTGCCCTCCCATGAGGCTGTGCCAGCAGCTGAGATCTGTCAGAGGGAGAGGCAGAGGTGAAAAGGGGGAGAAGGTGGGTTCGGTAGCCAGGGCCTCTGTTGAAGGGGGTGAGCGTCGTATCTCCCCGTGTCACCGTGGGGATCAGAGCACTCTGCAAGCTTAAGGAGCCCTGACCCCTCCCTGATAGTCCCACTTAGGGGGTGGGGGTTCAGGTCTCCTGGCCTTCGCTGGCCTCACCTGACTTCTAGGTGGGGCGTGGGTGCTGGTCCCCGTGGACCTACTGAGCACCGAGTGGTCAAGTCCACCTTGCTCTGTGGCACGTCCTCCTTACCACACACCCACCACCGGCGCCTGACCCTCAGCCCGACCCAGGCCAGCTGGGTGGCCCCTGAGTCTGGCAGCATAGGGGCCTCCTCGGATGCTGCTGACATGCGGGGGTCCAACCCGTCTCAACTCTTCCAGGACCTCCCGGGGCCCACTCACACCCAAGAGGGGGTATGTGCCCACATGGTGTGCACCCCTACCTTTCAGCAGCAGCTGGAACTCCTTCAGCAGTACATCAGGTGGGATATTGGGGCCTGGCGGGCCTTGTGGACCGGGGGGCCCCGGGGGTCCTGGCAGGCCGAGCTGAAAGGGAACCTTGGCAGTGAGCACATCTGATTGGCAGGCCGCGATCCGTGGGCACCTGCTCTGCAAGCTCTTGCCACTAAGAGGCAGGTGAGAAGGGCTCCCACTTTGACCTCCGACCTCCAAGGCAGAGGTCAGCCTCAGGGGCCTCAGACTCCGCTGAGAAGGCAGTGAGCACCCGTGCTTTGAAAGCTGCCCTCCCAGGCCAACGCAGACCTCCCGTACCAGGATGCAGAGGGAAGAGAAAGGGGTAGCACGGGGCTGCCTGGCATTTCAGGTGCAGGGTAAAGTGTTGAAACAGACCCCAAACTCAGGGTTGCCTGCGCCCCCGGCAGGGCACTTCCTGTGCTCTCTGACCCCAGGCTGGGTCAGATGCTCGGGTGTGCCAGTGGGGGCCGGCAAGGTCCGTAGGGGGAGATGGTGGGGCTGGGCATTGGGAGTGGACCCGCAGATACAGGCCACACACACACACATGCGCACACGTGCTGCCGGGGTCCCCTGCTCACCTTCAGCTTCTTGGCTTTGCCTCTGCTCCCCCTCTTGCCATTGACGCCCTTGTCACTCTGCCTGACGAAGAGCATCCACGTGTCCCGCGGGTCGATGCTGTGTGCTCGCCCAGCGGTCGGCTCCTAGAACACAGCCGCCGTCAGGCTGGTCCCCCCGCACCCCCACAGAGCACCCACTGAGCAGATGGGGTGCTTTTCAGGTCCCTGGGCAGGACTGGCCTTCAGCACCTCGGGCTCCTGTCCTTGTCAACAGTGGTGCCCTCAAAGCCAGCACAGCCCTGGGGACGACCCCTAGGGAAGAGGTCACACCGCAGCCTGGACTTTGTGGGGAAAGAGGACCCAGGACATGGCAGAAAATGATGGGGTGCAGAGCTCTGTATCAGGTGGCAACCCTGGCACCGCTGGGCCACGGGAGCTGCAGTGCACACACCTTCCCGGGAGAGTTACCAGGAGGACTGGATCACCGATACCCGCAGGTGCCCAGGAAGAGGTGACTGTGATTATCAGGGTCTCCAGCTACCAGCAGCACCCCGCCCCCAGCCCCATGGTCCAGAGTTCCAGGGAGCCCAATTTCAGCCCTCACAGTCCAGGGCGGTTAGGGGGTCTGAGTGGTCCAGCAGTGCTATCATGACTCAAGGTCTGTGCACGGGGTGTGACTACTCATCTTCCTCAGGACTTCCGGGACACTTAGCCCAAGCAAGGACAGTGACGGCTCCAGAAACATCCATCCGTTCCCCTGCATGTTGCATTCTGACCGTTCTGACACTAAGGAAAGTTCCAGGAGGAATTGTCCAGGAAGAGGCCTTTGGCCCATTGGGCAGTGGGCCTCAGATGGGCTGGTTCCAGGCAAGGCTGCCAGCCGGGAAGGAAACTGGCCCAAGAGGGCTTTGATGAGGTCACGGGTGCCGACTCTGGTGGCGGATGCAAGGTCCCGGGTTTTTAGAGCTGGCCAGGTCTTTCCATGCGAGACAGGCCCTGTGGTCCCCCAGCCACTCTGTAGGGACCTCTGTCTTCCTTCAGGAGCCACGCTGCTGTGGGGGAAGGTGGGGGCTTCCGCGTTGCAGGAGCCTGAGTGCCTGGGGCCCTCCGTCTTCTCATCTTCTCGTCTTCCCCACGTCTCACTGGGCGGGGCGCCCTGCGAGGTGCCACCTTGCTGGCTGCACCCCAGGACCTGTGAGCCCACTTTAAAGCCTAACGCCACCCTTGATGGAAACACGTGGCAGGTTTCCACGAAGGCTGGACGGCATGCCCAGCTGACCCTCCCAGCTGGACCAGTGGCCTGTGGATGAACTCGGCCACCAGTTTGGTTTGGGGGAAGCAGAATCAGGTGGAGACATGTCGGTCTGGGGACCTATGAGATGGGCCTGCTGCAGTGTGGGTGGGTGTCTGGCAGCTGCCCTGGCTGACCGAGGTCTCCAGCCTTGAGGGGCTCTCAGAAAAGAGCTGGGGAGCCTCTGGTGCCACCTTGGCCCTGCAAAAGGTCCAAAGCACCCCAGTTCCCCCTTTGCTTCCTGGCAACCATATCCTGATATCTGGTGGCCCTGCCCCTTGGGGTGTGGCTGCCTGTCTGGGCGGGGGCTGCCTTCAATCCAAGGGAAGTGGCTGGGGTGATAGGTAGAGACAGGACTTTGGGGAGGCCCCTCCCAGGGAGCCTGAAGGACTGGCTGCCACCTCCGCCAGTGGTGGCTTCCTTGGCCTTCCTGGTTCCAAGTGTGATGCTGAGAGCAGAGGGGTGCAGGCCGGGGGCCCCCCTGACTCCCCGCCCTTTGCATTTCCCATAAGCATCTTGGTAAGACATGGAACCCAGACCACCTTCCCATCGGAAAGGCCCCGCCCACACTGAGGGCTCCTCCCAAAGCCCCCCAAGTGCCCGCCTTCTCCACCCTGACCACCCTCTGCACCCGCTGGGAATGAAGGAGCCGGCAGAACTAAAGGTCGCCCCTTCACAGCCAGAAGTCACACGTCATGGGGGCGTGGGTTCTGCACCCCAACACCCACACTCCTTTCCCCGGACCTGCAGGAAGGCACTTTTTGTTTTTCACAGGGACTTGCACCCAATAGATTGGGGGAGGGGGTCAGTAATGTGCTCACACGTTTACAAGTACGTTCTTCACAATTTCAAGAGAATTAAGTTATTTACATTTTTTTCCCAATCTCCTCCTGCCCCCCCCCAACACAGCATTTTCCCTGGCCTAGTAGAATTTTACTTTAATGCCAAAGAAAGCTGCCCAAAGCCAAGGTCAAGGCTGGCTGGCCTTCACAGCGCTCGGCCGTACAGAGGGGCAGCGTCCAGACCACCGCCTCCCCCCGCCCCCCCCCGTCTCCATGGCGCCCCACAAGCTAAGCGTTTTATCTATCCCCGTGTTAGGAAGGAGGGCACCAAAGCCCGCGGTGCCGCGCGTCCACCCCCTGGTCGCAAGCCCCCCTCTCGGTGCGTCCTGGACCTCAGCGGGGTTCGGACCCCGGGCGGGGAAACGGAGGCCCGGAGGTGTCCGCGGCGGGGGGCCCGTCGCGCGTCGCGGCGTCTTACCGGCGGGCGGGTGGCCGGCCCCGCGCGGCTGCCCCCGGAGCTCGCGGGCAGGTCGTTTCCGGGCCGCGGCTCCTCGCGGACGCGGCTCCCCGAGGGCGCGCCGAGGTCCTGGGGGCCCGGGCCGGCGAGCAACAGGCGGGCTCCCGCCGGGCGGCGGGCGGAGGCCATGCGGGCGGCGGGCGCTGTCGGCTGCGGGAGCGGCGTCTGGACTCGCGCGCCGGCTCCGCGCCTTATAAGCCGCTTGAATCCCCCGCCTCGCGGGGCCGCGCGTCGCCGCCCAGCGCCCCCTCCCGGCTCGGCCGCGCGCTGCAGCGGGGGTGCGGGCAGGGCGGGGGCGCAGGGGAGGGCAGGGGGTGCAGGGCGTGACCGCGGAGCCTCCCAGGGGGCGCAGGGAGCAGCCCCTCGAGGTGGCTGGAGCGCCCCCTCCCGTCGAGCGCGCTTCAGTTCCAACTGCAGGCTCCTGGGTCCCTCCCCGCGCGCTGTCCAGCACTTGTGTTTCTCGGGGAGCCGGGGTGCCCCTTCTCCCGGCCCTGAACTCTCTGCCCTGGCGATTCCCTTCTCTCGGCAGGAAGCCGGGACGCCCCCCTCCTCCCGGCCCCAGGACATTCTTTCTCCCCAGCGCCCTGCGAGATCCAGGCTGAGCACATCGAAGCGGGAAGACCCTCAGGGCCCCTCTCGGCGCCCCTTTCCCAGGAAAGGACCCTCCCTTCCGGGGCTACCTTCTTCCCATGGCTGGGGCGCCCTGAGCTCAGGGAGGCACTGAGGGGCACCCGCAGGGACCTGGAGGGGTGGTGCGGGAAGCAAATCTACAGCCTGAGGCAGATGCCCTGCACTGATGGGGGTGGACAAGACCTGGGCTGGGAGAACTAGCCAGGTGTGGGGGGCAGGCACCACCAGGAACCAGGCTGTCCACTGACCACGGCTCAGCGCAGGGCACCCCACTGGAACCGGTGGACCGGACCCCGCAGGCCCGGAGAAGGGCCACCCCCACCCCTCCCTGGGCTCTTTGTTCCATTAAGTGCCCACTGCCTGTCACCCCCCCTTCCCCCAAGGTAGTCACATCAGGGCAGCATTCCGGGCTCTCTGTGCCCCCTCCCCTCCCCGGCTCCCCGCACCTAGTGGGCACACAGTGCATTTTGTTCAGGCATGGGGGAAGGCCCGGCTGAGGAATGCCCCTTCCCAGGCCTGCCACCCACACCAAGGGACGGGCCTCTTCTCGCCCTGACCTGTTTCGCAGAGCGTGGTGCCTCCAACTAAGAACAGGTGGTGCTGGCCCCCAGCCCGGGCAGGGCCCTGGGTAACCCTCAGTCAGCAGCCCTGCATCACCGAGTCTCTCTCCTACCCTCAGCCACGGTTCCAGGGCTGGCTTCGGGCCCCAGACAGGGAGACAGGAAACGCTCCACAGTTTAGAAAAAGCCTGGTGTTAGGTGTTAACTGTTCCTCGTGATTCTCCCTCTTTTCCTGTAGGACGTATGGGGGACAGTAGAGGGGTTTTTTGGGGGGTGGGGGAGTTAAAGAAGAAAATGATCCTACCCATCCTGAGAATGTGTCCCCAGGAGTCAGTGTGTCCCCATAGTGACGCTACAAGGGTGTCTTTCAAAGGCAAATCAGGACCGAAAAAGAGAAACACAGTTTATGGAATTTGTACTTAACACAGTCTATGAACTTACTTCATCTGCAAACATTCAGCAGCTTTGTTACAAATAAGGACACTCTCTCCAAATCCGTGGGGGTGTCGCTGGAAGGCCCCTCAAAGAATAAAGGATTTCTCAGGTGGCTTCTCATTTCTGGTCCCACAAGCAAAGTCTGGTAGGAAGCCTGGTGTTGAAGCTGGGTAACGACATGTTTGTACGTGCTGGGGCGTGTGCTTCCGTGTCAAGTATTAACATTTAGTTCGCTTTCCTCCATTTGGGGAGACTGTGACCATAGGACGCTGAGTGAGGGGTGTTCTCTTTGCTGAAGCCTGCGATTGGCTGGCAGAGCGGGGCTCCTGTCCCCAGGGGATCCTGCTCTGTGAACGTCCATACCCAGCACCTCACTGCTTCTCACAGACCCCACTGATTGGCCCAGCAAGGTGGCTGGCTCGCCCAGGGACACACAGCCGGGCCCATCTTCACAGCCACACGTTTTGCCCATTTAGGGGAGGGTCCTTCCTACTGTAGATGGTGTGAGATTTGAGCTCCGTTATCGTAGTCAAAGGTTATTGAAGACAATATGATCCTGCCTTTTCCTGAAAACAAACAGGTACCCCAGGTGCGGGATTTCCTGTGGGGTCTGGCTATGAGGGCAGCCCAGGCAAACAAGTGTGCCTGGCCATTCTTGGGCCCAGGGGCTTGTCCACGGGGCTTTTCTCCCCAGGGGGGTTGGGGGGGGAATGCTACGAGGCACTCGGTGGGAGGAAGGGGGCTCTCCTTGGTGGCCGGCCTGTCTGTGAGTACCTCGGAGTCTGTTTTGGAGAGCAGGAATTAACGCACGTGAGCTCTTGGGGCCTGCTCTACAATGAGCCGGGTTCACGGTGGGTGCTGTGTGGGGCAGACAGTGAGATCTGCCTGCCTCCCAGGCTGCCTGGGCAGTGTGGGTCCCTGGTGAGGCCACCAGCACCACGCCACAGGGTGGTGCCCTTAGACCTACGTGAAGACCGAGCTCCGGGTCACGTGGTCGGAACCCAGGACAGACCCAGCAGTGGGTTTGCTCACCAATTTGGTCCTTGAATGGCCATGTGGAGCAAAGGTCACATGTGGCTTTGGAGGAGGCACATCTAGGCTCTTTCAGCACTCACCCCTCTGAAACCCAGTTGACTGGTCTGTGAAGTGGGCATGATAACAGCTGGTGGCCCTGAGCCCTTGTCTGGATGCTGCTCGTGAGGGAGGTGTGAGCCGGCCAGACCAAAGTCAGGAGAAGGAGCCGGTGATGCTCAGCCTCCTGCACATGAGCCAGGATTCTGTCCACAGGGGCACGGGGCACGCTACCCTCAGGGCCAGATGCCATTGGGGCCCACCTACACCCCAGGAGGTGGGCTCAGGCTCTGCCATCTTCAGCAACACCAGGAATGTGTGGGTCAGAGAGACCCAACTGGGGGCTCATGTGATCCTTAAGATGTTCGTGGGACATCATGTCCACCTCACAGTGGGGGGCCCCAGCCCGCATGAGGCCAGCGTTGAGGTCAGGAGCTGTTGCCATGTGAAAACAGTTATTTTCCCAAACAGTGAACAATCCTAGTGATGTCATAGGCCCTGCAGAGGGCCCAAATCAAATCGGTTCTGGTGCTGGTGAAGCTCCTGGAACACTATCCCAAGGTGATGACACAGCCTGGCCCGGGGCAGGAGAGTACAGAGGGCGGGGGGCCTTTCAGGTAGGGTGCCCTGAGTGTTTCTGGGGTCACATTTCAAAAACCACATCCATTAAAGGAGGGCGGGGCCTAGCAAAGACTCACACAGGCCAACCACCTGATGGCACTGGACACCCCTCCCCCTGCAGCAGCCCACAGGGCCAGTAGTGGGGGCAGCATGGGGGAGTGGTTAACGAATCCCAGGGTGGAGGTACTGAGTGAGGGGCCACAGAAGGGGCTCAGGCAGAGCAGGGGGAGCCTCCCCCACGTGCCTTCACGCCTGGCTGAAATCTAATCCTCATTCTTGGGCCCTCATGTCACAGCCTCAGCCCTGGCTTCCCAGAGGCCTGATGCAGTCAAGCTGTTCCCATTCTCCTCTCTTCCTCCAGAGGAAGGACCTTTGCGGATGAAGTCATGGGAATGAAAGCTCCCTTTGCCCCGAAAACAGTGGAAGCCTGAAGTCGGCTTGTTGTGTGGCCTCCCGGTGTACAGACAGGCAAGCTTTGCTCTTTACCAGAGTCTCCCCAGCATGTGACATCATCTAATTCTCAAATCAGGTGATGATTCCCACTGCACGGATGGGGACACTGAGGCTCAGCTCTTGGGACTGGCCCAAGGTCACGATGCCACCAAATGAACCCTCATCCAGATCCAGCCCTCACAGCTTGAGGCCAGTAGCTCTGAGGAACCCACAGGCGCAATTCAATTCAGTGAACGTTTGCTCAGTTCTCGCTGGTGCCAGGCACAGGGTCAAGTGCTGTCCTCAGCCCGCCCTGGACAGGGCCCTGCACAGCTTTGTCTTTCTCACTTCCGCCCAGAGGGTCTCTTGGGTTGTTTCCTGCTAATTGTTTCCATGTTTCCAGTAGATTAATTTCAAAAATTACACTTTAGTTCACCTCTCAGTTTAATGCAAAAGAGTATAGATATCCGTGGCTCTGTTTGCCATTTTGGTAAGAATCACATTCTTAAATGTGACGGTGACTGAAATAACCCCAGCTCCTGGCCCTGAAGAGCCCATGGGACCATCTATTAGCTTTGAGGAAGTCACGTGGGCTCCTGCAGTGTTCATTCCACACAGGGAACTGATTACTTCCTCCGGGAAGGTCTCATCATGGGCATGTCACTCTTTTTTTTTTTTAAAGATTTTATTGGGGAATTGGGGAGCACGGAACAGCATTGGGGGATCGTGGAAGGGGAACAGACAAGTTGCTGTCCTTTTGTTCTTCAGTCTAGTTGTTGAGGATGTTGCTTCACACGCCAGCCATTGTACGGTGGCTCACGGCCGCTCACGCTGGCTGCCAGCCACACACGGTAGCTTATGGCAGCCCACTGCAGCAGGGGCTGCAGCCTAGCCATCGCTGGTGACTCATGGCAGCCCAGCTCCAGGTGGGCTGTTGTTCACCATCTTAGCTGTAGAGGGCGCAGCGTCACTCGTGTGGGATCCGAACCGGGGCCCTGCTGCTCAGAGCCGGCGTCCCAAGCCAGCTCGTAACCAACGCACCACTCGGCCGGCCCTGGGCACGTCATTCTTCAGAAGCAGCTTCCCGCCTGGCTGCCCCTTGTGCGCCTGGTGCTGGGGGCTCAGGAGAAGCAACGACAGCCACACTCCAGGCTGAGTGTCTGGCCCCGTGCTGGGCACGGGAGACCAACGACAAATGACCCGGCCCCGGAGGAGTGGGCATCCTTACGTGTACGTGGCTGTGAACACCTCTTCCCACCTTAAGTCAGTGACAGATTCCAGATGAGTACAGCAAGTCCTCACTTAACATCATCAATAGGTTCTGTGATGTTAAGCAAAATGACATATAACAAACCAAGTTTACCATAGGCTAGTTAATACAAACAAGAGTTAAGTTCTTATGGCATCTCATCAACAGTATAATGAAACAATGTTACTTGAGAACCTGCTGTGCTCATACTTTTTACTGGGCCAACTGGTCGACCAACCAGCTGGCGTGGTCATCAATTAACTACAGTGAACTGCCATTGGACCAGTCCATTTAATCACAAACATTTTCATGGGCATGTCAACTGCCTGATTTCAGCAATCATTGTCCTTAGTCCAGGGAAGATGCTCAAGAATCAAAGGGTCTTGTCAGGGAGGGCCTGGGAAGCCCAAGCCCAATGGGAATGGCTAGAGCATCCCTGGACTCTGGTTCACCTGGGTCCAAAGGGGGCTGAGCCCAAGATGGCGGTGCTGGGTCTGGCGATGGCGGGCACCATGTGGTCACCGAGGGCTGGGGTCTGATGCGGGGGTGTCTCAGGTTACCCAACACTTTCTGCGGGAAAGACAGCATGCATCCCTCCGGCAGACACGAGCACCCTGGGGCTGCGGAAATGGTTTTCCTCCGCCATGGGCCAGAGAGCTCGGTGGGCTCTGGCACACGTTCCAAGGCCGTCCATTACCCTTTCTGAAAGTCACAGCAGCTCCCACCTTCTAAAGAGTCCTTGTTTCCCTGGGGACTTTGATAAAGGGAGGGGGTGGCCTGGCTGACTACAGGGACATTCCTGCGTGAATCAGCACATTAGCGTCCTTCTTCGCAGGCATCTCGTGAGTGATGCTCTGTCCACCCTTCTCTGCCTGCTCTGTCCCCTGGGGCTGGCTGCTATGGTCTGTGTCAATGGCCTGTCTTCCCTCTGGTTCTATTTGGGTTCATCCAATGGAAGCACTAATGGGAGATGGGAGGGGGCGGGTAGAGGTGCAGGAAAGAGAGTGAGGCTGGGTCCCTGTTCCTGCACGTCCTCCCGACTGGGTCACGGTTGGCAGTGGCGACGGCTGCGTTCCTTTCGCAAAGGCCCGTCTCCTCCGCAGCCCCCCCTCCAGCTCTTTCTGGACTTTGCATCTGCTCCTTCCCTTGCTCCGGGGTCGGAGGGGCGGGCACGGCGCCCCGTGTTGCCCGCCCACCCGGAGCCTCTCCAGCCCCTGCCGAACTCCTGCCCCCTGCCCACGCCTTAGAAACGGCCCTTCATTAAACCCTCTTTCATTACGCTATTTGAGGGGTCGTCTGTTTCTTTCAGGGACCCTGAAGGATATAATTGCCTGATCCAGGTGCCTTGTGAGCAGAGGAGGGGCAGTTTGACACCCCAAGCTAAGGACCAGGCTCTGGAGCGGGAACTGCCCCCCATTACCACGGGGTGTGCAGGGGCAGAAACAGGCCTTACTCCAGGACACCCCCCCACTTTCCACCACCCATTTATGATAAAAGCAAGTCCATTCTGTCCTGCCGAGTCTTTATTTTGAAACAGCGCTTGGCTGAGCACCTTTAGTAACTGTCTGGAAACCTTTCAGATTTTCATCCAGAACGATTCAAGGACCCCAAAACCTTCATCCTCGTCTTCACCCACTCCACCAGCCGCCTCGGTGTCCTCGGGCCCGGGGCTCGTGCTCCTTTGGGAGCAGACACCCAGGAGGCCCTGCTATGTCTGGGGCCTAAAGGGCAAACTCAATTCTCCCACAAGAAATGGGTGTGAGAAGTCAGGTCTGGGAGCAAAGTGGGTGTAGTCTACAGAAGCTGGGGGGCCCAGGGCTCCTTCCTCAGGACCGGGGTGCCAGGTCTGCCTCCGGTCCCTGGTGGGGTTCAAGGAGCTGGTCCTGGAGAGGATACCCAGGTCTAGAGGGAGACAGACGGGACCTAACCAGGCCCTCAGCCAGTCAGTGCAGGTCCCTGACTTGCAGCCCTGTGTCATTCACGAAGCCAGTGACAAAGGGGAGGGCCACTTAGCACCCAGTGGGAGTCCGTCATTGTCCCCTTGGTGACAAACACAGTGCCTCATTCAGGACAAGTAAGAAGGAGCAGGGAGCCTGAGCCAGCTCTACCCAGGACCCCAGTCAAACTCGGGGACCCAGGGGTCTCAAGGGCTGGCCCGAGCCACCCTGAGTTAGGCCACATGCTGGCCGGAGGAGCCTATGGGGTGCTGCCTTTGTTTAAGAGGCCACCAGGCAGCAAGCCACCAACATGCCCGACAGGCCTCTCCGGAAGTCTTTGCAGGCTGCCCAGCCTCCCCAACAGCTTCAGCTGCCGGGGCCACTCCGCGTCACCCCTCATCGGCGCAGCTCTCTCTCCAGGGCACAGCCAACTCTGGGAGAGCCTGGAAGCTCTCACAGTGCTTCCCTGGACCCCCGGCCCCTTCCTCAGGTCAGACACCCCTGTGGGCTGGAGAGCTGCGTCCCCCTCTAAGCAGCCGTCCAGAGTCCCAGACCCCTGCCACTGGTCAGCTCAGAGTTTGTGTGGTGGCCTTGGAGACGAAGACTGTCCCTCTGACCTCCCTGGTGGCTCTGAGTGAACACACAAGCAAAAATAAACAGGGGGTCACCCAGCCGCTGCCTCCAGGTGTGACGGGGAGCGCCTCAGTGCTCCTGGGCAGGGCTGAAAGGCTGTGTCCACTTGGAGACGTCCAGGAAGATGGCAGAGGCCCCGTGGTACAGCCAGAGGAGGGGCAGGGCGCCGTGGCGGGTCCAGGTGTTGCACCCAGGGTCGTAAGCTTCCATCTCAACGTGGTAGTCGCCATCCATGCCCTGCCAGCGGCCACCCGTCACGTACAGCGCGTCGCCCAGAGGCACCAGGGAACCATTCTCGTGCAGGCTGTGCAGGGACTGAACCTGTGAACAGTCAGTGGTCAGTGTCCGGTGGGCAGCGGGAGGGTGGTGGCCAGGGGACATGCAGAGAGGACAGCCGGCACCCTACCCGACGTCCCCTCCAGGGCACCAGCACACCTGCCACCTGGGACGGCACCCCAAACTGCCCCTCCCCTTCTGACTCTCGTTTTAGTGGGGCGACCCCGCTGCTCCCCTCCCAACCTGCACCTCAGGACTGTGTTTCCAGTTCCTTCTTCCTCTCCTAACCCAAGTTTGCTCATTTCTGAAAGATGGGGAGTCAGAGGGAGACATGGAGGCCTGAGCCTGGAGCTGCCTCCCAGGGCGAGGTCTGGGCTGGACCTCCGATTCTCAGCTGCTCTCCACGGACAGATGTGGTGGCCTGAGCCCTGACAGATGCACGCTGGGGCCACTTGCCCCATGGACTTTCGCTCGGTCCTGGCACCCCTAGCCTTGGCCCATGACCTCAGGAGCGCCCTGAATAGGAGTGTGGGGTCAAGGCCAGTCGCTTGCCAGAGGCCAGAGAGGGCTGTGGGCCCTTCTAGAAGGGAGGCGGGAGGCGGCAGGGCAGGGGCCTGCCTGTGGCCGCCATGTGAAGACCACCGCCTCGGCCGGGAGAGGACCAGCGGGGCCCCGTCTGGCTGGGAGCCCTGCCCAGAGCAGTGGCGTGGGCTGGGGGAGGCCCGGCAGAGGCCCGGCTGAGAGGGCCCAGGAAAAAAGCCTCGCCTGGCAGGGTGCGCCCTGCACCTGTTTTGTTGCTCTGATGGGGGCCTCCGGTCAGCTGAGCGCTGACGCCAGGGACAGCTGTGGGCAGCAAGATCACGGAGACCCTACTGTGGCCTGGCCAGCACAGCAGCCTCCCTGGGTGGCTGTAAGAAGCAGTGCCGCCTCCTAGGGCCTCCAGGGACTGAGACTCTCAAGGCAGGTGGGGTGGGCCCAGGGCGTCTGGCTAGTGCTAAGGCCACGGCGGGCTCTGGGCACTGTCCCTCTTTCTTCTCCAGAAGAAACAGGAGAAAGGCCAGGGCTCCGGTGTCCCCGAGGGCATGTCTTGAGATGCCCACCTCCCACATAACCCCCTGGGCCAGTGGCAGAAGAGGAGCGCAGCAGCAGGCCTGGGAAATGGGGCGCCAAGAAGCTGGCTCTCCCACCTCACCTGCAGCCGAGGAACCTGCTCCCCTGCTTGACTACCCCCGGGGGTGGGAGACTCACTCCCTCTCAGGCCTGGCCAACACCAGGAAGGAAGCGCTTTCTCTCAGTCCACAGCTGGTCCCGAAACACCCCCAGCTGAGACGGAGCACAGGCCTTCCCGAGCCGGGGACAGAGCACCACGGGGACCAGCAGGCCCTGTCCTCGGCTCTGCCATCCTCACAGGGCTTGGCCCAGACTCTGCGCCCTCATCTGTCCCTTCACTGTCCTCCCGCTGTGGCGACAGCCCAGGTCCCGGGGCCCCCAGGGCTGCTCTCTGTGGTGTCATGCGTCTCGGGGGTGGAGGGTCGCACGGGGAGGCAAGGCTGAGGCCCACCTTCTGCCACAGGTTGGCCCCGGGGTCATACACGTAGACCTTCTTGGTGTTGTCGCCCACCAGGTAGAGCGCCCCCTGCAGGGCGGCGCAGCGCGGCGAGGACAGGTACTTGGGCAGGAACGGCGAGGCGATCATGCTCCACGCTTCTGCAGCGACACAAAGGTCAGGGGCTCACGGTCCTCAGGGCGCTCGGGTGGGGCTGACCCGAGGCGACACCCCCTCAGGCTCGGAGTGAGCCCCTTGCAGTGGGGGGTGGGGGTTCCAGAGACCCGAGCCCACTGCCTCCACCTCACTAAGCCTCCCTCTCCCCGGGGGTCTGAGGGTGGGGCTCAGGTTCAGGCCTCCCTCCGAGCTTCACCCTCAGGGCCTTGGCCCGGCCGCCGCCCCACCCGCCCCACCCCGACTGGGTGCCCTGGGCCTCTGCCTCCTTCCTGCCCGGTCCTCTCAGTCTGGTAGACTGGGGGCCCCCGACCCTGGCTCTAGCGGGTCTCCCATGGGATCCTCACACCCATCCTGCAAAATGGGTCCTGTTATCATCTCCACCGTCCAGGGGACAAGACAGAGGCTGAGAGACGAAGCAAGGAGGGCCTCTGAGCCTCGTGGGCACAGCCAGGGCCCAAACCCTGGCACCGAGCCCAGAGCCCGAGCTGGTGCCCATTGGGCTGTGGGGGCCTGGACCACCACCCCTGGCTCGTGAGGCTGGTTCCAGGCAGACACAGCAGCCAGAGTTTCTGGGCTCAGGGATGGGCTTCCCTGTCACCACCCCCAGTCCCCCTCGTTTGGGTGGGACTGTGGCTCTGTGTAGGTGACCCCTTCGGTTTCCCGCCTCCTGGGCCCCACCTGTCCTCGGGCCCCCACCCTCTCACTCACTGAGAAGAGACGGTAGCCTTGCAAAGGGGCCCAATGGCCACTTGCCCCTGTCCCTGGGTCCCACCTTGGCCCTCCCCTCCGACCCGCCTGTCCCAGGCCCACACCACACGCTGCTGTCCCCTCACCTGTGACCGGGTTGTAGCACTGCAGGGCCAGCGCGTTGTACTTGCAGGCGCTGGAGCCCACCAGGTAGAGCCGGCCCTGGCAGCCGGCCGCGGAGAAGTTGCTGACATACTTGAGGGCGGGGCTGACGGATGTCCAGGTGTCTGTGTACGGATCATAGCTCTCCACCTCCACCACGTCCAGAGTGGTGCCTGCAGGAGACGGGGATCAGGGCTGCAGGGGGCGGGGGTCAGGGGACGTTCCTGGACACACAGGGCCTGGGCTCTGGAGAGCTGGCAGGGCTCCCCCGGGTGCCCCAGGATGGGAAGGTGGTGGAGGGCATGGCCTGGCCAGGCAGGTGCGTTACCCCATTTCAGAGGGCAGCTGAGGTTCCGAGAGGTGAGGGTGCTAGCCCAAGGCCACACTGCCGAGAAGTGGTGTGGGCGGTGGGCACCTGGATGCAGGAATTCCCGACTCCAGAGTGATGATGGGGCCTCGTAATAAAGCCCTGCCACTCCCAACTCTTCTGAGGGAGCTGAGGGCACATTGGAGGGGTCCTGGTGGGAGCCCCAGGAGGCTGGCTCCCCAGGCCTCTCACATGGTGGGAGTCCTTCCCTGGGGTGGAGGAAGTCATCCCTGGGAGAGCTGTAGGCAGCTCCTGCCCCAGGCCCGGGTACAGCCTGGATGTGTGACAATGGGGACCTGCCAGGTGAGAGGGCATGCTGGGGACCCCAACTTGCCCTGGGCTCAGGACCTGTGCGTGCCCTTGCTCTTGGGCCAGACACGGCAACTATTGAGAGAAAAGGGACTGGCCAGGATAGGGGGCGATTTAGAAGTGGCCTCAGGGTCAGTTGTCACCTACAGAGCCCTTGGGAAACTCTCGCTCGTGCCACGTGCCACATGCATTTCGGTTTTCAATATTCATCCAACCGTGACATCCCTGGGGCGACTCCTTGCTCTGTGCTCAGGCTGCGGACATGGTAGGGACAAAGGGGACAGCAAAGGGTCCCACTGTGGGTTCCTTTACCCCAAGGAATTCACCGAGAAGGAGCCCCTGAGCTGAGACCCGAGCCTAAGGTTCTGGGACAGGAGTGTCATCTCCACTGGCAGCTTGAGGCCCCAGCTCCTCATGGGTCCCTTTCTGGGGATGGACTCATTGTCCTGCTTTCTGGGCAGCTGGCTACCCAGCACCTGAGCCTCCTGTGGCTGATGTCCAGCCTTTGCCAGGGCCTTGGCGTGGCTCCTGTGCACCCAGGCTCACAGCGAGCTCCTGAGGGCAGCAGCGGGGAGCAGCACCGTGGTCCCCGAGGCCAGTGTGGGGGCGGGGGCTACTGTTGCAGGGTTGAGAGGCTGCAGAGAGGTGGGGCCGGGGCTCAAATGCACAGGAGGTGGCCCTGGGAGGGTGGAGGGGGGGGCCTTACCGCCGATGGCGTAGATCTCCCCGTTGAGTGCTGCGCTGGCGTGGTTCGTGCGCGCCTTCAGCATGGGGGCCACGCGTTTCCAGGCTGCCTCCTTTAGCGGGAAGCACCAGGCCTGGGTGGTTGACCAGGTGTCCGTCTTGGTGCCCCGTGAGCCACCTGCCGGGACCAAGCTTCTGTCACTCAGGTACCCACCAGCCTGGGGTCTCTGGGTCAGTGGGGAGTGGGCACCAAGGCTCCTGCTCCCTTCTCCCCACACCAGGCCTCGTGCTGCCAGACCACTGCGCTGGGTGGGACCGTGGTGGCCCAGTCCAGCTGTGCAACTTGGACAGGTCCCTCCAAGCCCCATCAGCAAGGAGCACGAGGTTTCAGAGCCCCATCAGTGGGAGCCCTTTCCTAACCAAATCTTACAGGGACCCCCAACTTCTAGATATAAAAAAGCAGAGTGACCCCTCCCCACCGTCACACAGTTCTGTCTGGGGAGGCTCTGGCTGCAGCAAAGCTACCTGGGGTCCACGTCAGACAGTGTACACGGAACGGTTCCCTGAACCCATGTGTGGACGTGTGGGTTTTAAATTCCCTTGTTTTAATGTCATGGAAAGTTCTAGAAGACTCTTGACTAAACTGTCGGGAATCCCACAGGTGTTACATTCAGATCGGCTACTCTGCGGGGAGCCCCGACCTGCCCACCTGTGACGTAGATGCTGTTGTTGAGCGCGGCCAAGGAGAAGCCCCACTTGTGGTAGTCGGGGAAGTCTGGGAGCGCCATCCATCGCTCTGGCAGGAAGAGAGACGCGGGGTCAGCGTGCAGAGCTCACTGCTGGGCCCCCCCCTGCCCAGCGCCTCTTCCACTCTGTGGGTGCAGGGACGTCCCCTCATCAGCCGAAGGGAAAGCGGGGGTCTCAGCTGTCGCAGTGGTGGGGGGACACCCCTAGTGGGGCAGGATCCAAAGCGGCCCTGGGTGCCCCGTGTGCTGCTCAGCCCGGCTCCTGGCAACCCCCACCTCTCCATGTGCCCCTCGGAGCCCGGCACCCAGGCGGGACACAGGGTTGCCCCAGGGTGAGCTCGGGAGGCTGGTCTCACCCTGACCCTGCAGTTGACCCCGCAGTTGACCCCACTGACCCAGACAGGTCTGGTCCCACCTCAGTCAGAGGGATGATGGGTTAAGGGGCCTGGTCTCTAGTCACCAGTGGGTTATAACAGAAACATCATTCATTCACTCATTCTTTATGCATTTGCTCACCCTGAGCACCTTCTGTGCTCACTTGAGCCAGGGGCCTGCGGGGGCCCAACACGGGCCTGCGGCAGGCAGAGTGGTCCACAGCCCAGCTCCCACGCCCCAGCTGTGTGGCCTGGGACAAGCCTCAGCCTGGTTCCTCATCTACTGAATACGGATAATTCCCACCTTCCAGGGAGGTGTGGGGAGCACGTGAGATGATGAGTGTCGGTCACACGGTGACTGCTCAGCCAGAGGTGACTTGCAGGACAGAAATGCCCTGAAGTCAGACCTGCCTTCACGGAGCTACATGAGGTAAACTGAGGCAAGAGATGAGACAATGCTTTGAAAAAATCAAAATCAATGAATGTGGGAACGTTTAAGTCCTATAAGCGGACACACTGTGGGTGTTTCTAGAAGGCTGTAGGCGAGTCGCCGCATCCCTGGGGACGTGCCCTGGGAAGACTGTTTACTGTTGACAGCAGCTTTCTGGACACGTGGAACTCCAGGTCTTGCCAGGCAGGAACTACGTGTCCCCCTGACTCATGTCTGTGTCACCCCAGGGTGGGGATTGCCCAGAAGTCACCAGGCCTTTGTTTGCCAGCATCCCCCCCTTCCACCCTCCCAGTGGGGTCCAAGGGACAGCTGCTCCCAGGCAGAGCCAGGCGAGCTCATCTCCTGACGTCAGCCCCCAAATCCCCTCTCGTCAGCCTCTGACCTGGGACAACTGGCCCCGAGCCTGAAAGCCACTGATGCCATGGCATGGCTGGCAACCTGCCCGGCGGCCCCAGGACACCAGCCGGCCTGCATCAGTGCTGACTGAAGAGCTTCCTGGGGCCCCCACGCCCCCAGCCAGAACCCCTACTGCCTGCTCACTCTTCTTCATTTCCCTGTGAGGGGCCCCAGGCAGGAGAGCCACACCCAAATGGCAGGCCTCGCCCTGTGCCCATTGGCTCCGCATGTCAGCTGTGTGAGCCCACTTCACAGAGGAGGAAACTGAGGCTTGGGACGGGGGTAGTGAGGAACGACCTGCTTAAAGTCTGGAATTAGCGTCTCGTTTGGGCTGATTCAGAACCTGAGCTCTCAGCCCTCAGGCTGCTCGCACCCCAGCCGGGGCCATGGCTCCATCAGGACAAGGGCAGGGAGCAGCCGCCAGCCGGGCCTCCCGCCCCACACGGTGCAGCCTTGGCAGCAGAGCCCTTTACTGGGGGTCTGAGGCCCTAAAAGACGAAACTGAGTCCTGTCACTGGAGGGAGAGGGGCTCACGGTGCCCCACTAGAAGCCTCCCCGCCCCCACTGTGGCCCCTAGACCCCCCTGCAGCCCCAGAAGACCCAGGCACACCCAGGACGGGCCCTGTTCTCTGTGTATCTCACTCGCTCCACCTGCAAGGTGCACACGAGTGGCTCCCATCAGGACACGGGGTCCTGAGCTCTAGACGCCGGGTGTACTCACTGGCTTTGATGTTGTAGAAGGTGAAGTTCCCGGGGAGCGGGGCGGGCGGGCCGGCACCCTCCTCATCCTCCTCCAGCGCCCGCCCGCCCACCACCACCAGCACCTCCTCCAGCTCCTGCGGCAGGGCGGGCAATGCCTGTGGGCCAGGAGGGCTGCGGTCAGAGGGACAGGGTGGCCACTGTCTCCCTGGGCCCTGGGCCCAGGTGCTGGCAGGCCTTAGCGGCCTTTCCTTAGGCAGGTGGTGGCCTGGACAATTAGGGGCCGCTGTGGGTCGCCAGGTGTGCCCCTGTGTCGGTGCACATGTGTGGGGTAAGGCGAGCTTCAGTGTGTGTGTGCCTCTGTGTGTGCCCATGTGGTGACAGCGGCAAAAGTCAAAACTGGGAGAGGTGGGGCGGCAGGTCCCTGTGTGCCCCAAATGCGAGGGCTGCTCTCTTCCCAGCAGTCACCACAGGCCTTCTGGAGGCATTCTTGCACCCATCTTTGGAACCGACCCCCAGATGCTGCCCTCAAGCCCCCATACAAGCCTCCCCTTGCACCCTGGGGGCCCTGCTCCCCTGGGCCGGCATGTAGCACCCTGAACTAGGATGGCCGTGGCCAGTGGGAAACGCTGTGATGGTTCCACCCTGGTTGGTGAGTAGCCACTGTCCAGGGCTCCCAGGACCCAGGGGTCCCACTGCCTCTCTGGCCTATGTAATGCCCGAACCTCTCACCACCAGCAATTACAAGGTGACCACCTATCGGGGCAAGGCCCCCAACCAGCCCCACCACCAGGCCGGCCTTCGTGCCTGGCGGTGCAAGGGTTAGCTGCCACCACGCAGCCATCCCTGGCCTGAGCCACATCTTTGTCCCCAGACTTGGCTCCTGAGACATCCTCTGGAGCAAAGCCCTCCGCAGGCTGCCCAGCACACGTGGACTTACTGGCCTCTTGTCTCTGCCACACCCTGGCCTATCACTTCATTAGGACCTGCCTTGCCCGCCAGGCCCGCTGCCAGCCCAAATAGGAAATTGTGCTCCATAAACGCTTGAGCAGCTTCCTAAGGGGCAGGTGGCGGCCGCTGCCATGCCCGTCTGTGGTCCTTGCCAGTGAGCAAGCTGGGCCTTCTTGTCTGATTGGTTTTCCTCCTGCTGAGCTCCTATCCCTCCTCTGAGGCCCAGCTCAGATGCTCCCTCCTCCAGAGAGCCCTCCCTGACTGCCCGCCTCTCCAAGGATGCCCCTCACCCAGTGCTGGCCTTTCTCAGGCCCCCTTAGGTCTATTTCCAGGTTTGAGCCTGCTGAGCAGAGGGGTCCTTCAGGACAGGGGTTGAGAAGGATCCCTCCTGGGTTCCCCTTCCCCTCACATTTGGGCATGGCACGCACAGGGGCACAATCTGTACTTGGGGGTGAGTGGTGTATTCTCCACCCCCATGCGGGTGAAGTCTCTGAGGTTACCCCCACACACACTCACCCCATCATGGCCCTGGGACAGGGCCGCCCGGCACGCCTCTGACTCCAGGATCAGCGGCTCTGTGGCCAGCAGCTGCTGCACGCAGGGCCTGGGCACGGCATCCAGCTGCACCAGGCCGAGCAGCCCGGGCAGGAGGGCGGCCCGGGCCTGCGGGTTGTGGCGCACCCAGCGCAGCAGGGCCTCCAGCCGGCTTTGCTCTGGCTGTGCCTGCAGCAGGTCGCTGGCCAGGCAGGTGGCCAGCCGGTCTTGGGACAGCTGCAGGAACTCATCTTCCCGTGCCACGGCCTCAAAGTTCTCCCGCAGGAAGGCCCAGGCCTTGGCGGCCACGCCCAGCAGCCCCTGCTGCTCCCCAAACTCACAGATACCCAGGCAGTTGGTGGCGTCCAGCTGCTGCTGCAGGTAGCGGCCGCAGGCCTTCTGCACGGCGGGGAAGTGGAGGCACGCGGCTGTGCGTGTCAGCGCCTCCACGTTGGCCTGGGTGATGGTCAGCCGGCCAGTGTACACGAAGTCCACCAGCTGCCCCACCACGGCGGCCTCCACATCCCGCAGCTCCACGCGCGCCGAGAAGCTCTCGGCAAAGTCGCCCGCAAACATGGCGTGGAAGTAAGGGCTGCTGAGCGCCAGGAGGCCACGGTGGCAGGGCAGCTCCCGGCCACCCACCAGCAGCGTGACGTCGGCCATCTTGGGCTGCGAGCGCAGCCGCAGCAGCCCGTCCAGCATGTTCTGGGCGTGTGAAGGCAGCTGGAAGTCCATGTCGTCCATGTTCCGCACCATGACGCCCGTGCCAACGTGGCGTCCCCCGGGAAGAAGCCCCTAGGGCGAGAAGGGAGCAGGGTGGGCGGGGGCGGCGGGCGGTGGGGCGGGCAGGGGCGTCTCATCCACCCACATCCTGCCCGCCCCTCACCAGGCCTTGGCTGAGCATCAGTGAGGTGTGAGGTGCTTGACCCAGCATCTCCCCTGACCCAGGCCGGTAGGCACTAGTGTCATTCACTTTACACGGGGGAGGCTGAGGCCTAGGGAGGCTGGGAGGCTTACCCACAGCCAGGCAATCAGGGCAGGATGGGGCCGGCAGGAGGCCCCAAGCCCTGGGCCCCACAGAACAGACCCCAGGGCCCCCCAGTGGCTTCCGCTGCTCCTAGATCCATCATGGCTGGGGAGGGCATAGGGACGCCGGAGAGGTTTCTCGCCCCACTGACTCTCACTGTCTGTGGTCACACAGAGCCTTGGCTGGCCATGACCCTGCTGGGCATCTTGGGGAAGACATGTCCCTCTCTGGTCCCAGTTTCCTCCTCTGCAGATTGAGAGGCTGGCAGTGAGAGGGCTGTGTGATCATGCCCTGCACAGCCGCTCATGCTGACTGCTCCCGCGAGCCCAGCCACGTCCCACGGGTGGCTCACGCATTCACCACTTAGCCCTCACGACAGCCCTGTGAGGTGTGTGCTGTTAGCATTCCTTTTGCAGGTAGGGAAACTGAGGCACAAAAGGTTCCAGTCGCTTGTCCAAGATCACACAGCACGAGGTGAAGGAGCCAGACGCAGGGGGCCCCTGTCCTGAACCCCAGGTTCCCCATCGCCATGTGTGTTTGGTAAAGACAAACCAAGGGAAACATTCTAGAGAGTGATTCTGTGTCCCAGTGTTCATATCCTCTGGTTCAGCAAATCCACTTCTGGGCTTATTTAGCTATTTGCATATTTATTTATGTATTTTTGATATTCTACGCTAAGAAAGCCTCCACCAGGAAATAAAAGGTCTGAATGGAGGCAACCATCCCGAGTGACCCACAGCAGCAAAACGCTGCACCCCAGAGAAATGGTCTGTCCACCAGGGGGCGCCTTCCGGAGCCATCAGGGTGTCCATGGGGACAAAACGCTTGCTGAAATAAGTCTGATCAAAATGACAAAGCCCCAGAAAGAGAAGCGGTGACTATGGACGCCCAGGGGTTGGAGAGCCTTGCTGAGCTATGATGCTGGCTCCAGTGGTGGGAACCGGAGACCTCCCTCCCTGACGGGTACCCGTCTCCATCCTACATTATAGCGACGGACCCAGGGAGCCCACCTCGGGGCCGGACGGCCTGCCTGGGCTCGTGCCCGGACAGGTGAGGTCAGTGGGCCCCGGCCAGCGTCCACCCGGCCTGACCCCCTCCCAGGGAGGCCCTCTAGCTGGTAATGGCGGCTTTGCCCTCTCAAGGAGGAGACAGGAGCTCAGCCCGCCAGCTGCCGCCCCCAGGCCCTGCGCTCCATCATCGCTGTCTTCTCTTTGGCCAGCTGCTGCCATGACGGGGGCCAGCGCCCAACCGCCTTCCCGTGAGGCCTCAGAGGTGTCTGCTGACACCTGCCAGCCTGCAGTCCCAGCTCAGGGTGGGGGCTTCCGGAGGGGCAGGGCCAGAAGCGAGGAGGGCTGAGGGGGCAGGACAGCAAGGGAAGGGCCTTCATCAGGCTCAGGCCGGTGACCAGATGCCACGGCCCTGGCTGCAGTCAGGGTGTGACCCAGCACACCCCTGGCACCCCAGCCAGGACACGGAGGGGAGAGTGCCTGTCGAGCCCCCACCCCACCCTGAGGGGCTTGATCAGGGTCTGGGGCCTCTCGCCAAAGTGCCCAGCACTGTGATCGCCAAGCCCGCTGGGCTGTCCCACTGTGACCCGTCCTCCCCTCCCCCTCGGCTGCCCCCACTCCAGAGCCCTGTGGACCCTACCTCTGAGTCGGCCCCTGGAACCTGTTGCTGAGATCTCAGTCTGAAGAACAGGACTGACCAGCCGGCCGAGGGGGCATGGAGAGCCTGCTGGGCTGGGCTGGGTGGTCACGTGGGGACCGGAGGGTATTTTTAGCCTCTGTCTGCACTGGGAGGGAGGGTGGTGAGGGATGGGCCGGGCGGGGGAAGGAGATTGGTGTCTCCTCCTGGACTGTCTGCTCTGAAGGCTCACATGGGCCACATCGGGGCAGGAAGCTGAGGCCTCTGGGACCAGGGGCCAGGACAGACAGCAGGACGCATTCCAGGGCAGGGGCGAGTGTGGGCTTCACCTCTCCCAGTGGCACTGGGCTGACTAGGGTGGGGGTGCAGCTCCCCCTTCCTGCTTTCTTGTCTGCAAGAGGGGACAGTGGGATAGCCTGTGCTGGGGTTTCAGGAGGGCACACGGAGGCCCCGGCCCGGACCCCGTCATTGTGAGGGTCAGACAGGCACCCTCACGATGACAGTGGTTACTGAAAGGTGCCCATGTGGTCTCGTGTCCTGCCAAGTGGGAGAAAGTGAGTCATGAGGAGATGCAACTTGGTCAGCAAAGGCTTCCAAAACATGGGTTCCATGGTGGCCGTGGGGCAGCCTTCGGTGGTTAAGGGGGTGCCCAGAGCGGGGAGGCATCCCTGAGTGTCCCACCAGGCTGGTGATGGGGACGCAGGATCCTGAGACCCTGTCCCCATTGTATCGTGGCCTTGACCTCGGGGCTGCCCTGGTGTCTTCATTAGTTGTGAGAGCCAAAGACAGCCAAGAAATGGGGTCATCTAAAAATACAGCAGCAGTGACTCTGGGCCTCCCCTGCAGCGCTGGCTCATGGCGCTCACTGGTAAACCCTCATGTTTGGGTCTCAACGGGGCTCCGGACCAGGACGCTGAGGGGCGTCTCCGACATCTCTCATGTCAGTGGTCAGAGCACAGCTTCCCAGACGCGGGCCTGCAGGTACACAGAGAGAAGCCGCGGCTCGGGGTGGCCAGGTGGGGGCCTCTACCTGTTGACCCCTCCTTGCTTTACCCCTATGGGTCTTACTAATACAACCGTTTCTAGGTGTGCAGGGGAGCGTGAGGGAGGCCCAAGTCTGACGGAGGCCTCCCAGTGCCCACTAGGGAGTGGCTTGATGGTCTTACAGTGCCGAGAGGCCCAGGCGGCCCCCAGAGTGACAGCCCTCATTCCTGAGAAAGTTAGGTCATTTCTCCAAGGTAGCAAGGCATCATGACAGCTTGGGCCCGGGACGGATGGCCTCTGCCCCACCAGCACAGCTGCCGGCCCTGCTACCTGCTGAGGAGATGGCTGTGAGCTGGGAACCACACCCCTCTTCTCCTGTGTGCAGTCTAGTTGAGGACACAGCTGTTACACAATCACCACAATGATTGATTCGCTAACTATCAGTTCACAAGGAGTTCCCACACTCTGCTCACTCACAGGCCTCCTGGTTCCACACGCTTCACTCCCCGGCCCAGCCCAGCCCACGGTCGGGAAAGGGCCAGGAGGGCAGTTCCAGGCTCTCGGCCTCACGTGGAAAGGTGCTGGCTCGGGTATTAGATGGCCATCAGCTGTAGCCAGTTGGCCATTAGCTACTGTTGTTTTGCATATAACTGCCGCAGCTGCGTTAGCAAGCGTGGGTGTTGCCGATGGTGCAGGTCCTGCGGACCCTGCTTCCTGTGTCTCCCTGGCCGCCACTGAGACTGTGGTGCAGGGAGACCCCTAGTTGGGGTGCTGACGGACGTTTGCTTCTCGTGTCTCGACCAGCCGCCATCGAGAATATAATATAGTGGCATGAACCCCCTACCTGTGGCTCCGTTGCTGTTCCTGTCCGGTCTCCCCGAGTCCTATGTTTATCTGCGGGAAGCCGAGCCCCAGTATGACACCCAGTTCAGCCCAGCTCAGCCCAGTCGAGCCCAGCCCAGCCCGAGGCCCTGCCCCTGCCCCCGACAGTCTCAGGACCTTGCCCCAGCCTTAGCATTAGCCTCGTGTGGGGAGAGGACACTCATGGATGTCCCCAGCTCTCACTGTTCCCAGCACTATTACGGGGAGGGCACTGGAGGGCCACAGAGGATGTGGTCGTGGCCTGTCCCACTCCCCCTCCGTTTGCAGGCAGAGCACGAAAGGGTTAACGAGCTCCTGCCTCCGGGCTGGAGGAAATGCAGACATGGGATTCTGAGGAGAGGCTGCTGTCACCAGGAGCGACCCAGCTTGGGCACACAGCAGAGGCCTTCCAGGGACATGGGGATCGGAGGCCCAGCACCTCGCATGATAGGTCAGTTTGGGAAACTTGACACCAGGGGCCCAACAGATTACTCCCAAGAGTGGTGCAGTTTTTAAAACTATGCTGCTGGTTTCTTTTTACGATGACAAAAATAACACAAGCTGTTATTAAAGGTGGAAAGTTTGGAAAACACAGAGAAATATAAAGCAGAAAATGTGACCAGCAAAAGACAACCCCCACTAATTAACACACTGGTCTCTTCCTTCTGTCTGTCACTGTCAACGCTAGAATGACTGCAGGTATGTTTCTGGGTCCTGTATTATCACTTATGTTGCATCACAAGCATTTATGATGCGATTGGTCTTTGAAAATATGATTTTAAACTTCACCCTAAAAGGGATGCATCACCTTAAGAAGTTGGAAGTGACATCCAGTCACTTTATTGACAGACATTTGGGTTGTGCGCCATTTCGGACGATGACAACTAATCCGGTGTCACTTCTGTGATGACTTCCCCGGAATAGATTGAGAGGGTGAAAGCATCCAGCTTACAGACCGATGCACGGACAAGTGACGAGGGCCGTCCAGCTTGGGCGAGTGACGCACTGTCTCCAGCAGGCGGTAAACTGTCCCCCGAGTTGCCTGGCACCTTCGGGCTGTGAGGCTGTCCCAGGGCACCAGGCGCCCCCTTCCGATGTCTTCCCACCTTACTTGCTTACAGTATCTCTTATTCCGCCTGGGGTTTATTTGGGGCACAGGGTGCTGTCAGGTCATCCCTTTTCCCCCTCTAAAGTAGTTGACCAATGCCTGTAGGACGGTAATGGAGAAACCCTTCTTCTACACGGCATCCCTATCTCAGGGCCGTGATTTCTGGGCGTAGGGTCTCAGCTTTCTCTATTCTGGCTTGTTGATCTGGGGGCTGTATTCTGGGGTCAGAACCTCCATGTTTGATGGACTATTGCTCTATAACTATGACCTCTTCCTATCTGAAATGTGAGCCTCTTCGTTACCCCTTTAAAATTTCTCGTCTGCTGTATTAGTTTGCTGTCAGCATAACAAATGACCCCACAATCCAGTGTCTGAAAACAATAAATGTTTATTATCTCGCACAGTTTCTGGGCGCGGCAGCCGGCGTCCCGCCTTCGGTACAGCTTTGTTTTCCTGGTTTGTGCCGCACACAGGTATGTGCCAGGGAGAGGGCTGCGCTTCTCTCTCTCCTGTGTTTTTCTAACTCATGGGGAAGCCCCAGGGGCTATCCCATCCCCCTCCGTTTGCAGGCAGAGCACGAAAACTCTGTGAGTCTGGCCACCTCGCTGAGGTCTGCAGCCTAAGTAGGGCTCTGGGGTCCTCGGTGAGTTTTTGCCAACTGGACGGCAGCCTTATAGGCACCAAACAGGCCTTAGGCCCAGAGCGTGGCCTCGCTGGGGCCAGACCGCCTACCGTGGGGCCCCTGCTCCCCACAGGAGGGCTGCTAGTGGGCTGGGGTCCTAGGCTGCTGAGCATCAGAACCACCTGGCATGTCTTGAAACATACCAGCTTTCCCAGCACCAGCCCAGGCCGGGCTGCCGCCAGACTGTGCTCTTACGACCCCCAGGAAGCAGGAGGGCATTTGGGGGGTCACCCGAGTACCCAGTGCAGGCTCCTCCTCCCTCTTTCCAGGCCTCAGACCCAGGTTTGAGCTACCACCTCACACCCCGCTCCTGGCAGCCCACCTGGTCCTCCTGGAGCCATGGAGGCTTGTGGGGCGCCCCCTGCTGGCCTCGGTCCAGCCCTTCTGCTGGGACACTGAGGCAGGGAGGCCTCGGAGGGACCTGCCCCAGGCCACAGCGAGTGGGCAGGGAAGCCTGAGTCAGGTTAGCTGGCCACCTGCCCGGGGCTCTCCTGAGCGCCCCCGCCAGCTGCCACCTCTGAGGCCAGGCTCTGTGTCTACTGCCCACGCCCACCCCGGCCCCCTCCGTTGCCAGGCCCTCGGAACAACACTGTCCTTCAGGCAGCACACAAGGACGAAGTCCTCGAGTGCCCACATCTTCTGACGCCCCCCACCCTGAGGGTCACCAGCCCCACCCTCAGACTCACACTGCCGGCCAGCCCCAGGAAGCTCCCCTCTAGCTCCATCCATCATGCTTTGAGGCCAAGAGCTGGGGCCTCCCCGACAGTGTTGAGATGCTTGTGGGAGCCCAGGTCGGCGCCTTACTTACTGGAACCTGCTCCTTCAATACAGATCGCAGGCGGGCGAGTGTCACTGTCGTCCCAGGACACAGACCCCTCCCACATGGGACCTCAGTCCACCCTCACTGTGACCCTGGGCATGGGCAGGCCAGCATGACACCCCAATTTACAGATGAAGTGGAGGCTCCGTGGGGCTCTGGTCTCAGTGGAGTTGGACTTGGGTCTTGGTGTCCACCCCGTGCTGGGACCCTCTCTGGGCACAGGTGGCTCTTCCTGGGGACAACAGGCACAAGCGTGAAGGCAGCCAGGAATGGGAGTCTTTATTTAGCAAACTCCTGTCCTCCCTTCCCAGCGCTGGCTGTCCCCGCCCGCTGACACCCCCAGCTTTATATCTCCTCGAGTGTTCCTCCCTGTGGGACCCCAGGCGTCTGGCTGGGAGAGTTCTAGCTTCCATCCAACGACTCGCCTGCCAGCTTCCGAGCTCTGCAGGCGGGTGGGGACACTCCTGTCCCAAGAGGTCTGGCTGCAGGGAGGTGGTGGCCAGAGATTCCTGAGGCCTCCTCCCCAAATGCTCCCTGCTGGGGCCGTCACACAGCTGTAGGACCTTCCCCCACAGTCCCCTGGACTCTGGGCCAACCCTTCTCGGCCCCACAGCCTGGGTGAGTCCCATCGTCGTGGCTGCTACGGCGGCTGGGACAAGGCAGATGCTGTGGCCAGCCATTTGGGACTCTGTCCCCAGGAACTGTTCATGAGATACTCTGCAGCAATGGCGGCTCTTTAAGGGAGCGTCCATCTCCATTCCTCAGTCCCTCGTGGAGAGGGACTTGGGTGACATTCGGGTGATCACAGGGCGTGGCTGCACCTCATCGTGGTCTGGCTTCGTGTACCCCCATCCCAGCTACAAGCTCTCCTCTGGGTCCGGCAGCTCACTTTTGAGGGCAGGGCGGTGGCCCCCTCTGCTGAGTCCCCTTTCAGCCATGGCCTCTCTCACAGACGTCCCTGATGTCCTAAGCCTGCAGGTGGGGCCCTGCAGCTGCCTCTGCTGTGTGGCCTGGGAGGGGCTGCTCAACTGACGGGAGCCCCACAGGAAGCCTTCTCTTTGGGGACCAGATCCCCTGGAACACCTTGGGTGGCACTATCATGGCATGACAGCAGAGCACATGTCTGTCAGTGGGTCACAGCCTGTGTGTGACCGGCGCGCCCGTCCGCGTGGACCATCTCCCCAGCCGGAGGAGTCGGGAGGGTGGTCCAGTCTGACAGGAGGCCTTTTGCCCGTTGGACCCCATTCTCTCCCAGCTCCTCTCCCATCTCACAGATGGGGGGAGGTCTGGAGAGGTGAAGGGCATGGCCCAAGGTCACCAAAAGAAACCGAGGCAGGACCAATGCGGGGCAAGTGGAGGCTCTGGACAGGCCGGGACCACCAGCACCGGAGAAACTGAGGGACAGCACACCTAGGCTCTGGAAGGAGGGCCCACGGGAAACACGGGCTGGCATCCCAGGTGCCCAGGGGACAACCAGGCAGGGGGACCTGGGCTGGGACGGCAAGTGGTCACCGTCAGGGCTGAATGAGAGGCTGAGAGGGCTCCTTGGGTTTGGTGGCGACAAGGATACTGCCGAGGAGGAAACTGTCAGGGGCAGAGCTGGAGGACGCAGCTGGCACAGGGAGTGTCTGCCAGCCTGGCCTCCGGGCTCACCTGGCCACCAGGTGGGTGGAAAGGAAAAGAGAAGAGAAAGTCTAACCACTCCCAACCGCTTCCGGAAGGCAGGCTGCCAGCCCATCTCAGTCTCCAAAGCTGAACATCTCGGCCTCTTTCTCCTTCCAGAAGGCGAAGCTCCGGTCTATGTAGCCGCAGATGTCCTCGCCGTTGAAGCTGCCCCACTGGGAGCCAGGCCCCAGCTCCTGAGGCTGAACTGCAGGCTCGGGGCCACCACTGGGGGCGCTGGCGTGGGGCAGGGGCCCGAGCGGGGTCAGGCCTGACTTGCGACCTGGCTCGGTGTCCCAGGTGGGACCGCGGCCGGAGCAGAAGAAGCGGGCTTTGATGTCCTCGAAGCCATCGTTCCAGGCCCGGCGGCCGGCGGCCACCTCGTCAGTCACGGCCTTGTGGAAGGCCCGTGCGGCCTCCCAGCCGTGGGTGCCCAGGTGCTCGAAGACCTCGAAGCAGAGCAGATGGCGGACCTTGCGCTCCTCGGCAGGCAGGTCACACTCCAGGAGCTGGAAGTAGCCCAGCATGAACAGGTCCAGCGTGAGGCTGCCGTAGGGCACAGGCGCCCCGTCCACGTGGGGCAGGAACTGCTCAGGGGACAGGAGGCCGCGGGGACTCCGGGTCAGGCGCCGCAGCTGCCGGGAGGGCACGTGGGCCATGATGGCCTTCCAGTGGCCAAGCAGGTGGGTGATGATGTTCCTTTGTTGCCACAGGTGGCCGAGCCGGGGGCCCTCGCAGGAGGGCGGGGAGGGCGGCCTCGGGCCCCTGGCCACCTCCTGCCCTCTGGGCCCCGAGCGCCGGGCCTCCAGGGTCCTGCAGGCGGCCGTCTTGAGGGCGGGCGTGTAGGCCGACTTCTTCCAGTGGCTGAGGAACAGCATGACGATTCGCTCCTTGCGTAGGTTGGCCAGGTCGGGGCCGTGCCCGGCCCCCGCCTCTGACGGCGCCTCCTCGCAGCTGATGCCCGAGTCACTGGCCTCCTCTGTGTCACCCGGCCCAGGCTCCCCGCCGATCCGGTCACCGCGGGGCTGCGGGGCGGCCAGCCAGCAGCCTCTCGGGCACTGCCCGGGCTGGGCCCCCGCCTCACAGGGCCCCGGGTTTGGGGCGCAGGGCAGGCCGGGGGCCGACTCGAAGTTGCCACGTAGCGTCCGCACAGACACCCCGCTCTCCTGGATCTCACGCTGGGCCTCACTCTGCAGGGGGCTGGCCGGGGCCTCCGCACCAGCCTCCTGGGGGGGCCCGGCTGCCGGCCCCTCCTCAGCCTGCACCAGCCCGTTCACACCCTTCAGCAGCAGGGACATGCTGCGCACCAGCCGGGCCACATGGTTGCACCAAACAGGCAGGGGCTGCCCACCGGGCACGGCCACTGCTGCCTCCTCGGAGCCCTTGGGCGGGGGCTCCGGGCTGGGGGCCTCCTCGCCCTCCAGGCCGGGCGCCCGGGGCAGGAAGTGGCTGTTGACAGTGATGCTGACCAGGGGCGTGGGCAGCAGGGCCTGTAGCTCGGCCGCCAGTCGGCCCAGCTGGCTCTCGTACTCCTGGCAGCGGCGCCTGAGCTGCAGGTCTGCGATCTGCTTCTCCAGGTACACCAGGTCGTCCTCCGTCAGCAGCTCCCCGAAGGGGCCCAGGATGGCCTGGTGCGTCTGCGAGAACCGCCAGGCGGCCTGCTCCGTGGGGCCTGCGTTCCCGCTGTCGTCCTGGGCACAGGGAAGGCAGGTCAGCGGGGTCGCGGGGAGAAGGCGTGTTCCTGCTGGATGCAAGCTCCCCGAGGGTGGCCTGACTCGGTGGCCCCAGGTACCCCAGACCAGCCCTGGACACCAGCTGTCCCTTGCCTGGACTTAGAGAGTAAATGGGGGCTGGCCAGCCCCAGTTCCAAGGCTGAGGCTCAGGGCAGCCACCCCGCCCAAGGGGGCCCAGTCTTCCCCTCAGAAGAGGCCGGGGTGTCTCTGCTCTGCCACCCCCTTCCCTTTCATCTTCTCAATGTTTCATCCAAAGGGTCTCTCTCCTGAGCCCTCCCACCCCCTCCCACCCCCAGGGCCTTCTGTGCCCCTGGAGGAGGGGCAGCCTCAGCCACTGGGCCCCGGGTTCCCCTGATGGTTCACCCCAGAACACCCCCCAGGCTCGCCCTGCACCAGATACAGCCCTGCCCCCCAGGCTTCACTGTCTGTTGGGGGGCAGACACTTAGGGACCCTGAGCTGGGCTCTCTCCGGGCACAGGCTCTGTGCCAGCCTGATTACGCCTCAAGGCCCCTGAGGGAGGTGCCCGTTTCACAGGTGAGGGCACGAGTCCCCGCCTGGCTGCCAAGCGGCCTGGGCTAGTCTGGTGCCAGGCAGCACTCTGCACTGAGTTCTGATTCCTTGTCCCGGCAGGCCCAAGGCAGGGAGCAGATTTGGGGGGCATAGCCACTATCCTGGGCAGTGCCCAGCCCATGATGGTCCTGGGGGGGTGGGCACAGGGACTCGAAGCGTTTGGCCAGGCTGTGATAGCCAGGCCCCTTCCACCCATCCTCCCTCCATTCCCATCTCCACGCCCCCCTCCAGCCTCCTCAAGGTCAGACTCAGGGCTTCCTGTCTGTGCAGGAGCCCCGCCCCACCCCTGCCTTGCTCTGCCCTCAGCCCGTAGCTTCCAGCCTAAGAGTGAAGGCCAGGCTGGGCCATTACACCAGCACCGTCCAGTGCCTCTGCAACATGGAGAGGGCATGCAGCCACGACACAGCTGTGGCTACTGCAACTGAGGAGGGGGTTGACTTTAATTTTAATTAACGTAAAAAGCTACATGTGGCTGGCATTACTTTATTGGAGAGGGCTGTTCTAGACCAAGGGCGCAGAACACCTCATTCAGACAAAACCATACCCTCTAGGGCAGCGGTTCTCAACCTTCCTAAGGCCGCGACCCCTTAATACAGTTCCTCATGTTGTGGTGACCCCCAACCATAAAATTATTTTCGTTGCTACTCTATAACTGTCATTTTGCTACTGTTATGAATCGTAATGTAAATATCTTCTTGTTTTCTGATGGTCTTAGGCGACCCCTGTGAAAGGGTCATTCGACCCCCAAAAGGGTCGCGACTCACAGGTTGAGAACCGCTGCTCTAGGGGGAGACTCTACAACTACAGCCCACACAGCTGCTAGAGGGAGCCTGGTAAAATCCAACTCAAATCTCAGCCCTTCTCTGCTCAGGTTTTCGAAGACCTTACAGCAATCAGTCCTGTACTACGGTCTGTCCCTTCTCTGGCCTCACCTTCATCCAGCGTCCCTCATTCACTCCACTCCAGCTTCCTCCCAGTTCTCCCTTGGGCCAGCCCATTCTACCTCAGGACCTTTGCACTTGCTGTCTTCTCGGCTTGGACTCGCTTGTCACAAATTCCCAGAGCCCCTCTCTCACTTCCTTCTGGCCCCTGCTCAAGGTCACCTCCCCAGAGAGCTGCCCTGAGCACCCATGTGGAATAGCCCCTCCCCTTTTCACTGCTTTGCTTCTCTCTACAGCACGTGGACTCGCCCTCCCCACCCCCACACACAGCACAGTGGCCCGTTCGCCCGGTTTCCCTGCTGGAATACAGGCACCAGTGGGGCAGGGCTGGTCCCCTTCACTGCCGAGAGCCTGGCTTGGCACAAGGTAGGGATGTCACAGCTTGCTAGATCAAACATGTGGGAATCACACTTCTAACTCTCTGACCTGTTCAACTGCATCCTCTGGCAGCAGAGGAAGCTGAGGCCACACAAGGGCCCCCACCTTCCATGCCCACCTGCCAGAACCAAGCTCCTACTCCAGCCTCCACCCTCTACGCTCTGGCCCCAGCCCTCCCTGCCTGGCCACGCCCCCACGTGCCACACTATGCCCCCAGGGCCTGATTCCGACACCACACCGGGCCCCACCTGAGCCTCTGGCGCAGGGTCTGCTCCCAGGCGGGCCTGTAGCTTCCGTACCATCACCTGCCGTTTCCACTCCGGGATGGGCCGGCCGCGTTCGTCCCGCGTGGGCACCAGCCCATCGAGGTCGCCTGAGGGCAACCCGTCCAACTGTAGCGCAACCAGTCTGTCCTGGGCATCCCCTGCCACTGTCTCTGTCCCCTGTGCAGATGCGGGAAGGTCACTCAGAGCCCCAAAGGGACCCACCTGGGAGAGAAGGGGAGGGCCACCCGGGGTCAGTATGGACCAGGGAGAGGGGCTGTGGGGGCTGGCCCGGGAGGGCGGGGGAGACCATCGACCCCCGTTAAGTTTGAGCTTTCTGAGGGCAGGCACCCAGTCCCCTGTGGGACTCAGGTGTGTGTGTGGGGGGAGGGGGGGTGGATCGCTGAGAGGCAACCAGATTCCCCCCCCTCTGCCCTATCTGGTGAGGAAGAGTAGCCCAGGGCATGCCATGTGGATGGGGACAGTTGCATAGAAAAAGTCTGGTGGCCAATTCTGGACTGCAGGACTTGTCAGATGGCCTTTAGTGTGGCAACACTGCAGCATGTCCCAAACTTGCACAAAACATCTCAGCAGCTGAGAGTTCCAGAGACCCATTCGAGGAAAGGGTGGGCTGGGTGTGTAAGGGCCTCATGCCCAGGAAGAGGAGAAAGGAACAGTGCCTCCTCCTCTGGGTTCTGGGCTGGCTGGGAGCCTCCAAGGAGGCGGGCAGCAGGCACCAGGCCCACCCTCCCCGTGGACATCTGCGTCCATGAGGAGGGGCGTGAAGCATCTTGAGTTCAGGGGTCAGGAGGAGGGGCTTGGCACTTCCTGGAACGAGAGAGGGGTCCACGCCTTCCATGCTGTGGTGACAAGCTGCTTGTGGCCCTGAAATTCCCATGTCCTCAGAACACAGGGGTGTCCTCCAGAGCCAGTCTGTCACCCCAGGCGCCCATCTGACATCCAGGTGCAGGGAAGGTGCTGGCTGACCCGGAGGTGACCTGGCCTGGGTCCACACAGGAGCACATGGTGAGGGCGGCTGGGCTCTGAGGGTGGGCAGGGATGCCTTGGGGGGCAGGGACGTGGCGTATGGGGACGCACCGTGGGGACGACCATGGAGCTGGCGGTGACCCTCGGGGGTGCCGTGTGGGTCTTCTGCTCCCTCAGAAGAGGCTGGTCAGGCCGGCCAGGCCGGGTCGGGCTGGGAGATGCTGCTGTAGGGCGGAAGCGGGACGGGGGTTCAGAGGGGCTTCCAGAAGGGACTGGAGGGGGGAGTAGAAGGCCCTGCACCTGGGACAGAACCGGCTTTCCTGAAGGACGCTGGACTTGGAGCCTGAGACCCAGCCAGCTCCCCAGCAAGTGCCCCAGGGCCCGGGCACACTCATTCCTGCCTCGGGCGTCCATGGGCGTCCAGCCAGCCGGCTGGAGAGTATACATTTTATTCTCATCATCCCGTCCACGCCCCCTCCCCACCCCCTCCTAAAACGTGGGAGGAGCTCAGTGGGCCGAGACCTGATGCAGCCCATGGGACCCCAAAGCCCGTCCTTTTAGCACCCCAGTGCTCCTGTCCCCACCACAGACGCTCACCCAGGGCCACACCCCAGTGAGCATCACGTTCTGCCTCCCACCGGACGCCAGCCCTGCGTGTGCCACGTAACTACCACTCAGCCCGTGGACAGTGCTCGCCCTCACCACATAGGGACCTCCCTTCCATTCCGATAAATGCTGCTGCTCACGGTCCCCTAACGGGTGGTAGCCTGCAGTTCGAGGACCATGCCCCTGCCCCCTGCCAGCCCCTGGGTGCTGCACCTGTGGGAACCCCAGCGAGCAGCAGCAGCACAACGGAGGGGCCTGGGCCTCTGGACAAGCGGAGGCCCAGAGAGGGGATGAGGCTGCCCAACCTGGCATTGAGCTGTGCCCAGGCAGGAGCGCCAGGCCCAGGGGCTCAGCTCACAGAGGGTCCCCGAGGGCTGGGCAGGAGGCTGGCTGACTGATTGTAAGTGCCCGTTGAGGAAAATGTTGACCTCGCTTTAAAGCAGCAAAGACAAGAAAGGAAGCCTGGAGGAGCTCAGGGGCTGGGCGACGTGACGGGTGACACAGCCCTGTTCTGAGTGGCCCGAGTGTGCAGCTGTCTGAAGTCAGCTGCTACCCCCTCCACTCCCCCCTCCACGGACCTCGGGATGAGGCCAGCAGGGCCCACTCCTGTCACCCTGTCCCAGGCCAGTCCTCCCTGCAGATGTGTACTCACAGGTGGGGCTCCCGAGACCTGAGCCCCCTCTTCCATCCTCCAGGGCGCACCGGGCAGCTGACAGCGGAGGGGGAGGGAACGGCGGGGGCGGAGGCGTCATCAGAAGTGGCACCTGGGGGTGGACAGGTCTGGTCAGTGGGAGACCGGGTGGGGGTGGGGGGTGTCCAGTGGGCTAGCCCGGCCCCATCTCATAGCAAGGGGGCGGGCGGTGCATCCCAGAACAGGGTCTGGAGAGGGTCATGTGTGCAGGAGTGCGGGGTAGTACCCCCCCCCCCGGTTCTGTCCCCTGTGTCTCTCCACCCCTTCACACTGGGTGGCCAGGGCTCCCAAACACCCCGTGCCACTGAGTACCACCACTCACTGTGCCCCCCAATGCCACCACCACCAGGTAACTCCCCTCCCATCTTCAGGTTTGGTTCATAGTTCCCTCCCAGCTCTGGGCGCTGGGTTAGAGCAGCTTGTGCTCACTCCTTTGGCCTTACAAGAGATGCACACACACACACACACACACACGCACACACACACATGTACACACACACATGCATACACACATGCACACAAGTGCACACATACACGTGCGCACACACATGCACACACACCCTCCCTGACACCTGGGACGGCCCCCTCTCAGAGGACAGCAGGTGCCCGGCCCCTGCAAATGGGGGAAAAACAAGGAGCCTGGAACTCTTCTCAGCCCCAGGAGCGGGGGCCGTGAGGCTGTGAGCACATCTCAGCGAGGTGGTGCTGTACCCAGGACCCATCATACAGTGTCCAGGCCAGCCCCCCCAGGGCCCCTGGGAACAGACCACCAAGATGGGCCCGGGGAGCCTGGGGAATCCGTGCAGGGACTGCAGGGGCACCACACTGGACTCCCACATCCTGCCCCTTGTCTGGGGTAAGGCACAGACGGGGCCTCGGCCACTTCTCCTGCCCCCCAAGCGCTGACTGGTGGGCAGCCAGAAGGAGCCTTGACCTGGAGGCATCCCCCCAACTCAGCCCCGCTCGGCCTCTGCCTTTGCATCTGACCAGCAGGGGCCAAGACTCCTGGCCCAGCAGACACACAGGGCTGGTGAGGAGGGGACAAGAGGCATGCAGGCGGGCAGCCCTGACATCACCGGTGCTGTCATCAGCGGCTGCGCTCACCTGCCTGCCTCTACCTGTCCCTCTTTAGGTGGCAGGGACACTCTCCAGGACACCTGAGCTGTCCTCCAGAGCCAGGCCTGCTACCTTCTGGTTTGAAGCTGGAAGTTGAAGGCTGTCTGACCCTGTCTCGCAGACGGCAGACCCTTGGGCTCCCGGCTGGGCCAGTGCGCCTGGAGGCCCATCCGGCATGCAGCCGCCCTGGTTCCTGTCTGAGCCTGTTCCCTCCGAGCACCCACCCTGGCCAGCAGCCTGAAGTTCCTCGCCCCCTCTCCAGTGGGCGCCCAGGTTGGCGCTGGAGTGTCCTCAGCAGGACAGAGGACCTGGTTCAAATCAGCGCCCTGCGGGGTACGTGGCCTGGGGCCAGGGCCTGCGTCAGGATCTGGGGCCCCGGCCGCAGCTTGGAGCAGTGCTCTGCTGTCTCCGCCTTCGATTTCTGAATCGTTTTGGAACAAGAGGCCTGTGTTTTCATCTTCCACAGGGCCCTGCATGTGATGTTGCCGGTCCTGCTGGGGCAAATCCCTCAGCCACCCTGAGTGTTCCCTTGCTCATCCATAAGGTGGGCCAGTCCCACCTCCCGGCAAGGAGGTGGACACCCTAGCTGGCCACGCCGGCCTGGGCGTGCCCTCAGGTGAACCCTGGTCTGCATCACCACCTCTGGCCACAGTCACACTCCTGTCCAGGACCCTCCACCCGTGGAAGCCACTGGAAAGGAACACAGCCTGAAACCCCGATGCCGACCACACGCACCTCACACCTTGCTCTTGTGGAAATCCGTGCTGAGAGCCCAGGAGCCTAGTGCAGTGGACTGGGGAGCTTCTGCTGGGCCCCCAGCCCAGGAGGACCTGCGGAGGCAGGGGCTAGGCTGCAAGCACAGGGAGCTGTGCTCGTCCTGGGCTGTTGGGGGCTGTCACAGCTGCTGCCCCTGGGAGTGGGAGGTGTCACATTAATATTTGAAAGCAGAGGTGTCAGGTGGCCAGGCAGGCTTGGGCTGGGTGTGGGATCTCTTACCACGCGCCTTACCCTTCCACAGGGCAGGGCCCAGGGGAGTGGACCCTCTGGGGAGAGGCGGGGGAGACCTGAGATCCTGGGTCACAAGAGGGAGAGAACACCTAGAGGAATCCTCCAGTGCAGCCCCAGGGCGCAGTGGGGAAACCGAGGCTCAGAGGGCAAGAGGCTTTCTCAAGGCCCCACAGCTGGGAAGAGACAGGGCTGGGATCGGAATCTTACTTGCGACCCCAGTCCCGGCTCCTGCCAGGGCCGGAGCCTCGCGATCGCTGCTCCTTTGTGAGCAGGAGCACCCTGACTAAGGCACAGCTCTGGCTGCGCTTTACCTGGCGTCTCAAGGCTGCATCTGTAGGGTGGACCCGAAAGGCTGCTTACTGCTCGCTATAAAACAGGGTTCCCAGGCTCTGTCGTCCTCGGCTGGGACACAAACTTCCTGTGTGAGCAGCAGCCATTGGGGCCCACGTTACATTACTCTGGGACTTGGGGTGCAAGGGAACCCAACAAAACGTGATGCTGGCTCTCCGTCATGTGTCTCGGACCCAAGAGTTTCGTGTCTTCTTCCAGCGTCCACATACGTAGACATAGGCAGACTTAGGAGTCTTAAACAGGGTCGAGTCTAACCCCAGACCCCACAGCACAACTAGAGAAGCTGGCAGATAGTCGGACAGACAGGGGAGGGCGCTCACTTCAGGGCCACCCCAATGCCTCTCTCCCCATGGGCTCTGCTCGCGGGGGGAGGGGCAAGAACCTCCCGTGCCCTGGCAGAGCCGGAGGCTCGGCTGGGGTGGAGGCAGCCCCTCATGGCGGGGAAGACAGAAGAGGCAGGAAGTTGGTCTGGGGCCCAGAGGAGTGGATGTTGGCCCCAGGGCAGCACCTGCAGCCAGGGGGGCCTCCTGCCACCCACCCTTAGGGCGAATCCCTGATCCACTGCACCACAGAGACGCCCTGGGCCTCCGCTTCCTTGCCTGTAAGTCAGGGAACACTGCAGTTGTTGGGCAGATGAGGAGCTATAGAGACAGACTGCGGGGACACACCTCATCCCTGTTGTCACTGTGATGTCACGGTGACCTCTGAAGTTTAGCAGGGGGTCTGCTGTGGGGTTTCCCTGGCGACAGGAGTACCTACATCCCCGCGTCCCTCACTTAGGCCCCAGACACTAAGCAAATCCACAAGCACTGGAAGGAGCAGATGTTGGGTCCCGACCTTTGGGGTCCTGACAGTTGGACACGTGCTGCCCCCTGCCCAGTCGGGCAGTTGCCCCGGGGTTGGCGCCCTGTCCATGGCCTGTGGTCCCTTGTCCTGTGTTTTTGGTGAGATTTGAGCAGTGCTGTGCCTGCCATGCATTATACATCGAGGACAGCTGTGCTGAGCAGGGTTACAAGCCTGTAATGCCACCCGGGCTGAGAAAATCATGACCCACAGATGGGTGCCGGACACCGGTCACCATGGCTGAGATTCAGTTACTGGCTACATGGCCAGGTCTGCCCCTCCCTTGGGGAGGAGGCTTCCCAGGGGACAGGGAGTCCCTTGCCTTTTATGGGCCTCAGCTCCCCCTCTGTCAAATGAAGGTGTCCTAGGGCCCTTCTGGACCTGGGGGGTGGGACGGAGCTAGCACCTGCTAACTCAGTGGATGTCTCCTTCACGCTCCAACGAGGCTCTTCAACCCATTTTACAGATGAGAAAATTAAGGCTCAGAGCTGCTCAGAACTTGCCAGCACCCGCGTGGTGGGAATCAGTACCGGGGTAGGGCAAGCAAGCTAGCCCGGATGCCACGGAAGATGCTGGGGACTAAGGCCCCCTGGGGGACCATGCTCGGCACCCTGGGCTGCTGTTCCTAACTGCTTCTGCTGGGCCAGAATCTCACTCAAACCCGGTCCCTCAGCGAGGAGCCTGGCTAGCTGCCTAGCCCACTGCAGGAGGGAGTTGGGGTTCCGGGGGCCCCTCTAACCCCTGACTCACCCAGGTCAGAGAGCCCTAGCCCCTTGCTGTGCTGAGGAGGCACCCAGGCCCCAGGGAACAAAAGGACTTGGCCAAGGTCAAGGTGGGGAGACTGAGGCAGGGCCTGGACTTTCTGAGCTGCATGCAGGTCCCGCACTGGACAGGCCCCCCAATGTCCTGCAGACCCGCCTACAAAGGGGGCGCTTCCCACAGGCCAGGTGTCACCACTACCTGTCCAGCCTCGTCCCCCAGGCTGCCTCTCTTGGGACGCATGACTACCTGGGTGTGGGTGCAGGCTGCCGTTTGGCGGGGGAATTGATGGCTTTCACCACCTCCTGAGCCCGACAGGGGAAGAGGCCAGCGCCGGCGACCTCTGGATATTACGTTTCCATCAATATTGCATCAGGCACACAGCCTCCGCAGCCTCGGCCCCCAGCTGACAGCCTGCCCTCCCACGGAGCCGAGCCTGGGAATACCAGGCAGGTGGCCCGGGGGAGGGGGGCAACCCCAGCCTGTGGTGAGAGGCTGGCACCCCCTGCTGCCCTGGGCGCTGAGGGAGAAAAGAGGCAGAGGCTGCAGCCCGAACCCTGAGTCCCAAACGGGCTCCTGGAGCTCACTGGACACACCAGCCAAGGGTCTGGGCTTGAATGCGCTGGCCTCGGCCCCAGGTGCAGGCCTGACGGGCTGTGGAGGGGGCGGACGAGCCCCCCGCCCTCCACCACCACAGGCAGAGCAAGTGGACGGGCCGGTGGGGAGGCTGGCCTGGGGCATCCTGAATGAAGGGGACACTGCCTCGAATCCTGTGGTGACACCAAGAAGACAGCCAGGACCAAAAGAAGCCCCAGGGATCCTGAGGTGTCAGGAGAGCACTCGGAACCCCTGTCCACCTCAGAGAGCTGGGCATAGTGGCCGGAGGGGCTGACGCATGTGCGGGGCCCAGAGGTGGAGGGCTGGGCCGACACCCTGCCTGGCACAAGGTCATGGGCATGGCAGTGTGGCTGGGCTGAGGTCGAGCCAGGGACCCCAGCCAGAGGCCGGGTGGAGCCTGGCAGCCAAGTAGCCGCTCACTCCACGTCCTAATCTCAGCTGCCGGACTGACCCAGGTGACCACACAGGGGCCCAGAAGGGACCCAAATGGCGGGGTCCCCCTAGACTGTGACGCTGTGTCCACTACACCAGGGACCAGCTAAGTTCCACCGACTTTTCAAACCCAAGCCAGCAAGACAACCTTTTACCAAACAATGCCCAAACATTTAGTAATAAATAGTAAATAAATTACTTCACCAGTAGCTCTAGTTCTTGTTTCTGAAACTATGACATCAGGACAAAGCAGGGAACTGGCGTGTGCCCCAGAGCCCTGAGCAGACCCTGAGCCATGGCAGGCGTTGTGGGCTTCGGGCGGTGGCGACAAGGGGCTCCTGGCGGTGGCCAGGTGAGGACTGTCCCACCGGCCCAAGGCCAGAGCGGACCGCAGCTCTGCCTCAGCTGGGCCTGGACGCCCCTGAGAGACACGGAGGCACAGCAGCCTCGGGGGAGACCCAGTGTGGGGGCACCTCCCCTCCCTGGGCCTCAATGCTGTCACCTGGAAATGGGCCCCACCATCCCAGGGACACTTTCTGAAGGGTGAACACAAGAGAGAACTGGCAGATTGGGGCTAATTTCTCACAGTAACTGCCTTGGGCCTAGAATGCCGAGGGGACGGGCAGGAGGGCACTGGGGGAGCCCGGCTCCTGGCTGACCTAACTGCAGACCACCCACCTGCACATTCATCCATCCACCCACTCGTCTGTCTGTCCATCCACCCTCATATCCATTCATTTGCTCACCCTCCATCCGCCCCTCCATTCATTCATTCAAACACTTGTGGTCTGTCATGTGCTGGGGCCTGGGGCCGGCAGGACAAACAAAAGCCCTGTCCTTACAGCCGGGGAAGTGGCTCGCCAAGAAGGGAGCAGGACTGGAACCTGCCGCTTCTGGGCTGACGGGGTGGCTGGGCCTCGTCAGTTCACCTCACCGAGGGCCCAGGGCCCTGCTCCCACCCCAGGCTAACCTCAGTCTGACATAACGTCACCCTAGGAGCCATGTCCATGGGGTCCCCAAGTCACAAGCAGGGTTTAGCCCAGGTGGGTGGCAGGCCTCGGCCAAAGTCCAGCCACAAGCCACCCTGGTCCCGGCCACAGCCCTGGCCCTGTCAGAGCCCTGGCCCTGTCACAGCCCCGGCCCCGTCACAGCCCTGGCCCCTGTCACAGCCCCAGCCATGGCCCCTGTCACAGCCCCAGTCATGGTCCATCACACACCTGGCCCCTGTCACACCCCTGCCACAGGCCCTGTCTTAGTCCCAGTCACAGCCTGTGACTCAGCCCTGGCCCAGGCCCCTTGTTCTGCAAACGATATGGTATACACAATGAGCTTTCTAGCTAACTCAGCAGTCAGGGCAGCAGGAAGCCCTGTCACCCCCCAGGCCCCCAGGATAGTTAGGGACCCTGAGGCTTACCCGCTGGGCCGTCTCCCGCAGGTACTGGGCGCAGTCCTGGTGTCCATGGTACTCTGCCAGGTCTGCCGCGGTGTAACCATCCTCATCCCGCAGCGAGGGGTCCACATGGTGGGAGACCAAGGTCTGGCAGCACTGCAGGGGGTGGGCACATGTGACTGGTGCATGCCCACGTCCATGACACTCACTAGGTGATGATGGAGGGCAGGCACCGTGCACTCAGCTTACCTGCCCCATCTCCCAGGGGGGGACTGAGGCTGACACTGGCTGGGGGACCTGCCCAAGGTCCCGCCACCGTTCTATGCAGGGGGGGGGCTGAGTCCCCGAGCCTCACCCCTGCAGTCCTGTCCTGCATGGGAATCCCTGAGGTAAGGAGCTCGCTAAGAGCTCAGGTGACGCCTCAAGGATCCCGGCCTGGAATCTGACCCCAGCCATGTCCTCGGCTTTAACTACAGAACCCGTTCCCATTTTCACAGCCACTCTCAAAGCTGTGTGTCATTTCCACGTGAAGAGACGGGGGAGCAGAACGATGGCCCGACCACTGCGGGCACTGTGAGCGGAGGGTAGTGGTGCCAGGTGGCTGAGGCTGAAGTCTGGAAATATGTGAGGCGGCCATGCCAGCGGAATAAACAGCTGGGAGGATAGATGCACATCAGCGAGTCACACCCATCCACTCCCAAGTCAACGTGCAAAACAGACTAGACGTAGAAGTCACCTTCCTCAGCATCACAGAGGTGACAAGGGAGGGATTCCTGGAGACAAGTACCCTCGGGGGGATACACCCGCCACTCAGCGTTGCTTCTGCATTTAGAGCACATTGATGCAGGAGAAACGGCCGTGACCTGAGTGGTTCTTTCTCAGCCTCCTGGGACTAGGGAGTCCAGCAAAAGCCATGGGTGCTCCAAAGGGGAGGCTCTGATTCTCCACCTCCCACAGGGGCCGAGGGCTCCAGCCTCCGAGAAAAGATACTGGAAGCCAGCCAGCCCGCTGCTCTGGGTCACGCGGATGCTCTGGTGACCCTCGCGCCTGCAGTGTGGACTAAGTGACCCTGGGCTTGCAGGTCCCACGTGGGCCTGACAGGCAGAAGCAAAGAAGACACCATTCAAGGCCTCGGATGACTTCAACAGATCATTTTTCAAATATAGTGAGCACCATACAGTCAAAGCAAGCCAGCAGCCCAAGGAAACAAGACCAGAAATGAGATTGGGAGGCACAACACGCAAGAAACAGACCCCCTAAGACAGAACACACAGACTGTAATGCAACCATGCTTACAACTTTCAAAGAAATAAAAACGAAGCTGGAAAATTCAGGCGTGGGGTGATAACCTATAAAAAGCGACACAGAAGATTTGAAACATGACTAAGTGGAGAAGGTCAAGACCATAAAAATAGTGACCAAGTTAAAAACCGAAGCTGAAAACTTGGTAAACAGAAACTGGGTCAGAAGAAGCAATGCAGATTATGGTAGAGCCAGACAGAAGGATTACAGCAGGCGACCAGCAGATATGGTCAAGGCTAAACACACCAGTTAATCCCAGAATGAGAGAACGGATGCATAGGTCATATCTGAAGAGAGAACAGCTGAGAATCTGACAGAACAGACTGAGAACACCTAAGCACAAACTCAAGAAGCCTGATCAGTCCCGAGGAGGAAGGATATAAAGCCGTCCATGAGTCTGTATGGAAAGCCTTGAGATGCCAAGAGGAATAAAGAAGGGAAAAGGGGTAAATTTGTGGATATGGTTGAATCAAGTCTATCCATTGACTGAATTAAAAAAAACACAATTGTTCTATAGGTTTGTAAAACTGTAGAAGTAACACATTAAAAATGGCCGACTCGTGCCATCAGGCCTCACCCCCCATCCCCACTCTCCAGCCACACCAGTCTCTAGGCTGTGCCTTGCAAAGCCCAAGGCCATCCCGGAGTCGGGGCTGCGGGGACCATCATGCTGACCGCGTGGAGAGATGAGGCAAGGAGGCCTTCCCACGTGTCCTCCAGGCACCGTCCGGGGTGGCATGTGGACCACTCCATTCGTCCTCACAGCTGCCCCGTGAGGTTTATTATGAGGCCTGTGTTACACAGGAGGAAACGGGGCACAGAGAAGGACAAGAGGCCCCGCAAGGTCAAAACGCTAGGAAGTGGGCAGCCTGGGGCCAAAGCAATGGGTCTAAGAGCCCATGACCTTAACCGCCACCTTGGACCAGGGTGCATCACCGGACGCAAGGCTGGCATCTTGAGGATGAACTGGTCCAGGGTCCTCCATTCCATCAGACCCAACACCCTCTTTTTATCGCAAATATTTTCTGATGCCTCATTCACCATCCCAAAATGAACTCCATAGGTGCAATAATTAACCTGTGCACACAATTTTTAAGTAATTAGCATTCCACTCTAAGTCCAGGATACAGGAGGACAGAGAAATAACTTATAGCATAAAAAGCATTTACTGTAAAACGTGCGAGTGTTGACGACACTAAGGACACAGTTCAACGGGTGTATCAGGAGAATGAGAAAGGTGCCGAAATGGGCAAAACAGTAATTACCAAGGGTTCTGTTCAGCACATGTTTCTGCTTTGCATTCACTGCCTTTGAGCCAACAACTCTGTAAGTTGTAAAAACACCTGGCTGTACCGCAAATGATTCTTGTCCAGGGAAAGGCAAAATGTCTGTGTCCGGTGGAGTGCAATCGGTTATTTCCGTCAGTGTTGACTGGTTTGCACCCATGAGTCTATTTGTAAATTCACCTCCTCATTCCATGTGTGTGTGTGTGTGTGTGTGTGTGTGTGTGTGTGTGTGTGTGTGTGATCACTGTGAATTACTGGTTTCCTCACTAATTAATGAGTTAAGTAAACACCCTTCCATGCTGCCTTACCTCCGTCTGCCCGTTCTCTGCTGCATCATGCAGGGGGGTCCCACCCCAGGAGTCTCTCATGATGGGGGCGCCCATCAGCAGCAGCCGGTCCAGGATGGGTGTGTGGCCACCTCGAGCTGCAAAGTGGAGGGCTGTGGCCCCCTCGTTATCACGAGCTGTCAGGCCGATGTCGGTGAAAGTGACCTGGGAGAGGAGGAGGGAGAGTGACGGGCCAGCTGAGGCTGGACAGGGAGCACCCCTAGGGAGGAGGACATGGGGGAGTTGCATGTGTAAAGCCTCTCTGGCCCTTGATCCCGTGGCCTCAGCTGCTCCTCCCCTGGGGTGAGCCCCTATGGGGCTCCGTGGGGCTCACTGGACCCTCTCCCCTCCTGCCCACTCCCCGGTACCGTCCTGGGCACCCCGCCACCCCGCTCTGACTGTGGCTTCTCCCCCTGCACAGCCTACCCACTCACTTCCACATGCTGAGCACCTGCAGCCGGAGGTGGCCAGGGCTCAGGCTCACCCGGGGCCAGGAGTCCTGGTGCAGGGGCAGCAAAGTTTCTGGGCGGCTAAGGTCTGAAGTGGACGGGGTCAGAACTACAGGACGGGCTTAGAACGACAGACTAGGTACATGAGGACAACTCCGCCTGGTGGCCAGGGTGGGCCTGACGACTGGAGAGCGGGTACAGCAGGGGCCGCAGGGCTTTGTCCCTGAGAGGGGCCGCGTTGTCAGGGGGAGCCCAGGAGGGGACTCGGCCTGAGCAAAGGTGTAGCGCTGGAGGGTGCTTCAGGGGCCAGGGGCCAGCCCGGGAGATGCCCTGGCAAAGGGAGTCCGCAGGCAAATGCTGGTGGCCTGGGAGGCCAAGGTGTGTGGCTGGACTTCATCCCGGGGCCAGGGGAAATCATTCGTTCCCTCGCTTGCTCACTACACATCTTGCTGATGTGTAAGGGGAACGCAGCGCCCTTACACTCCGGGGCAGAAATGGACAACCAGCAAGAAAAAGAAGTCACATACACGAGTCTGTCAGGTGTTGGGGCTGCGGAGGGAAGCCAGCGGGAGAGCAGGGTGGAGTGCTGGGCCGGCTGGCGGCCATCCTGACCAGGTGGGCAGGGAAGGCAGCGGGGAGCCACCTGGGGAGCTGCCTGCCAGGCAGAGGGCACAGCGCGCCCCTACAAAGGCTCCTTGGGGTGTGGGGCCAGCCTGCTGAAGGAGGGGCTGGAGGAGGGGGTCCCCTGGGAAAGTGGGAGGTTCTGAGCCTGGAAGAGCCCCCTTCTCCACCAGCAGCCGGCGTGACCTTCAGGAGCTCCCCAGCATCCTCAGGAAACAGCCCTGGTCCTCCCGGGGCCTCTGTCTGCTGTTCGTTTCCACCTCAGCCCACCCACGGCCAGGCTCTCCCCAACTCTGGTGAGCTGTGCCCCTTCCAGGAGCTTGTCTCCGCCCCACCCTTCGCCCAGCCCCCTCCTGTCCATCCTCAGTGCTGCCTCTCCTCAGGGAGACCCCCCGGCTCTGACTCCATCAGCTCTCTGACCGACCCTCAGAGCTCCCGAGACCCCACTTGGTCTGGTTTTCTGTGGTGGGGGCAGAAGTCCCCAGCCCACTCTGGAAGAAGGCACCCCCGGCCCCAACCGGGGCCGCTCTATGTTCCAGGGTCTCAGGGCTTCCTTCAGCAAAGAGGCCTGAATGACTCCTCCATGGGTCCAGAAGGGAAGCCGGGTGGGGACTGACCCTGCTCTGAGGCAGGCAGCTGGGCGTGAACAAGTGGCCAAATGACCAGGGCCAGCACTGCAGGTGCCAGGCACTGGTGACGGAGCACCTGGGTGCCACCAACCCTGAGAGCACCCAGGAGACGCACCAGGACCCCTGGGGGAAGGGCAGGAGAGCCTCGGGGATAGCAGCTGCAGGTCCCCACAGCCCTGCAGGGGGGTCTGATATCCAACCAGTCCGTAGCCACAGCCAGTTAGAGCTGTGAACTCCGGGTGGCACCCCGCCAGGCCTGGGTCTGGAGACCACGGGTGCTTGGAACGGTGGGCGGGCACATCCAGTCCCCAGCAACCCTTTTGGTTCCCAGTTCTCGGGGCAGGCGGGCAAACAGACCCCGGGGGGGGGGCGCCCCCACCGCAGCCAGGCCCTGCGCGCTCCGAGGGGCTCCGGGAGTAGGCAGGAGCCTTCGGGACCTCCCCTCCCCCGTCCTCCACGCCCCCTTACCAGCCAGACGACGAGCGAGTAGTGGCCGCGGGCTGCGGCCGCGTGCAGCGCGCTCATGCCGTCCAGCGCTCGCAGGTGCACGTCGGCGCCGCAGTCCTTCACCAGGAACTGGGCCAGGTGCAGGTGGCCCTCCTGGCAGGCCAGGTAGAGCGGCGAGGCGCCGCTGCGCGTCCGTCGGTTCACGCTGCTGTGGGGGACAGCGGGGTTCAGAGAGCGACTGGCAGGGGGTCGTGGGGGTGGGGACGCTGCGGCCAAGGGCCCAGATGGGGGAGGGGCAGCTCGGCACCTGGCCTGTCTTTTGCGGCCACACCCCTTGCCGACTGAGGGGCCCCAGCCGGTCACCTGGAGGGTCGCACATGTTGCGCACCGCGCGAGGGCACCGGCTTGGGGGACGGGAAGCGGAACGCGGAGCACCGGCCGCCGGAATCCAGCTCCGCCTACTCCCGATCGAGCTGTGCGCGCCGCCGGTGCTCGTCGGCAGGGGGCGCTGCTTAGGGGCGACTAGTCCACTAGCCTGCAGGGGGCAGGTCAGGGAACTCCAGAGCTGCTCTGCAAAAAGGGGCGTTGTGAGCAGGACACTAGGCGGTCCGTGGGCGCGCAGGCCTGGCGTTTGCGCGGGTGTGCATGGACTGGAGCAGGGTCCTGGGACTTCCCGCGTCTGCTCTGCCTCCACCGGCTGCAGAGCCAGGTGACTTCTTGGTCCCTAGTGACCTGCTGCAGGGAGGGGTGGTCCCCTACCCAGAGCTAACTCACCCCACCCCCTGGTGACACAGACTTCACCTGGCTCCCGCAGTTGGTGCCAGGTGAGAGAGAATATGGGCCCTGGGACACAGAACCTTTGTGTGTGTGTGTGTGTGTGTAATGTGAAGTCTCCCAGTTTTCAAAGGGCAGAAACGACTTTAAAAAACTGAGGGTCTAAGAGACATCCTGTGGCCAGGCAGGCTCAGGCAGCCAGTGTGAACACTCTGGGAAGATCCCCGGAGGCGAGTCCCAAGGCCTTCGCCAAGGGGTCAGGATGGGGGGACCAGGAATAAGAACGCTCTTCCACAGCTGAGCTGTCAAGCCTTGTTGGGAACACACATGGGGTGGTGGGAACAGCCAGGCGTGTCCCTCCCCATCCCCTGTCACCGTGTGTCTGCCCTGCAAGGGCCACCTCAAAGGCCACCAGCCCGCTGTCCTCTGCCCCCTGGGTACAGCTGCCCCAGGGGCCGGCAGCCTGGGCCCAGCTCCTCACCTGCTGTGGGCAGCGGTCAGGAGCTTTAGGCAGGTCAGGTCCCCGCTGACAGCGGCGTGGTGCAGCGGCAAGGCCCCCTCCAGCGTCTCCAGCGTGGCCGCGTGACCCTCTCGGAGAAGCCACTCCACCACCACGGGGTGGGCAAAGCGAGCGGCCAGGTGCAGTGGGGACACGCCCGAGGCATCTTGGTCCTGCCGAGGCACAGCAGGGTGGTGAGGGGGCGGCAGGCCCGGACTCACTCCTGCTGGGTAGCACCAGTTGGGCCAGGGCCAGCCTTGGGGTCCACACTGTGGGGAACCCCACCTGCCTCGGAGCTTCTGCTCCTCCCTTCCCCTCCCCCACTGCTGCTCGTCCCATCACAGGATACAGAGAGAGGCCCTCCTGGACTCAGTGAGGCCACCTGCTCAAGGTAAGAGGGAGGTCTTCTGAGTCCAGGTCTTTTGGGTAAAATTGTGTGACCCTGCCACATGCCAGTCCCCTCGCCCGGGCGCAGTCATGCCCCTTGCTCACCTCTGCTCAGACAGGCTTCCGCTTGCCCAACAAGTGGGCTTGGCAGCCGGCTGCGCGTCTGGTTTTGGCCCCCACCCCACTGAGCACCCACTTGCCAGCCGCAGGTCCTCGTGGGAGCATTTCCACTGCAGGACTGGCAGACCTGGGCATCCCCCAGGCACAGAGATGGCTCCACTCCGCCCAGTTTCCCCTTGGGGCACGGAAAGAGCCGACGAGGACAGTGGTGCTGAGGCCATGGCACATCCAGGCTGTGACTGGTGAGTGTCTGTCTCCTGGGACCCAGCGGGTCACCCTGACGCCCACCCAGCTCTGTCAAAGCTTGCTCACTGTCCTCCTTTGCCCACACAAAGGGGCGTGAGGCAGGAACAGGGAGAGGGCGGGCCCTGGTAGAACCCCCCCCCCCCCGACAAGCCCTGGAGACCCCTCTATCATCAAGGCTCTCGGCCCATGGCCCCCAGAGCCGGACCTGTGCTGTCACCCACTGGGGCCCCCAGCTCCACGTGCACACTGCTCTTATCTACGGATCCTTTTCTGGACTTTTTGGGAAACAGGACCCAGGGATCAGAACCCCCACCCGCAAGGCCAGGCGCTCCCATGGGGGGAGAGTGCCGAGTGGCTGCTCTGTGCAGTAGGGGAGACCAGGTGGTTTACGAGGTGGCCTTGGCTTTCAAGGGCTTTGTGTTGCTTTGGGGTGGGGTGGGGGGTGCAGAGACATATGGCAGAGACCTAGCTGTGGGGTTTGCTTGGTGGGTCCCCAAGAGAAAAAGAGCCCGGGGCGCTCGGCCCTTCTGGCTCATGGCTCACGCCTCCCTCGATGTACATGGACATCGGCTCTCCGCATTGTCCCACACTCACTCAGCTGCTGTCCCCACTCACCTGCAGACCACAGCCCCCTTCGCGCACCAGCCAGCACAGCTCGGCCAGGCTGCCTGTGGCAGCAGCGTCGTGCACTGGTGTGGCCCCGTTGTGGGCCCGCTGGTTACCGGGCAGCTTGGCCCGCTGCACTAGGAATTTGACACAGGCTAGGTGGCCGGCCCGGGTTGCGTGGTGCACCAGGCCAGCCCCCAGGGCGTCGATGATGCCTGGGCCCAGGGTGCCAGCCTCCAGCAGCTGCTCCAAGGTGGCCAGGTCCCCGTCCTTGGCGGCCGCGAGCGCCCGTTGCTCCTCCATCCTTAGGCCCGGCCAACCAGCCGGCTCTCGGGGCTCAGGCACAGGCCTGGCTTCCTGTTTCAGGTGTGGACGCAGCTCTGGGCTCCGGTTACCCGATAAGCAGCACACAGGGCAGATGGGAGGCGGCAAGGTTGGGGGGCGGGCCTTGGGGAGCAGGCAGGCCCTGCAGCCCCGCCCGAGCCACTCCTGTGGTGCCCAGAGCTGTGGTGGGTAGAGGGTGCAGGGGAAGGACCCACACCGGGTCCAGGTTGGGGTGGGTGCCGGCCAGTGGATGCTGCCCCGCGGCTGGACCATGCCTCTTCCTCCCATGGTGCAAAGACTGAGCAGATGCATGAGTGTGTCAGCCTGAGACAGACTTCCTGCACCCAGTGGGTGTTTACAGTTACAAGCATCCTTTCAAGAAAGCAGCAGGTTCCCTAGCATCTGTGTCCCCCAGTGTGGGCAGTGGCCCTGAGGCCCCTGCTGGTCTGTGGGGAGGCCACCTGGAAGGGCAGACCCATCCACTGTGGGGCCCTTTCCAGGGAACTTACCACCAGGTGCGTGGCAGTCTAAATGTTTCAGCTGTGTCGTCCCACAGGGAGCTGAGGGCCCACCTCCCCCTGGGAAATCTACCCTGGATGTTGACCCTCGGCTGGCCTGAGCTTTGCAGGCCCTGCGGCTGCTCAGGCCCAGCGATGGGCACAGGCCTGACACTGGACGGGGGCCTCGGAGTTGAGTGAGGGTCTGGAGGTCCCCACATCAGCCCACCTTCCAACCACAGCAACCGAGTCTGTGGGGCTGTGGATAAGGGTCCCAAGTGCATTTTCCAGAATGTTCTCTTCAGTGGGGCTGGACACCCACAGTTCTTTGCTGGGGAAGCTGGGATTGTAGCCTGTGCCAGGAAGCCACAGGGCATTGCATGTTAGGGACCTGCTTTCTAGGGGCTTCCAGAGACTCAATCTTAAGCTGAACTTCCTGAGCTAAAGTGTGATGAGTCGGGGTTGCTGCACAGCCCTCTAACCCACCCCCACAGCCAGCTCACATACACTGGTGCCCCTGAGAGAAGCACCCACTAGAAAAGATAGAAAACGTCCAATACGGGGCTAAAATCTTTCATTAGTTCATTTAATTTCTCATCATTGTTTCCTCAATGTCATCGTGCAGTTCTTTGCACCTTACAACCACACGATCAGCGTTATTTGATTAAAAAGTCGTTCCTATGTAAGTGACATCTGCTGTGTATCACAACGCACAAAGCATCTGCCATGATAAAGAATTCTCCTGCAGATAAAATGAAGGTGAAGGCCGAGTCAGGGGTGAACCGGCTTTCCACCTCAGGAACGACCCAGAGCCACATAAGCAGCGGCCACCCCACGACTCGGTGACATCTGGGCTGAGACCCTGAGCAAATGATCAACGGGGAGAGGACAGATGGGGCCTGAGACTGGTGGGGAGGCGGTGTGGCCGGCAGCCTGGAGACCGCAGGGCTCGCAAGTGCGGACACTGAGCAGAGAGAGGGCCTGTCTGGAAAGGGCTTGAGAAGGGCCGGGGGTGGGGGCGCCGGCGTAAACCAACCGCTGTACAGACATTTACAGGGAGGCCATGAGCAAAACCAAAAATCAGGGTTCCTATTTTCATGACATTAATAGCAACTGGCAACTGATTATAAATACTAGGACTTTATCTTCAGGACAAAAATGCCACATCCCAGGAAGGGGACATTGGGAACAGGCTCGGCCTACTTCCTAGAGGGCAGTGTGGTCACAGCTAAAGTGTTTCCACTTCACCCTGGGCCACTCAGCAGCAGCGAGAGTGACAGGCTGTGCAGGTGTGTGTCCTGGGCCCATAAGCACCTGTGGGGTCTGTGTGCCGAGCAGAGCCCCTCCTCATTGACCTGCATACGGGGGTGGGCAGAGCCCAGAGTACACACAAACCCCAGTCACTGCGCTCAGACACTCTGAGACAAAATGGAGACATGGACAAATCAAGAAGTGTCACCCTGGCGCAGCCCTCAGAAAGGCTGCCTGTGAGGTGGCCTCGGCACTAGGCCTTGCCCTCCAGCCGGGCCACGGCCTGCTTCAGGTCCTGGACCACGAGGTCCACGTCTGCCCTGGTGGTGCTACGGCCCACGCTGAGCCGGAGCGCGTTCCTGGCCACGTCAGAGGGGATGCCACAGCTCAGCAGCACCGGGGACGGCCTGCAGGGGCAAGAGCGGAGTTAGCTGTCATGGAGAAAGGCACAGGAAGGGACATGGCCCCTCTGCTCTCAGCAGTGCCCACCTCCCCTCTCTGCAGACACAGCCCTGAGCCCACCCGTCTTCCAGGCCCAGCTCCAAAGCCTCCCTTGTTCTCCCCGTCCCGGGTCCTCTCGTGCTGGGGACTACACAGCACTGTGGCCTCTCCCCGCACAGACCCTCTGCCCAGAGCATGACAGACCTCTAGTCACTGTGTCCAGCGAGCCAGCCCTGGGATACAGGGGCTTCCAGGTCTCAGAGGTGCGCATGCGCGCGCGCACACACACACACACACACACACACACACACACACACATACATGGCACACGCATATGGCGCACACACATGCGCGGCAGAGTGTCCTGCCTCCAGCACAGCATTTGAGGCTGTGGTGACCCCAGGCCTGTTTTGGGTTTTTTGCAGCACCGAGCACAGGGCTTTGGTGCCTGGGGTCCTGGCCCATATTTATTGCCTGAAGGTGGCTCTGAAGCTGGGCCCCATGAGGCTCACCCCCGTCCTCAAATCCCCAAGCAGAGCCACTGCTCAAGGTCTTTCCTTCACAAGCGGCCCATAAGCCAGGGGGCCGAACAGTATGGCAGACTGTGCTGTCAGACTACAGCGCCTGAAAACTGCCCAGATAAGTGCCCTTTATATCCAGGGCCAGGTGAAAGGGGGTGCATTTCATCACCTCCAGTCACCAAGTGTCAGAGCTGGAGGCCCCTGCAGCCCATCCTGCCACAGGTGAGAGCAGGACTGGGCACGGATGCGGCCTCCCCCACTGGGTGACCTCACCTCCTAATCCAGGAGGCGCCAGCAGAGGGGCACCCCTACCTCACACAGGGCATTGAGCACGTGCCTCCATCGCCTTCTTCCACCCTCGCAGGGGCCACTCTAGACACTTGTCCCTCTGAGCCATGCTGCCAGCCCCTCCTCACGCCCTCTGCCTCCACTGCCACCCCTTCCCCTTCCCGCCTCTGTGGCCATGAAGGCTGCAGAGCGCACCTGCCAGCTTGACCGCTCTGCCTCAGTTTCCTCGTCCTAGAAATGGACTACTCAGATCCTCCCGCGGGTCGTGGAGGGTGTTCCGTGAGCGATGGCACACCTGAGCGCGCAGCAAGGGACAGAACCCATGTGCCCTTTCTCTGCGCTCCAGGCTGGCCTGGCCTCACTGCTCCTCACGGTGATTCTGGCTGTCATATCTGGGCTCCGGGCCCCACCTGCCCCCCACAGTCCCACAGCTGCAGGGCGCTAAGGCCGCCTCGTCCAGGCCACAGGGCGCTCTGCTCTAGGAGCCCTCTCCAGAGTCTCATGTGCGCAGGCACGACCCCAGCTAACCCTGAGCACATCCACGTCTGCTCTCTCCGGAAGCCCAGGGCTTTATCCAGCTCCGCTCCCACCTCTGCAGCCCCACACCCACAACAAACCAGAAACCGAGCCTCTTTCTCCTCCTCCGGGGGTGCATGATGCCTGAGCCCCCACAGTCGGCCTGGTTCCACCCCCCATCACCATCTGCCTTCCTGTACCCGGCAGGGGAAGCTAGTTATATGAAACCCAAACCTGATGTGTCACACCCCTTCAGGAGCCCCCATTTTCCTTTTTTTTTTTTTTTTAGCTGAGCCATCCTGCTACCTGTTGGCAGCTCAGCGGCTGCTCAGCTCGGGCTGGACTTGAACCGCTGTTGCTCAGAGCTCGAACTCTTGAGCGAGCTCTTAACCAACTGAGCCACTCAGCCGGCCCTCAGGAGCCCCCATTTTCTTGAGGACTGAGTGAGTGCTCTGCAGCCGGCCCCTCCCGGCTCCGCCCCTGCTCGCACAGCCCCGCTCTGGCCCCGCCCCGCCCCAGCCCCGCCCCTCTCCCCGCCCCACCTGACGCTGGAAGTGTCAGTTCTCTTCTCCTGGTCACCTGCTGGTCCTGCTTTAGGCTGCAGCTTCCACCCTCCCCTCCTGAGGGCCCACAGAGGGTCTCTGCTACGCCGGCCCCTGGCCCTGAGAGATCTGGTCACTTTCTATCCCCACCACGCTGCACAGCACAGTGAAGGCGCAGGCCCAGCACCTGGAGAGCACTTACCGGTCCCCGTGGTCCGAGTGGCACGCAGCCCCCACGCTGGCCAGCAGCGTCCTGCACTGTGCCAGCACCAAGCGGCCTGTGGAGACAGCACACGTCCCCTGAGGCGGCGATCCCAGGCGGGGCCCACCTGTCCCGCCCCCGCTGCCTCTCCCGTGCAGCGCGTCTTGACGCTCTCTCCATCGTGCCACCTGATGGAACCCCGGCACACAGGCCCTGAGCACAGGTGACAGAAAGCACAGCAGGACCCAGAGAAAAAGCTTCCTCTCTCCCTGGGCTGCAGAAAAGCAGGCACTGTTCTCCTAGAACTGCCCTTGAAAGCGTTATTTCCAATAATAGACCATCTAGTAAGACACCCAGAATTCCGATTCGCGGCCTCACTTAATATAAACGTGCACCTGCGTGTTCCAAAGGTAGAGACACTTGGCAGCTGTCTTTATGGAGCCAGAAGGCACCCCGTGTTCTCTCATCTGCAGCGATTAAAACTATAAACCGATGACTGCAGGTTTAATTAAAAGGGCAACCTGTCTCATTTAAGTTAACGCCAGTCATCACTGAATACAAAGTCCACCCCATTAAAAGGGGAAGCGAGGGCAGGACCCGAGCTTCCCACGGCAAGGACACGCGGCTTCCGTCCCAGTGAGGACGCGCTGCAGCCCAATCCTCGCTAACGAGCGACGCTGCCCGCTGCTCCGTAACCAGGACGACAAACCAGCGACCACCCCGTCTTCTAAGGCAAATGTGATCTGCAGAGGAGGCTCACTGAGGCTCACTGGGGCTTGCGGGGCCACCGGAATGTCCTCACGGTGAAACACAGCAGGTCACCGTCCTGGACGTGGGTGCCAGGGACTCAGGACGAGCCCTGTCGCAGGAACAGGGAAAACGCACAGCTCCTGCACTTCGTCCTTACTCTCAGCCACTTTTTAAAGCTGACTGCCTCTATTTTCCCTTACCCTCAAAAAATATTTTATAAATCGCTGACAAAAATGGACCACCTAGCCTCAGTGTAGTGAATTTGATGGCCCTTCCCAAACGGCTTTCGGGTGGGCGCTGCGGCTGGTGCAGCGCTGGGCACCCCAGGTCCTGGGCGCCAGGGCAACGAGCGGCTTGGGGGACAGAGCCGCCAGAGCCCGGCCCACCACAGGACAGCGCCTCCTTCGCTCCCGAGCCGTGGTCCCCCACCACACCACGGGGAGGCCGCGGGGAGGCCAGGCGGTGCCGATCCTCACCTTGGAGCTGGGGTCCCCTGATGGAGAAGTTACACGTGTTGCAGAGTCGCTCAGTCCCTGGAAACTGGCTGTTGAAATGGATAGTCTTCTTATCAAATTCAGCCTGAAAAACCAACGAAATCTTCAGTAACGGTGTCAAAGCCCCTCGCCCACGAACTTTAGATTTTTCTGGGAAACAAAACTTCAACCTCAACCCATAAAATAGTTATCCATACGCATCTACCTATAATAGGGGACTATGGAAAGCAAAGTTAATTAGGAGAAAAATTCAGAACACATACGGGTCTTCTACACACACTCCTTAAATGTACCACCTCTGGTGTGTGTTTATCCCAAGTCTGTGAAAATGGTAATCCACTTGGTCTAAACTCCCTCTTTGGGTGTTTCTGACTCCAGCTCACGTCTGGTCATTTAATTCTTCCCTATTCGCTCGTGACCTTGGTTGTTCCCAGAGTCCCCGGGCAATGGGCTCCAGTCTACACAGCTCCTTTCATCCAGTACAGTCACACCCCATGTCCTGCCTGCTCCCTGGGTCCCCATCCTCACTGCTTACTGGCAGAGGAAACCACCAGGCCTAACAGACACCCGCTCCGCCTCGGCTGACCGCCACTCACTGCCAGCCTCTCCTCCAGATAGTCGCGAATGTCCCTCATGTGAGCCTCATAAGCCTCGCAGTTCTCTGTCACCAGCTCAGCGGCCTAGGGACACAGGAAGGTGACAATGCAAGAAAGCATCCAATTATTGTCAAGCAAAGGAGAGACAGGAGCTGTGAGTAGTGGAGGTGATAATTCCTGATGGGAGAAACTGCTCATTTTCTAGAACAGTGGTTCTCAACCTTTCACAGGGGTCACCTACGACCATCGGAAAACACATATTTTCGATGTTCTTAGGAACCGAGACACCGCTCCTCTATCCATCTCCAGGCCCACATGCAGATACGCCCACATACGTGTACCCGGCAACCCCTGTGAAAGGGTTGTTCAATCCCCAAAGGGGTCGCGACCCACAGGTTGAGAACCGCTGTTCTAGAATATCATAAATAGTACCTCCTGAGTGACTCTGTATCAGGGACCATGATAAGTGATATCTGCACTTTTCCACAGGAATTTACTTTATCGAGCACTTCCTGATACCTCCAGGGACCAGCGATGCCACAGCCCTGAAGAGCAAGAACCCCAGCCTTCAAGGAGACGGCACAGCAGAGGGAATAAAGAGGGGCCGCTGGAGCAGGGAGGGAGGGGACAGGGCCCAGCGGCCCCGGTGACAGCCGGGACCTGAGCCTCTGTGCAGGCAGCGTGGGATCCAAACCCCCTCGGGTTCTGAGGAAGGGGCGAGGTGACCCGACCTGCGTGCTTCACCATCATTCTGGATGCTGTGTGGAGAGTGGGAGCCTGGCAGGTGTGGGCAAAGGCAGGAGGACCTGGCCGAGGCGGTGGCCATGGACAAGATGCAGATCACCCGTGTGTCACTGAGACCGAACAGGCCTGGCTGGTGCATCAGCCAGGGGTCAAGGTGGGGTCAAGGGCACCTCCCAGCTGGGCCATCATCTAAGCACCAGGAGGCATCTCTTTAGGAAGCTGCTACCACAACCCTTATCCTGCAGGCCGGATGGCCAGGGGTCAGCGGGGTGGAGCCATGTAACCGAGGGGACCGAGCGAACCTGCACCCTGACGTTTCTCTGCTGTGATGACTTCACTGTATTTCTTAATGAGAAGACTCGGACAAAGAACTTCTCCCTGTAAATGCTCAGCATGTGAGACCCACTCCACAGGCCTCAAGGAGAACATCAGGGCGAAACAGAAAATTGGAGAGTTTCTCCTTATAGCTGTCATCTGTTGCGATCGTGAGCGTGATCTCCATAAAGTGCTGATGCCTGAGAAAGCTGCTGCAGAAACCACGCAAGATGACGGGACAGCTATGCGGGTCCAGGCAGAGCTCCTGAAACCCTCTAAGTTCCTAAGTGCTAAGAGCACTTGGATCTGTTGTTCTAGTATCCCATCTTTGGCCCCAGTTCCTGACCAAGTCCCTAAATCTCTTGGAATAAATCCCTAGGAATTCCCTGGGGAACAGGAGTGTCTTTTGTTCTAATGAGACAACTCTAGGTGGCTTCTGAATGAAGGCTGGCCACCTAGAAGCTTGGAATTTCCAGCCCCACCCCTTATGGTCCATGGAGGGGTAAGGGGAGAGGGGCGAAGGGCTGGAATGGAGTTAATGATGGACAGAAGTTTGTAAAATCCAGTACGGGGTTGGAAGAGCTTCTAGGCTAGTGAACACGTGGAGGTGCTGGGAGGTTCAGCGGTATCCTTTAGAACATCCTTTAATAATCAACTGGTAATCTAGGTGGTAAAACGTTTCTCTGAGTTCTGTGAGCCGCTCTGGCAAATTATTCAAACCTGGGGTGGGGACAGGGGAAGCTCCAACTTGTAGCCAGTCATCAGAAGTACGGGTGACAACCTGGACTTGGGCCTAGAGTCTGAAGTGTGTGTGTGTGTGTGGGGGGCGCGTGTCTCGTGGGACTGAGCCCTTAACATGGACCTGAAGCCACCTCCAGCCAGACAGAGAAAGAATTGAGTTAAACTGTAGGACCCCCAGCTGGTGTGGCAGAGTGTTGTTCAGTTTGGGAAAACCCACACCAGTGTCACAAGTGTTGTGACTGTGGTAGGAGAGAGAGAGGGCAGGAGGCCAAGGCCATCTGTCCAAGGTCACCAAGGCTTACCTTTCCAAGGCCGGCAATCATTGGGGTGTTCTCCGTCCTGTAAGAGAAAGGATTCAATCCTATTTCCATGCAAAGCAGTTGACAAATGTCCCAGGAAGGAATCCTGTCTATATGAAAGTCGTGTGTTCAGATCAAAACAGAATCACACCAACATGTTTGCTCCACATGTGCCGAGGAGTTGCCCAAATGGCAGCTGCAGGCCCCAGAGCCCTCCCTGCAAAGTGTACCCGTCCTGCCCAGTGACGATGGACTCAGCTGTCTGTGGGCAACACATTGGGTGTCCTCAGTGACAATTCCGTCTGGACCTTTTCCTACCCCAGAGAAACTCATGCTCTGACTGCTGACCTGAGCACACCTTCTGGCCCCCACTCCCAAACCAGGTGAGGGTCTGAGGAACACCCTGCCGACACTGTCCTCTGCGGCCGGCGTTTCATCTGGAGACGCTCAACAATGAAATGGGACGAACCCTTTGTTACTAGACTTTGGGGCATGACAGGCGCACAGGAGAGGGACAAAAGAATCTCCGTAACCAGTGGCGCTCAAACACTGATCTAAGAAATGGTAAAACTGAATGCTTCGCTCTATTTCGGGAAAAACAAAACCAAACATCACCTTAAGAATTTCTTTCATTTTAAGTTTTGGCTACATCAAGTTTTCTTAAGCCTTTGGAGCTGGCAACCACTTGCCTGCCAGTGAATAACAACAGGACAGGTAAGCGCGCAGCTTAGGGGTTACAGGAAACCCCATCTCACCCTCTTCCTTTGACTAGTTTACTGGTCCGCTGTCCCGGGAAGAACCGGGAGCTCCAGGCCGGGAACCAGAGGCCTGAGTGTCATCCTAGGCCGTCTCCTCTACTAGCCAAGGGATCCTAAGGGCGTCCCCTCCCCGGAGCTCCCCCTCATCTGCAGACAACAGGTCAGACCAGGGGCATCTCAGAGGCCTGTGACCTGTGCCTGGGGTGGATGAGCTGGGCCCGTGGAAGACCTGAAGCCTGCTGTGCCAGCCCAGTCTTGTTACCAGGCCCGTCCCCACCACCCCGCCCCACTCCTGAGCAGTCAGCCCTGTTCCACTGCCCCCAAGGGTAACTCACACCGTCTTCCACACCCCATCCGCATACTGAGCTACTTGTCATGGCTTCCGACACCTGAAGCCCCACCTTTTTTTTTAATTCAACTTTTTATTTTGAGATAAGGTAGATACACACAGGTGGTTGTGAGACAGAATATAGACACGCCCTGTGTGCCCTTTACTCAGTTTCCCCCAAGTAACACTACAGCAGTTATCGACAAGGCACAGAACACGCCCCCTTCCCTTCGGCCCCCACCCCCTCCTTCCTCGGCAACCACTCATCTCTGCTCCACTTCTGTCATTTTGTCATTTCTAGACTATTCTAGAAATGGAATCATATAGTTTATAACTTTGGGGCTGGGCTTTTTTCATTCGCCATAATTCTCTGGAGATCCCTCCAGGCTGTTATAGGTATCAACAGTTCATTCCTTTCACTGCTGAGCAGATTGCACGGCTGGTTTAGCTGCTCTCTCGAGAATCACAGGACACCTGGGCTGCCTGCAGTTTGGGGCTCTCAGGAGTAGGCCTTCCACACTCGTGCACAGCGGGCACTGTGAGAAGTCTTCGTTTCTCTGGGATAAATGCCCACGAGCACAGCTGCTGGGCCTTGTGCTAGTTGCGTGTTTGTTTGGTAAGAAACTGCCACACTGTTCCAAATGGCTGTACTACATACATCCCCCTCGCCGTGTGCGAGGGTCCGGCTTCTCCGTGTCCTCACCAGCATTCAGCATAGTCACCGTATTTTAGCCATTCTGATAGGTGGGGGTGATGGCATCTCAGTGTGGGTTTAGTTCGCACTTTCCGAGAAGGTAATGATCTTGAACATCTTTTCATGTGCTTGGCTGCTATCTGTGTGTCTTCTGCTGAAATGCTTGTTCACGACTTTTGCCCATTTTCTGACTGAATTGTTTGGGGTTTTTTTGCTGTTGGGTTTTGAGAATTTATATATTCTAGATACTAGTCCTTTGTCGGATCTGTCATCTGAAAATATTTTCTAGTGTGTAGCTTGTCTTCTTATCTTCTTAACGTCTTTAGCAGGGCAAAAGTTTTAAATTTTGATGAAGTTTGACTTATCAGTTTTTCCTTCTATAGATGCTTTTGATGTCAAGTCTAAGAACTCTTTGACTGACTCTAGAGCCTGAAGATGTTTTCCTGTTTTATTTTAAGTTTTATAGTTTTTTGTTTTACACCTAAGTTTGTGATCTATTATGAGTTAACATTTGATGAGATGTGAGACTTGGGTCGAGGTTCATTTTTCTGCCTATGGATGTTCACCATCTTTCTTCTACTGAATTGGTTTTGCATGTTATTTGGGCATATTTCTGGGCGTGTCTATTCTGTTCCAATTATCTACTTTTGGGATTTTGGTAGACAGGAATTGTGTTAAGCCTGTATGTCAAATTTGGAAGAACTGACATCTGTACTCTATTGAGTCTTTCGATCCATGAACATGGTATGCCTCTCCATTTATTTAGACTTCTGTTTCTTTCATCCGCACTGTGCAGTGGTCAGCATGTCTGAGTAGTTTTGCATGACTGTAAATGGTAACGTATTTTTATTGGGTTGTCGGAAAAGTCATGACGTATTTTCTCTCTGTTTTTCGTTGCAAAAATGTGTCATGACTTTTCCAACAACCCAACAGTTTGGTTCTCTATATGTTCATTATCAGTATATAGAAATACAATTGATTTCTGTATGTTTATCTTGATCCTGGGAACTTGCTGAACTCACTGATTAATTGTAGTAGTTTTCTTATCTATTCTGTGGGGTTTTCTTCATAGACAATCATGTGATCTACCCATTGGGACAGTTTTGCCTCCTCCTTTCCAATCCGTACACCTTGTTTTTTTCCTGCCTTACTGCACTGACCAGAACTTCCAGCACTGTGGGCTAACAGTGTGAGGGTGGACACCCTGGCTTGCTCCTGGTCACAGGGTGAAACGGAGCATGATCTCAGCTGTCTGGTTTTTTATAGATCCTCTTTTCAAGTTGAAGTTCTCCTCTAATCAGATTATGGGATGGTTTTTAAGGAATGAGTGTTGAATTTTGTTACATGCTTTTTCTACCTGTATTGATAGGATCATGCTATTTTTCTTCTTTAAGAAGCTGGATTACTTTGATTGCTTTTTGAATATTGAACCAGCCATGCATCCCTAGAACAAATTCCACTTTGTCACGGAGTATAAATTATTTTTATATATTGCTGAATTCTATTTGCTAGTATTTTGTCAAAGACTTTTGCATCTAAATTCATGACGGATCTTTGGTCTGCAGTTTTTTTGTGCTTTGTCTGGTTTTAAATCAGGATTGTACTAGCATCATGAAATGAATTGGAAAGTATCCCCTCCTCTTTAATTTTCTGGAGGAGATTGTGTAGAAATGGTGTTAATTCTTCTTTAAACGTTTGGTAGACTTCACCGGTGAAATCATCTGGGCCTGGAAATTTGAGGGGTAGGGACTTTTAAAATTATGAAATCAATTTCCTAGTAGTTAGAGATATTCAAATGATCTATCTCATATTAGGTGAGATGTGGTCATTTGTGTTTCTTGACAAACTGGTTCACTACACTTAAGTTGAAAATTTTATGTGTGTCGGGTTGTTTGTAACATTCCTTTATTATCCTTTTGATGTTTGTAGGGTCTGAAGTGATGTCCCATTTCACTCTGGATGTTGGCAATTTGTGTCTTCTCTCTTTTTTTTTGTCAGTCTTACTAGAAGTTTGTCAGTTTTATCAATATTTTAAAAAAACCAGCTCTTTGGGCCGGCCGAGTGGCGTGATGGTTAAGAGCTGGCTTGGGATGCCAGAGGGCCCCGGTTCGGATCCCACATGAGGGCCAGTGACACTGCCCTCTACATCTAAGATGCTGAACAACAGTTCAACCTGGAGCTGGGCTGCCGTGAGTCACCAGCGGTGGAGTAGGCTGCAGCCCCTGCTGCAGTGGGGTGCCATGGGCTACCGTGTGTAGCCGGCAGCCAGTGTGAGCGGCCAGCAGCCACTGTGAGCGGCCGTCCAGAAGCCGGCGACTGATCTGCCTCGCCCGGGAAGAGTGCAATGATGGTGCCAACTTGGGCCAGTGAAGCAACGTCCTCCACAACTAGACTGAAGAACAAAACGACAGCAACTTGTCTGTTCCCCTTCCCCCAATTCCCGAGCGCTGTTCCCATCCCCCAACTCCCCAATAAAAATCTTAAAAAACAAACAAACAAAAAACCAGCTCTTTGTTTCAGTGATTTTTTAAAAAAATCATTTTTGTTTTCAATTTCATTGATTTCTGTTATCTTTCTTATCTCCTTACTTCTGTTTGCTTTAGATTTATTTTGTTGTACATTTTCTAGGTGGGAGCTTAGATTATTGACTTGAGAATCTCCCTCTTTCTAATGTATACATTTAGTGCTATAGATTTCCCTCTCAGGGGTGCTTTAGATTTGTCTCACAGGTTTTGAAAAGTTGTATTTTCATTCGTTTCAATGTACTTAATGCCTTTAACATTCCTCTGTGACCCATGGATCATTTAGAAGTGTGTTGTTTTTTTTCTAAGTGTTTGGAGATTTTCTCATTATCTTCCAGTTACTGATTTCTAGTTTGATTCCACTGTGGTTAGAACACATTCTATATGATTTCAGTTCTTTGTATACATCAAGGTTTGTTTTATGGCACAGGATACGGTCGATCTTCATACAGGTGTCATAAAAAAGTATGGTGACTGTTTAAATAAAAATTATTACAGAATATAAGTGTGTTTGAAGCGAGGGGGAGTATTCTGAGGGGGATTAATGGCAATGTGTCTTTTACTGTAATAATTTTTTAAAATTTAAAATTCACCTTATTGTTTGATCACATCTCATATATATTCAGTGGCATTTGAAAAGAATGTGTATTTTGCTGTTGTTGGATGGAGTGTCCTAAACATGTCAGTTAGATCCTGTTGATTGATGGGGGATATTATTCTTCTATATTCTTGTTGACTTTTGTGGTTGTTCTATCCATTGCTGAAGGAAGGGTACTGAAGTCTCCATCTACGTAATTGTGGGTTTGTCTGTTTCTCCTTTCAGTTCTGTGAGTTTCTGTCTCACATATTGTGCAACTCTATTGTTTGGTGCATCACATTGAGGGCTGTTACGTCCTCTTGGTGGACTGACTCTTTCTATCATTATATAATGTTCCGCCCCCCACCCCGTTCTCTGGTAATTGTCTTTGCTCTAGAGTTCCCTTTATCTATTATGTAACCATTTCTGCTTTCCTTTGATTAATCTTTGTATGATACATCTTTTTCCATTCTTTACTTTCAACCTGCCTCTATCACTGTATTTGTAGTGAGTTTCTTGTAGACAGCATATAGTTGGGTCAGTTTTTTAAAATCCACTCTCCCAATCTGTCTTTGAATTGGTGTATTTAGACCACTTACATTTAATGTAATTATTGATGTTAAAACTAAGTCTGCCATTTTATTTTTTGTTTGCTCTCTCTGTTTTTATTTCTAGTTTCTTTTTCCTGCCTGTCTGTGGGTTACTTGGACATCTTTCAGAAGTTCTCAAGTAAAGAATAGAAACTTTACCTCCTTTTATATCCCTTTGTCCTCCACTATTTATAATTATCTTAAGTATTTCTTCCACATGCAGTTGGAACCATATAGACTGTGCTATTATTTTTGCTTAAGCCATCGAGAATAATTTAGAAATCTCAAGAGAAGACGGAAAGCCTATTTTATTTATCCATATTTTTCCTTCCCATACTCTTTCTTTCTGATATCCCAAGTTTCCTTGTGTTACATTTTAGAGAACTTCCTTTAGTCATTTTTAGCATAGGTCTTCCGGTAACACATTCTATTAGCTTCCTTCGTCTGAGAATGTCTCGATTTCCCCTCATCCCTGAGGTTCTGCTGTGTAGAGGATTCTGGCCTGACAGTTCTTTTCTCTGAGCATTTGTAAAACACGGTGCCATTTCCTGGCCTCCATGGTTTCGGATGAGAAATCCACTGTCATTTGAATTAATGTTCCCTATAGGTAAGGTGTCGTTTTTGCTCTGGCTTCCCTCAAGATGTTTTCTTTGTCTGTCATTTTCAGAAGTTTAATTATATGGTGTGGCATGGATTTATTTCACTTTATCTTGTTTGGCATTTGTTCAGCTTCTTAAATCTGTAAGTTTATATCGTCTGTCAAATTTGGGAAGTTTTGGGCCGGCCAAGTGGCTCAGTTGGTTAAGAGCTTGCTTAAGAGTGTGAGCTCCGAGCAACAGGGTCACCAGTTTGATTCCCATATGGGCCAGTGAGCTGCGCCTGAGCTGAGCTACTGCTGAGCTGCCAACAGGTGGCAGGATGGCTCAGAGCACGTGCTCCTAACAACAAGGTTGCCTGTTCGAGATGGCGGGCTACACCCACATGCAACTAAGACTGAACTCGGCATCTTGAGCTGGGCTGCCCGGGTGGCTCAGTGGATAGAGCGTGCGCTCTTAACAACAAGGCTGCTGGTTCGACTCTCGCATGGGATGGTGGCTATGCCCACCTGCAACTAATTGAACACAGCACCTTGAGCTGAGCGGCATAACTGGACTTGGAGCTGAGTTAGCTGCGCTCTCCACAACTAAGATTGAAGGACAACAACTTGTCTGTTCCACTTCCCCAATTCGCCAACGCTGTTCTCCTCCCCCAATTCCCCAATAAAATCTTAAATTAAAAAAAAATGGGGGAAGCTTTCAGCCATGATTTCTTCACATACTTTTTTAGCCTACCTTTTTTTCTCTTCTCCTTCTGGGACTTCAATGAGATGAATTTAGATCTTTTGTACAGTCCCTCAGGTCCCTGAGCCTCTGTTCCATTTTTTCCCCACTTTATTTCTTTTCTGCTGTTTAGACAATTCTATTTATTGTCCTGTCTTCCAGTTCGCCGATTCTTCCCTCTGTGACCCAATTCTGCTGTTGAGCCCATCCACTGAATTTTTATTTTAGTCACCGTAGTTTTTAGTTCTAAAGTTTCCATTTAGTTCTTCTTTACCTCTTCTTTTTCTTTGCTGACACTTTCTATTTCATTCGATTCAAGTGTATGCGTTCAAGCGTTTTTATTGTGTCTGCCTTAAACTCTGTGTTTGACAACTCTAACATCTTTGTCATCTCTGTCTTGGCCGCTACTGGCTGTCTTTTTTTTTTCCGTACAGAACGTGTAGTGCTGGCCCCACCTCATTCCCTGCATGTCACGGGGACACAGGAGCTAGCCAAGAGACCGGGTGCCTCTGTGCGGCCTCCTACCCCCTGGTCGGGAGAATAGCACGTCTCAGCCAGGAGGGCTCCCGCGGCACGTCCGGAGGGGCTGAGCAGAGCCGGATGCTTTCGAGTAGTTGAAAGAAACAGAGATTTCCTTCACCTGCTTTGCATCGTCTCCCAACGGCCTGCGGATCTATCTGCGAGGCCTAAGCATAGAATAGCGGAGCCAGTTTTGATGCGATAGCGATGTGGCCTGTGCCATTACAATGCTCCCAAGAGACAGAAGCCACTGCCCTACAGACAAACAGCACGGCCAGTGGGTCAGGGACTTTGTTAACGTGTACCTTACCCCGGCCTGAAACTCCGTTCCTGTCCACCTCCAAACAGCATCGGGTGCAGAGGGGTATGTTTGCCGAGCCCGCGGACGTAAAGTGCTCCAATCCTGGGACCATAGAACTGAAAGGAAAAGCCAGTCATCTATTCAGCAAGGACCTTCTGACCTTCTCTATATACGTGCTAAAGGCTGGGAGGCCCACAGAGAAACACGCGGTATGTGTGGGCCCCACGGTGGTGCCACTGGTCAGCACTGCAGAAACGTAGGAGTCACAAAGGCCTCCGGGAGCAGGACAGGTGCTGGACTCTGGTTCCCGGCTGGGTGGCAGCAGAGCCGCCCCGCCCATCATGCGGTAGAATGTGCAAAAGGAGAGGGCTGCAGCTAGAGACCACCAAGGGCTTTTCCCGGGATGAGCCCATTTTCCAATCGAAATTAGGCCAACATGTTCAGGGCCACAGTGTCACGCCAACGTATACAGTCCTCCGAAAACCAGCTGGGTGTTTACTGTGCTTTGGAACGGAGCACCAGAAATACTGCAGGCTCTGGTCACTTCCAGAAAGATGACAAAAGCTTCTGGAGGATCTGCACCACTGACTCCTTCCCCCATTCCACCTTGAAGACATGAGTTGCTGTAACTAAACTTTATGCTCAGGAGCCACACTTCAAATCTAGTCAGAGAAGGCAGTAACTTCTTGAACTCCACATCTTCCATCCTCGGGCTGGGAGGTCATGGGCAGGCTGACAAGGGTCTGCGTACACTCTCTGCCCACTGCAGAGAACACGCACTACCTGGCTAACCCGCCCGACGGCTCCCGAGGGCCCTGACGGCAGGTGGGTGATCAGCAGTGTGCGGGCTCTGCTCCAGGCGAGCCTCCAGGTCATGGGGGCTCCTCCCCCCAGGAGGGAAGGGGCCCCTGCGGACGCACCTTGTGCCCCACGATCGTCAGGAAGTCCACGCCCAGGTCCCGCACGTCCACGCGCTGCTTCCCCAAGGCCTGGGAGGCATCCGTGTGCAGGAGGACGCCAGGCAGCCCCGAGGCTGCCCTCTGCTGGTTCAGAGCTGCAACTCGCCGGCTGAGTTCAGGGATGGGCTGAAGGGAGAAAAGCAGAGCTCAGTCGATTGCCTTGATTTGATGAAAACCGAAGGGAAGAAACCAGGAGACGTTAACGAGGTCAGGCCAGACAAGTGACCAAGCACAAGCGCAGAGGAAAAGAGGCCCAGCTGCGACGCGAGCCCAGCAGGGCCTGGCCCTCCGTGCCACCAGGGACGCACCATGATGACGCCGGTCTCATTATTGGCCAGCATGACGGTCACGAGGCACGTGGCTGGCCGGACAGCAGCCAGGATGTCGTCAGCCTCTGCCTGCCCGGTCACCGTGGACACCGGGACAAAGGTTACCGCTGAGGGACAAAACACAAGTACTGAGGTTAATCCCACAACATGTCCTGTGTGACCATTTAGACACAGATTAACTAAAGCACTTTCCACAATTAAAAAAGTAATTTATTGTAAAAGCTCAGAATACTATAAAGAAGGAATATAAGCCCCCATTATCACCCAGCCCAGAAATGGGCGACTTGAACGCTTCTTAAAAGAAGCTTCAGTTGGTGGGTTCACTCTGTGAAACGTGCCCTTTCTGCTCTGCAGGGACCGTGAGGGCCTCGGTTCATGAGAGCGTCTCAGCGAGCCACGTACTTAACCTCCACTCACTCGGCGCTGACCTGCACTTGTCCCAGACACTTATCATCTCACTGCTGCAGATGGCAAATGAGTGCGGGTGACTAAAGAGAGGTTTTTGGTTCAAAACGGTGGAAGACAAACACACCCACTTTCCCCTCAGGGTCCCCCTGAAATGAGAGAACAGATCTATTTCTAAATAAGGGTTACATGTGGACAAGGAATTTTGAGGACTCCCCAGAAAGACAAAAGAAAGGCTAATTCCTATTAGACCAATAGGAATAGTTCACTCAGAGCACTAACAGTATGACATGTCCTGTGACCCTCCAAGTTCAGGGTGCACAGACACAGAGCAGCGCGAAGGCCAACAGGTGAGGCAGACGGAGGACCGGGCTCTGCCGGCCGCGCACCCCCACCTTACACCCAGCAAGCAGGTGACAGCACAGGCCCAAGAGAGGAAAGGCAGCCCGCAGGCTCCCGGTACCGGGAGGGGCCTGCCAAGGAGGGCAGAGTTCAGCGTCTGCTACCCCAGAGAAATGAACACGTGTCCACACACACAGAGACAGACGCTCATAACGGCATTATCCTAACGCCAAATGTTCGCCAACTGAGGAACACACGAACAAAACGTGAGGATCCACATAGGGTGGAGTATTATTCATCCATACAAAGGACTGAAGCCGTGGCACAGGCCACGATGTGGCTAACCCCTGAAAACATGACGCTGAGAGAAGACAGGCCCAAAGGACCACGTGTGGTTGATTCCCTTTATACGCAAGTCCAGGAGTGAGAAACCGCTAGATGCAGCAGCTGCCTCGGGCTGAGGGAAGTGGAGAGTTAGTTAACGGGCATGGGGTTTATTTTGGGGTGGTGACATGTTCTACAGCTTATCGTCTGATGGTCATACAAGCCTGTGAGTACACTAACAACTACGGAACTGCACTTAAATGGGATTGCTGCACAGTATGTGAATTACATCTTCTCCACAAAGCTGATTCATAACAAAAGCAATTGGGAGGGGTGGGGGAGGGGGTATGATAGTCAAAGGCTTCTTTTTATAAAGGGGGGGCGGGGCGGGCACAGGTAGGGAGACGAAAACAGGTACTTGAGCTGATAAACCAAGAAGTGGAGGGCCGGCCGAGTGGTTCAGTTGGTTAAGAGTTCGCACTCAAGAGCTCGCGTGCGAGCTCTGAGCAACAGCGGTTCGAGTCCCAGCCAGAGCTGAGCTGCTGCTGAGCTGCCAACAGGTGGCAGGATGGCTCAGCTTAAAAAAAAAAAGCGGAGATTATGTTTGTAGTGATGAAGTATTAAGTTGGAAGTAATTAAATGACTCTAGGGGACATTAGCAGCACTGCCTCTGAGAAGCAGGACAGGATGGGGGCGGGAGGTGGGGGCCAGGGGCGAGGGAAAGAACCTTTACTTTGTACTTGACACATTTCTATGTTTAAATTATTTCCTCCACATGGATGTTTATACTTTGTAAAACTCTGTAATTTTAAACAAGAGGTTAACCCCACAGTAGCTGATAACAATGCTACTAAATTGCCCTTCTCCAGGGGAATCAGACACAGAGAAAAGGCACAAGGGATTAAGCTGAACTACAATTTAAATAAGAAAGTGAGAACTGACTTTTTTTTAAGTGGTGCATTCAGGTAGGACCAGGAGGAGGAAAACCTTTCAAAGAGTCAAACAGGAAAATCAACAAAATGACTTCACCTCAATGGAGCAGGTCTGTAACAGTCCCTTATCTTAAGATAAAAATACTTGCCCCAAGTCACCTTCAGGTTTCCAGGCAGGTTAAGTAAGAAGGCTAATTAATGCCGGGAAGAAACCACTTCCTTATTTAAAAGAGAGCAGTCCTGGGATAAAAAGGTGCTTCTGTTTTCAAAACTGAGTGGCTACACAGTGTCTCAAGACCCTGTATCACAGGAGTGAAAGAAGGACCAGTTCTCACTGTGTGACAGTGACAGGGCCCTGTCACCGCAGGCCAAACCTGACTCAAGTCTGCCCAGGAGCCTTCGGCGAGGCCCACGCCACCTGCCCTCTGTCCCTCGGCGAGGCCCACGCCACCCTGTCCT